TTTCCGTGCATGGCGGTGAGCTCCTTTCTACTAAATCAGGTTAGGATCCGTTTAATGTGCAACCTATGGCGTTAAGATTAGTTAGCATTACGCGGGGAACCGCATATAATGTATTAAAAATACGGGCGCCTGCTTTTAAGCTATATAATAAAAGGATCCTTATATTTATATCTTATATTATAATAATACATAACTTAAAAAATAATATATAATTTTTTTTAAAGAAATATATTAAAAGACTTTTTATTAATAAATATTATTATTATAAGCTAACCTTAAGTTATTTATAAAATTAAAATAAAACTTTATTTCATTACCTTTTTTATATTAAATATTATAATTTTTATTTTATAAAAAGAAAATCCTTAATTAATTAAATATAAGGGTTTTTTAAAATATTAAGAAATATTATTTTAATAAAAATTAAGTTTATTAAAATATTTAAAAATTTTATAACTTAAGAAATAATTTATAAGCATTTTCTTTAAAAAGTTAATAAAAACTTTATACTTAATATTATTATTTATTATAATATTAAAATTTTTATAAATATATAATTTATATTAAAATTTATTTTTTTAAGAAATAATAAATAATTTTTTTAATATTAATAATAATATATAATTTAATAAAATATAAAATAAAAATAAAAATTAAAGTAATAAATTATATAATTTAATAAATAATAAAATAAGGATTTTTTTTAATATTTATTAAATAATAAATATTAAATTTAAATAATTTTATATAATATTTTTTTAATTCTTAAAATTTATATTAAAATTTATTATATTTATTATATTAATATAAGGTTTTTTATTTATAATATATATTTAAAGCTTAAGGCTTATTTTAATATAAAGATTAATTATTAATAATATTTTTATAATTAAATTATAATTATATAAAAAAATACTTAATATATTTTATTAAAAAAAAGTTTTTATAAATAATAATTATTTATATTTATATAAATATATTAAAATTATAATATATATTTTTTAATCTTAAATATTTATATAAAGAATTATTTTTAAAATTAAAATCTTTTTTTAAACTTAATTTTTAATATAATATTAATTAATATTATAATAAAAATAATTAAAATAATAATAATAAAGAAAATAAAGTATATTATATTAATTATTAATATTAAAATAAAAAGCTTTAATTATAACAACTTTAATTAAAATAATTTTAATTAAGGTAATTTTAATAATAATAGCTTTTATTTTTAATATAATTTTTATTATAATAATTAATAAAATATTTTAAGAAATAAAAAGTATTATATTTATAATAAAATTAATTATTAATTTTTAAATTACTTATTAATAAAATATTAATAATATTATAATTAATATTTTATATAAATAAAATATATTAATTATAAAGTTATTAATATTAATTATATTATATTTTTTATAAAATATAAAAAATATAATATAAAAATTATTTTTAATAAAAAAGAAAATAATTATAAAAATAATATAATATATTATTAAATTATTATAAATAATGCCTTTCTTTATAATTTTTTTTTAAAAAAATATAATTATTAAAAAAGATAATATTAATAAAAATAAAAAAAATATAATTTTTATTTTTATTTTTACTTTTTAATTTATTTTAATTAAAAAATATACTTATATTTAATTTTAAGGCATTATTCTTAATATAAATATTATAATTTTTTTTATAATAAAATATAAATAATATCTTACTTTTTAATATAAAAACCTTTTTATTTAATTTAATATATTATAAATAAAAAAAGTATTTATTAAGTTTAATAAAGAATTATAAGCTTTATTTTTAAAAATAATAATAATAAAAGTTATAATTAATTTAATTACCTTTTATATTATTAAAAAATATATTCTTTTTTTATTTTATATAAATAATATAAATAAGTTATATATTTATTTATAAAATATAATAAATAAATTAATTTAATAATAATTAAATAACTTTAAAAAATATTTTTAATTACTTAAAAATAAGAATATTTATAATATTATTTATATATCTTTATTATATTTTTTATAAAAAAGAAATTATATTAATTATATTAATATTTTAAATATTTATTAAAAAATATTAAATATAATATAAAAATAAAGACTTTAAAAATTATTATAAAGTTTTATTATTATTATTAACTTTATAATTTTGCTTTATAAAAATTTAAATTTATTTTAAATAATAATTATAACTTTAATTATAAAATTATTATTAATATTAATTATTTTTTTAAAAATAAGTTTATTTTTTATATTATTATTTTAATAATAATATTTTAAGTAATTTAATTTTTTAAGTTACTTTTAATTAAAAATATATAAAAAGTATTTTTTATAAATATTAAATTAATACTTAATAATATTATAATAATAATAATATTTTATTTATATAAAGCTATAATATATATATATATATATATATATATATATATAAAGCTTGCTAATTTAATATACAATCCCTTTATAAATTTACTTATATTAAAAAAACCATGCCTTAAAGCTAAATAAAAATTAATATACCTTTTAATTTCTTTAATTAAGAGCTCCTTTCTTAACTTTTCTTAAGATTTATAAAGCCCTTTTTTATTCCTCTTTCTTAATAATCCTTTTTTTTAATCTTAATTTTAATAAAGGCCGCTTTTTATAAATAAATCTTTTATAATTACTTAATAAAAAGTTATTACTTCTTTATTAAAGGCTATAATTACTTTAATATAAAATTATAAAGCTGCTTTTATTAATGCAAGGCTTTTAATAAAGCTAATTAAGGCTTATAATAAGGTTTATTTATTAATTAATTTAAAGGCTCTTTATAAAAGGGCCTTATTATAAGGTATATTTTAAGGTATTGCTAGCTTAAAGTTTTAAGAGCTTAAGGTTTTCTTTAAATACTTATTTTTATTAACTTTAATAAAGTTTTTAAGGCCTTAAATATAAGCCCTTTTTTTTAATTAAAAAGGTTATAAATAAGTAAGGTATAATTCGCTATAATATAGTTAAGGAAAAATTCCTAAAAAAGGTTTTAATGGCTATAGCAAGGTTTAAACTTATAATCTTTATAAAGAAAAGCTAAATATATAATTAATGCGCTATATAGCTAAATTAATACTTATTTTAACTTAATTAAAGTCTTTATAATATTAATATAAACTTTATATTTAATAAGTTTTAAGAAATAATATAAATAATAAAAATTACTTATAAATAAATTTTAATAAAAGTTTATTAATTTATTAATAAAATTAAATATTATTATATTTTTTTAATAAGTATTTAATATTTTATATATTAAATTAATTATTATTTATATAAAAAAAATTATATTTTAAATAATAATAAAAATTATTAATAATATTTATAGCTTTTAAATTATTATACTTATATTATTTATTTTTAAGATTTATTTATATTTTATAAAAAACTTAATTTTAACTTTTTTAATATAAAAATAAATTAAAGTTATTAAAATAATAATAAAGTTTTTAAAAAAATAAATATTAAATAATAAATAAATATAGCTTTTAATATTTATAATAAATTTATTATTATAAAATCTTTAAATTTATTATTATAAAGTAATATAAAAATATAATAAAAAAAATAAATAATAAAGCTTATATAAACTTTTTATTATTAATAATTATAACTTTAATTTAAATTTTTTAAATAATTTAATAATCTTTTAATTTATAATAATATAATTATATTAATATAATAAAATAAAAAATATTATAATTTAAACTTTATAATTAAATAATAATTTATAATATATTATATATTTTAAGTTAAAGTTTTTAAATATATATTTAAATTTTTTAAAATTAAAGTAATAAAAATAATTTTTAAAAATAAAAAATAAATTAAAAATCTTTATTAAAATATTATTAATATAAATATTTATTATTTAAGTATTTTTTAATTAAATATTTATTACTTAATATAAAAAAAATAATTATAAATTTATATTAAAGCTATTAGCTAAGTTAATATATATTAATTAATAGCAAATTAATTATATTTAAATTAGCTATATAAAAGGAAAAAGGGTTGCAGCTATTTATAGTTATTATCCTCCATACAGTGGCAAACATATGGGGAAAAGGATATCCCGTATTAATAATAGCCTAGATATCTAGAATATTCCAACAAGGAGACGGCACATCTTACCACTTTAACTCATCTGGGACGTCCGAAACATGTGCCGGGCTTTCTGTGGCTGATCTCGAATCGAGCCTGGCGCGATTTGACCCGCTCTTCCCCCAACAGTCAGTTCAAGGCCGTTGGCAAGGGTTGAGCCCCGCGACGCAAGAAATCATCAACTGACTCGTTCGCAGGTACAGTGCCGGTCCATATTATGACGGTCAGACGGTCTTCGGTGTGGGCTCTTTGTATCTCGACACGGCCTCGGGCGTCAAAGGCTTTTACCTCTCGTATGCATCAGTGACGCCGAACACGACTGCCACCTGGGTGGACGCCGGCGCCGACATCTCGAACGTCTGGCTCGCGGTGCGGGAGGATATCGCAGAGCAGTGGTCTAAAGGATTAACTTTCCAGCGGGGTTGGTATGACATCGACAAGACGGTGGACGGAGTCAGCAACCATGCCGGACAGTTCACTGTTCAGATCCAGACGCCCACATTTGTCAAGCTCTGCGATACGACGTGTGGGGGACATTGCAACCCAAACATATGTACCTGCTAGCCGGGAGAAGTCAAGCATAGAATAGGAGTGCGTCTCTCGTGCGAGGGCATTAGCTACGCTTCGCTAATCAAGCCCTACCTTTCAATTAGCGAGCACGAGGCCAGACCCATGACGAGGAAACCGCTGTTGTGGGTCTTTGAGAGTCATACGTATCAAAGATCCTGTAGTGGAGCAGAAACTTTAAAAGATATTGTTCTAACGCAATGAATGGGCTTTTTGGACTATGACGCCTTTTCCCTGATGCAAAGTTGTCGATCAACCCGTTACCGCCATGCCTTATGCCTGACCACTGCCGGAAGGAAGATCAAGAAGATAATCCAGGGAGTGGACGTCGAAATTCTCAAAGACCATTTGGTCTGGATGGATTTGATCAGACGACGGCATGTAGATAGCGTCCGGCGATGTCCCTCCCATGGTCATTGCTAAGCTCCCATAAGGAGTGTCTTGAGCTACTTCTCCTTCGGCTGGGGCTACTGGGTCGGGCCGTGAAGGCATAACGAGCGTGCCGTCGGAACACATTGTCCCATAGTCCACCATCGACCACAATGTGGATTCAAACTCTGGGTCCAGCCCCATCTGCGCATGAGGGTCAAGGATAGACGCGAAGATGTGTCCGTGTTCCTTAAAGGACAGTAGCCGGCTTTTCTGCAATTCATGTATTAGTTCAAATTGCGGGCTGATTCGCAGACAAGCTTTGAAACTATTCATGGTTTTTGTTGCCCATGGAAGCCCAACCTCAGAAGCAGAGAAGAAAAGCTTACCATTTTTGAGGCGTGACGCCAGAACAAGCCCATTTGGTCCAATGTGTCCATGATATGTTGGATGCTCTCTTCGAGCTCTGCAGAACGAGCTTGGTTTCGTGCTGCATGGAAATGCAGAATTAGGACGCTACCAGCGACTGCGACTGAGTACGCATAAAATGAGGAGGCGACATGACAGCCGGACTTCGCCGCATCGACGAGGAAGTTCGCAAGTTTGCGGGCATGATCAGCCCCAGTCCGGAAAGCCCGTGAAAGGAAGCTCGGCGGGGCTCCATCAGATAACTCCGGTAGGCGTAGCCTCAGGAGGAAAGGGTGATTGAGCAAAATATGGCACAAATGGAAGACCGCGTTGGCAAAGATGACATGACCTATGGCCTGGTGATCAATACCATCGTCTCCCGTCGTGAGCTTATTGTCAGCTATTATATCCTCGATGGACCGCTCGTCGACTTGTAAGTGGGACTCAACCAGCAAGAGGAAGGAGTTGATCGATGCCATATTGGAAGTGGACTCCCAAGGCGGTGTCTCGCCCTTTCTGCGCTCATGGAGGACGTAGCGGGCGCATCTGCCCAGAGCCGACCCAACCAGCAGAGCTAGAGCGAAATTTCCGCACGTGGATAAAGACTCAGCATCCCACTTGTGTAGTTGATCGAGTGTGGCCGTCGTCTTCTGGCCGCCGTTGCGAAAAGTCTGTTCATCACAGGGCAGCTGGACCTGACAGTCTTCATCCGAAATGGCGGGCGGGCGTGATTTTCCACACGACACTAGTTTGTCCAGAAGGTAGATGGACCAGAATACCCGCCTCTGCTCTTCTCGTTCAACATTGGAGAGTTCCTCGCTAGACTCTTTCGTCAGTTGGAGGTCTTGGGCAATTCTGATGGCCAGGCCAATCTTGAGCCATCCGGAGCTGATTCGGCCAGCTATGAATGGGGGATAATGTCAGCCGGTGCGACGTACGAAATGGTGGCCGTCTCGATACTCACATGTAAAATCGATGATTGCCAAGATGTTCGTTGTCTGAGCTACGTGGATACTTGGCGAGTTTTCGGCAGTCATGTGGTCGTTCAGGACAGAAAGCCACGCCTCCCTCGCATAGGCAGCTTGCGCCTCTTGGACTGCACCACGGTAGAAGTCGAGGTCTGCGAATCGAAGGGCACTCGCAATGGCGGCAAATACGAGACATTTTGGTAATGACCCGTTTTCAAGTGAGCGCCTGAAGCTCTCCTCTTGGAAGTACGAGTATGGCTGGTTATGAACTCGGATGAAGTACGTATCGATGAGTGCTTCCACGATGTTGTGAGGCGGGAGCACATTAAATCTTCTAAACTGTGTAAGCTATCTAGTCGATCGATGCCACAGAATGTGAACGGTATGTCATACTGTTGATGAGCTGTAGAGGACTTCCAGGGTCTATAGAGCACGTGAGAGGGTCGACGACGGCGCGCCGTTGTGTCTTGGTTTCCTTCGGTCGTGTTGGAATGTGGCGAAGACCCGTCCGGACTGGAAGGACCGTCACTCAAGGACCTATAATTGATCGTCAGTTTGTAAATACACGGAGGGTGAATAGATAGGATCACGTGCCTCTGCACCTCGCTCAACCTAGCGAGCTGGTCTTCTATGGTCCTTATCCTCTGCAGAAGCTCGGACTGTGTGTCTCCTAGTCAGTTTCTGCAAGTGCATACCTCAAGAATGAGAGGTATCTCCCACATTTTGAGAGCCTGGTTCAGCGGCAGATGTTATCTGCGAGCTCTGGAGGGTAGCAAGGGCTGCAGACGTGGAGGTCGCCGAATATGGCTCATAGTGGCAGGAGCGCTTGATGCGCTTGCAATTGACGCATTGAGGCTTCTCGCCCGAGCATTTAGTCTTGCGCTGCCTAATGACGATTGTAAGTTAGCTTGTCCTTGTCTAAAGATCATACCTCAGGTCCCCATCAACATCTGGCTGACTGGCGTCGAGTGTAGGTGGAGCCACCTGGTCAAGTATGCGGCGACGTGGATGACATTCGGGATTTCACTCGGCCTGATGCTCGGGCACCTGGACAGAGTTACGTACCGGCAGTTGCTGCAAGCCTGACGAATGCGCTTGATGACACCAGCGTGCTGGGGCTCCAGGTTGATGCGAGGAGGGAACTGCGAACCCAGGCGAGCAGACTCCATCGTTGAGATCCTTCGACGACATTGCTGGGAAGGGTCATCAAGCAGCCTGAGGCTGATGTCAGAAGTCGACTACCGTGGTGATCAGCGTTCCCCACGGATCCGAAGCATAGCCGTCTGTCAAATTGCGGGGAACCTTGGTTGTCTCAACTAGCCATGGTGAAATTTCAGACCCGCACCCGATTCAGCAATTTCAGAAGGGATGACTAAAATGCAATGAAATGCAACGCTAACCAAATAAGGAGAAGAATCTTTTTCCAAAAAGGTTAGACCAGTCAAGTTAAAGAAGACGTATTTTGTCGCCTTTTATCAGGTCTTGTCAGCTCTTATCGGGTCTTATCAGGAAAGCCTTTCAGACCCACCCAGCCTAAGCGAATGGAATTTCACCGGGGGGAGTGAAAGAAATCAAAATGAAATTTCGGGCACCCATGGCTAGTCTCAACCCATGATCCATCCCCGCAAGCTCCAGAATAAGGTTTGCGTAATGCATCTCCACATCTTGTTGATTAGTAAGTACTGGGTACGTGCCATGCATACGCAATAACAAGACTTGGCCGGCATTGGGAGGGCATTTCAAATGTACTCAGTACATGCATGTGCATGAGTGGCAGTGGAGACATTTCCATTATTGTTAGGACAACAGTCCAGGTTTGCTTCGTTGGCACCTCCAACGCCAAGCACCCGAGTATGAAGGACAACGAGCGGGCCTATTACGGTGACCAGACCACAGAAGAACTTGATTATGTAACGGGAATCACAGGAATTCCAAGGTTCCTAAGCAGCAGAGGATCTTATAACTTAGTTAATAAGTCGGTAATGGGTTAATTAACTTGTGCAAATACCATAATGAGGGGGGAAACCGCCTAAGTAATTTGTTGGCAAGTTAAAGAGAGGGCCTGGGTGGCTTTTCTTTCATACAATTCCCCAGAGTCTCTCTGGGAACGTTTCCTGAAGAGCCTCTTTCTGCTTTCTTTATTTTTTCCCCTTAGAAATCATGAATATTCTACATGAAGAATTTTGAGTCGAGCCTCATCTCAAACCAACAGGACTCGGACGGAACTATCTTTCAGAGGACAGCGCACGGGGTGATCAGATTACACATACCTAGGTACTTTTACACGGTTTAGCTGTGCTTTGAGACACCCTACCCTTAGTCAACAAGATGCATGGTGGAGTTGGAAGGGAGGCATGTCATTACTTAAAGTTTTGGTTTGACTGTGTTTCGCTTCCCGGCCCGATGAGTATCCCAATCGACTTTCCGCCTTGCTTGAAACTCTGCTGCTCCATGGGCCCCGTCAGTCCCAGGCCGCAGCATTTCGTCAAAAAGTTCAGAGACACGTTGATGCTGTTCCGGCATTCCACCATATTTCCACCCCAATTCAACAAGCTCCTTGGACATCCGTGACCCACTGGGAGACAACAAACGTAGCGAGTCCAAAAGACTATCCGTAGCGCTCACTAATTCACCCACATGGCTGCATGCAACAGTGACAGCACCGATGGATTGTAACTGCTCGGCCGTCACCGGTCTTCCGGACAACATTGCCTGGCGTGCGAGTGCGACACCCCATTCTCTGACCACGTACTTGGAGATCGCAGCCGGACAAAGTCCCAGCTTGGCCTCTGATAGCGTAAAGCTTGTTGATCTGGGACACAGCCGCACTAGAGAACAAGAATTAGTAGCTGCCGAAATATGAAGAAGAGACAGATTCGCAGAGCTTGGCTCATCGACCTCACTTACAGTCACAAGCGAAAGCTAGCCCGACGCCTCCACCGAGAGCAGGTCCATTGACCGCGGCTATCGTCGTCTTGGAACAATTTCCGATTGCTTCGAGCATCCCAGTCAGGGCCCGAAACAATTTGGCTCGCGCCGGGCTATCGCTGGCCATTCCCACTGTTCTGAGATCCATCCCGGTACAAAAGAACCTTCCGTCTCCCGTGATGACGATTCGTGTTATGGACTCGTCGTTATCTAGAAGTGAGAACGCGTCATCAAGCTGAGAAATCATCTTCGTTGAGAGGACATTGCCTTTCCGCGGGTTGTCGAGAACAATCTTCCCGTTGGGTCCGCTTCGAAAGATTGACACAAGATCACTCTTGTGTAATAAAACCCAGTCAGGCCGATTGGATTGCGCTTTGCGCTTTGACCGTTGAACGTCGTCAGCTTTCGCCAACAATGCTGCCCCAGCTCGACTCTGATTGTCCTGCCCAAGCTTCCTGGATATCCAACCCCCCACATCCGCCAACTTCGCCAGGTCAATCCCAGTGTGGACACCTGCGTGCTCGAAGAGGTACACCAGATCTTCTGTGGCGACATTGCCTTTAGCACCAGGGGCGAAAGGGCAACCACCCAGACCAGCCACGCTGCTGTCAAAAGTCCTTATCCCACATTGGTATGCCTCCCACACGTTGGCCAGCCCCTGCCCATACGTATCATGAAAGTGACCAGCCAGCTTCTCTGGGCCGATTCCATGGTCGCGGAGGTAACTAAGCAAGTCTCGTACCTGCGGTGCCGTGCCAACGCCTAGCGTGTCCCCCAGGCTCACCTCGTAGCAACCCATATCGAGTAAGCTCTTGGTGGCATGGTAGACCGCATTCTTTGGCGTAGGCCCATCATAAGGATCAGCAAAGACACATGATACATATCTGTATTTTAGAACATCTTGGTTAGAGGATTATGCCAAAGGGGGCATTGCTGCATCTGAGCACGAAAACGAAACATGCTTACCCGCGGACAGTCAGCCCACTCTCAATAGCTTTGGCTGAGACGGCCCTGGCTCTGCGGAGGCCCTCATCGACGGAGCAATTGATGTTGGCCCGACTGAAACCCTCAGTTGCGCTAACAAAAACTGCCACCTCTCTGATTTTATGCTGGATTGCAAGTTCCAGACCCTTGTCGTTCGGCACAAGACAGGATAGTCGGATGCCTGGCTGTTCCCGCAGGGTATTCTGCACCAAACTTGACGAAAGGATATGGCGGTTATCGGCGAGCTGAGGAATTGCTCGAGGTGAGACTACTGACGTTATCTCGATATCTCTGATACCAGCTTCTATGAGCCTTGAATTCAAACCCAACTTAGTGTCCGTAGAGATGGTCGGCTTCACGTTCTGGAGGCCATCTCTTGGCCCAACCTCGAAGATGCGAACCATTGCCATATTTGCTTCAAGTGCAAGTAATTCGTACCACAGTCAGGATTGGGCGCGCTGCTGATGCAGTTCGAGCTATGAAATGGCGCTGCGGCACCACGGCGGGATTCCATACCCAGGCATGAATGGGTCCAGTTTTAGCTGGTCTCTTGGCCCGTCAAATTGTCTGGGCAAGCGGTCCGGGCCCCAACTTCCCCCCGTCCCCCGGGCCGGTCGCAGGGTCCGGGGAATGGAAGCTCCGGTGCGCCGCAAGAGACACATTCCAAATCCATACTGCTGCCGCAAGAAACTAGTAGATTCAGATTCGTGGAATTAAGACCATGGAGAAAAGTATAGTATTTGTTTTGGTCCCTGGAAAATTCTCGTTCTGTGACGGCTTGGATGCGAGTCCGAGCACCGACTTGTTGCATTCATCGAGTATCCAGCTTAGCGCATATTGTCCCACAAATTGGGGATTAGTGAGACGCCTTTGCAGTTGTTCAAGTTTGAGTATAGGACATTCGATATTCATCTTCGCGAAATCTACATGTTTTGTTTGAGAGAATACGCCACTGAATTTATATCCTCGCCCGAGCCTTCTGCATTTTCAACAGGGCATTGCCTTGGGCACGTACCAAATGCTTCTTGTACTTCCCGCTGCCCGTCTTGGGTAGTTCTCGGCCCACCCCTTCGTCGCCTAGCCAGAAAATATGCTGTGGAGCTTTGATTCGATCCAGGCTTGAAGTGACCCAATCTCGTATCTCCTCTTCTCTGGGTCGACTTCCCTTAGCCCCTTTGAGGAAACATGATACTGCCTCACCGTATCGAGGATCCTCTAGGCCAACGACGCAGCACTCTTCAACCCCGGGGTGTCTGAGTAGATGGTCTTCAATCTCAGCTGGGGAAATGTTCTCGCCACCTGCGCGTTTTTATCGGGTGCAACGTCAGCGCGAGTTCAAGACGAATGATGCCGAAATGGAGACGGGGACAAGTCCTAGGAAGATCTACCTCGAATGATGATATCCTTGATCCGGCCAGTAACATGCCCGTAACCAGCATCATCAAGGAAACCCTCATCACCTGTGTGCATCCATATAATTCCTTCCGCGTCTGGTCTCATCACCTCCTGCGTCTGGGCTTCCTCCCTCCAATAACCCTTCTGTAGTGCGAATCCGCTGGTACAGATCTCTCCTCGAGCCCCGCGCGGAACGGTGTTGCCATCAGCGTCCACAATCTTGGCAGCGGTATGAGGAAGAACTCGTCCCACGGTTGTGAACCTTTCATCACGGTCATCTTCAGGGGATGTAATGAATGTGACCGGGCTTGTCTCGGTCATGCCATATGCGATGAGCATTTTAGGAATATTCATCTCGCGTTCTAAGCGGCTCATTAGAGACGCAGGCACCGGTGAAGCTGCAGCCACGCCGGTCCGCACCGTGTCTATTCGCTGAGGGGATTTCTTTAGTACCTCAAGCATCGACAGAAACATAGTCGGCACTCCAAGTAGTGCAGTGGCTTTCTCTTTAACCACAGCATCGAGTGTCGAGTTCGCATCAAATGTGGGAAACGGGAATACAATCTTGCTGCCGGAGCAGAAAGATGCTAGGAACCCGATGACAAGACCAAAGCAGTGGAACAATGGGCATGGACAACAAACGACGTCGTTCTCGGTTAGCTGCATAGCATTGCCAACATAACGGCCGTTGTTGATGATGTTGCTTTTGGAAAAAAAATATTAGCCATCGTAATTAGTGCGGCGTAAGCTGGATGAACGTACTCATAAGTCAAAGCAGCGGCTTTTGGGAGCCCCGTAGTCCCTGTTGTCCGTGTTGATCAGCAATGATCCACCAAGTTGGTTGGTGAAACTGACCAGAAGTAAATTGCAGGTTCACAACGTCTGACGAGGCTACCTTTCGCTCGGCCCTGTCCAAAGTCCTGTCATTTATAAAGACAGATTGCCCGCAATTCAAGAAGTCAGTATAACTTCGAAAGTTAGTTCCATGGCCAGATTTGGACGATTCGTCAAGTGAGACAACGTGACGGATCGTCGAATTTGAGCCAAGCGAACCAAGAACCGCCTGCACATGGCCAGCCAGGCTTCTGCGCCTGATTTCTGGAGCAATGAAGAGAACCTTGCAGCCTTGGAATAAATGTACGAACTCAGCAAAGGGATCTCTCCGGGATATGGGAACACCACGTAAGAACTCACCGGTACGAGCAATCATTGCATCTAATTCTTGAGGGGAGAATGCGTTGTTGAAAACGGCGACAGGACTGCCAATCCTCCCAGCCCCGAGGAAGATTTCGATATACTGGTAGCAGTTCCCAGCCATAACTCCCACACAGTCTCCTCGCTTGATCGCAGTGTCCAGAAGTGCCTTGGCCACTAGGGCACTGCGCTCCCCAAGTCTGGCGTAGGTGAGCCGGGCTGACTGCCAAGGTACGATTACCGCCTCCCGCTCTGCGTATTTGGTCGCCTGCTCTTTTATTATTTGCGCGAGCGGCTTCCTCCAGAGAGGCGGCTCATTGGGCCCATATACCAACGAGGCGTCACCTGCGAGGTCATTACGACGCGACTGCGCTTTTGTTGGTTGGTCTCTTGGTTCGGATGATTCCATGGTAACGAGTAATGGGATGAGAAAAATGCGGTTCACTACTACCAATAGTCAACATTTGATTTAGTGGAATCGGGTTCTGCAATCTGCCTCCCATAATAGATGTATCGAATTATGTGATTGCACCGGCAATCCCCGGGGTCGTATGCGGAAGCCGGTCCGGCAGAGCTCGGTTTCACGCTGCATAAGCAGGGCTTCCAGGACTAGCAACCCTGTGGGAAAATAGGCAACGGCTCCCCAAGGCCATGAGACCCGATACCATTTACACATCATTCATGAGCTTTTGGAAACATGGCAAGCGGTCAAAATTTTCCCGTCGAAATAACGTCCGTCGATATTCGGAGCCCGGGGTTGGAGGAATCGCGATCAAAATGGGGCGGGATTTTGCAAGACTTCGAAGAACGGCTTAAAGAAGTTTCGTCAGAGGGCAGCACTGCGTCTTGTTCCAGGCATCAAGAAAGAGGACAGCTCCTGCGTGCGCGTTCCCCCGTATCGTTATTCATTTCAATGATTACAAGGCTAATGCTGCTGCCCATTTCCAGCCAGAGATCGCATCGCTTTGCTACTAGACTTCGACTCGCCGTTTCTCGAGCTCGGCCCTTTCGCCGGACACAAATTACCCAATTCAAACAATTGCGCAAACATAATTGCCGGTGTTGGGATCGTCAGGTTGGTTCATCTCAATGGATTCATGGCTGCAGAACTAGAGGGTGCTTGCTCCAAAGACTAACAGAGGCGTTGTTCAGCGGTGCACGATGCCTGTTGATGTCACACATCCCAACACAAGATGGTGGTGCGTGGAATGAATACACAGGTATGTGCTGCGAAAAAAATCTCGACCCAATTTTATGATGATGTCTAAGGCGCAAGTGGTGTCGTACACAGTGCAGAAGGTGAATCGCATAATGGAGATAGGCATGGAGAACGACTTGCCGCTGATTTCCCTGGTTCAATCGGTATACCACCTGACCGTCATCACGTTCCTCTGATGTAAAGTCTCCATGCTGACTTCATGTGTCTGATCTTCGACCCAGGCTGGCGTGTTTCTACCGCAACAATTCCGTGTGTTCCACAAAGGAGGACAGCTTTTCCGCGACCTGGCAATAAGAACACAGCAAGGGAAACCATCGTGTGCCATCGTCTTTGGTTCTTCGACTGCTGGAGGTGCATACCACCCGGCGCTATCAGATTACACAATCTTTGTTCAGAAGCAGGCACAAGTATTTCTTGCTGGCCCACCTCTAGTCAAGATGGCCACTGGAGAGACTGTCGTTGCCGAGGAGCTCGGCGGCGCAGACATCCATGCGACGACTACTGGACTGGCAGACCAAATCGCGGTAGACGAGTACGCCAGTCACAATCCATTGGGTCTCAGAGCCAAGAACTGACAGCTGATAAGGTTCGACGCCATACAAAAGGCGCGTGAGTGGGTAGCTACGGTTCGCACGCCGGATCCCCGAAGTCTGTTAGCTCACAAGGCCATTCCTGCCCTACCTCCGCGTTATCCAGCTGAAGATCTATTGTCCCTCGTCAATCCGGACATCCGCAAGCCGTTTGATATGCGTGAGGTTTTGCTGCGCATTGTGGATGATTCACGTCTACTGCAATTCAAACCTAAATATGGCTCGAGCATTATAACAGCTCGAGCGCATATTCTAGGTGAGTGCAATCTCTATGGCTGGTGAAAAATCACTAACGACGCTGGCTCAGGATTCCCAGTTGGCATAGTCGCCAACCAGAGGCCGATCATACACGTGCAGGAGGCACTGAAAGCAGCGCAATTCATCAGGACCTGTAATCAGGAGTGAGATTATCCCAGACCAGACATCGCGTCAGCTTCCCATGTGTCGAACTAACACAGACCTGCAGGCTCACGCCCATTGTCTTCTTGCACAACGTCACTGGTTTCATGGTGGGCCCCAAGGCAGAACATGCCGGCATCATAAAGGCCGGCGCCCAGCTCGTCTCAGCCGTCAGCTGCTCTCAAGTCCCTCATATCAGCATAATCATGGGATCTTCATATGGCGCCGGAAATTATGCCATGGCCGGCCGGTCTTACAGGCCTCGATTCCTCTTCTCATGGCCAACAGGGCGGTGCAGTGTCATGGGGCCAGACCAACTAGCTGGCGTTATGGAGAATATCCAGCAAGCAAAAGCCAGGACTTCACCGGGAGACACTGCGTCGCAAGAGGCAATCAAGGAGGGAAAGAAGAGGACGCAGGAGCTGCGAGACCAGGCTATCAAGGACGCGGAATGTTATGCGACGAGCGCAGTTCTGATTGATGACGGGGTGATTGATCCACGGGATACAAGAGACATTTTGGGCATGTGTCTGGAAGTTGTCAAATTGCCCCCGCTTGAGGATACCAAGAGCCAGCGGTCCTTGGCAAGAATCTGAAGTGCCCGGTAGTTATTGCACCTGTATGATATACTCACCCTTCGTAGAGCGTCACCAAGAAATACTTCACTCAGATCTACACAACATGGGATACTATGGAGCGGACGACGACTGTCACAATTGATTTCATCTAGGAGATCTTCAGGCTTGACCTTGGGCAGTACTGTACTAAGTGTCCTTTTGCGGTCAATTGCTACAGCCCTTCCAACTGGATACACTATTGAATCGAGACCAAATCTTCCCAGGAGCTCGTCGAGAATCTCAGTAAGCGAGACTGCTTAGGGCGTGTCTTCTGTTCTGGAACCCGGAAAGAGCAGTGGCCCGCCCTGCGGCCCGATGGCAAATGTCCACATCTGGCGGCCGGGATCGGACGCGGACCTCGGTCCGTTTCTCCGCTCTCGTCCGGACGCGCGGACGGAAGCGGACCGATTGCTTTCCTGCCGAAACGGCACCGCGGAGCAGGCCGTGTTTACGAAAAGTTGCCCATTGTTTCCTTGTATCGGAGCGAATTACCGAAAGTGCCTGCCCTCGCCCCCGGCACGCTCCGGCCTACGCTTGAGCTGTAGGGAGACCTCGAGCTTTCCCGGGGGGTGTAGACTACATCCTGGCAAGATGTCACTCGGCAGACCGCACGCGCGGTAGACCCTGCATGCGGGAATCGATAGAACAATTCTTGTCATTCAGTATAGTCTCAGTAGCATAGAGAGATCCTCAACCCACCGCTGCAAAGATCGACTCAAACGCCATCACAGGCTGCTGTTCTCGATCCCCCAGACATCTCACAACAGCAAAAAATACTTCATGCGGCACCAGGCAAAGACCATCATGCTTGAAGGACCGAATAAAGAGCTGCTGGCCAATGTGAATCCTGAAACGTCAAACTCACTCTCCCTAGAGTCTAGCAGTCACCGGGAGCTGTTTGTCGCAGCGCTCCCTACAGTCAATGGCGGCGCTTCCAAGATCCGGAAGCTCTTGATTGCAAACCGCGGCGAAATTGCCTGCCGAATCATTGAAACCTGTAAGAAACTCGGAATATCCACGGTGGCTATTTACGTCCTGGAGTAAGTGGGAGAGTCAACAATCAGCCTTGCAATATGACGGATTGACAAGATTTGTAGGGATTCGGCCTCACGGCATGTCACTGAAGCAGACGACTCAGTATGCATCGGCAGCATTAGGGGCACCTCGAAGAATCCGTTCCTTGACATCGATACCATCATCCAGGCCGCCCTTGATACCGGGGCGCAGGCGATCCACCCAGGTTATGGATACCTTAGTGAGAATGCTGCATTCGCTGACTGCAGTCGCCAAGCCGGCCTCGTCTTTGTCGGGCCCAGTGGGGCCGCCATGTCGGCTCTGGGCGATAAGCGCCTCGCAAAAGAGTACCTGCAGAAGCACGCGCCGGACGTGCCGTTGATTCCAGGCTTCTCGGGGAAGAGCCAAGACCCTGCCGACCTGGTCAAGGCAGCAACAGAGATCGGCTTCCCCGTGATGCTGAAGGCGGCTGCTGGCGGTGGTGGCAAGGGGATGCGAGTGGTGCGCGACGCTCAGCAGCTACGCACCGAGTTGGCCAGCGCGCAATCGGAAGCCCAGCAGTCGTTCGGACATAGTGACTGCATTCTCGAGAAGTTTATCGAGCAGAGCAAGCACGTCGAGATACAGATCGTGGGGGACCGACACGGCGAGGCGGCTTCGTTCTTCGAGCGGGACTGCTCTGTGCAGCGACGGAATCAGAAGATCATCGAAGAGACACCTTGCTTGTTTTTGGATGCTGGAGTGAGATCGCAGATGGCCAGTGCTGCGGTCCGTGTTGTCAAACTTTTGGAATACGAAGGCGCCGGCACTGTTGAGTTCGTGTTCGACACTGCCGCGATGAAGTTTTACTTCTTAGAGGTCAATACGCGTCTCCAAGTCGAGCATCCGATTACTGAGGAGGTGACCGGGGTCGACTTGGTGGCACTACAGTTGTTCGTGGCATCGGGCGGCAGACTTCGAGACTTGCCTGTGTTAAAGGAACTGAAGCAGACGGGGCATGCGATTGAGTGCCGGTTATGCGCGGAAGATCCTCGTCGCAATTTCCTCCCCGATCACGGTAATATTATGCTGTGGCGACCCGCGAAGCCAGGACGAACATCCAACTCGGTAGTACGGTACGAAACGGCCATGCAGTCGCCATGCACCGTGTCCATCTTCTTCGACTCCATGATCTGCAAGATCGTGGTTTGGGCCCCAACAAGATCCGAAGCCATTGAACGCATGGCGAGGGAGCTGGCCAATACCGCGTGCATGGGAGTCAAGACCAACCAGCTGTTTCTCCAGAGCTGCCTGTTGCATAACGCGTTCCAGGACCTCGGCTACACGACGGCATTCATTCCCCTTAATCTTCCAGATTTACTCGAAAATTCATATCTAAAGGATCCGCCAGAATATCTACCACTTATTCCAAGCGTCTATTTGGAGAGACTTCGGCAACTTCGACTGCCCGGCCGAACTGCTTTCCGCGGAGTACGTGCGAGATTCCACAATCAGACTTTTGACCCCTTCAGCTCTAGCTCTGAAGTGATCTCGTACAGCTCTTCAGTATCGTGTATACTACGGCCATCCGGGGGGGCAGACTCCGATGGGAGAAGTGTTTATGTCTACCCCATTGTGGCAGGCGACGCGGAATCACGCGCTTCGGAATCGCCGCCTGGTCAACCGACTGCCCTTTACAACGATATCAGTCGAGCGATACGCAGCGGTGATGCGTTAAAGAGGCCAGCTTACCAGGTCGATATTATCAAGTTTGAAGCTTTAGCCGATGAGCTGACTCGCGGTGATGCGGTGTCTTTGGAAATGACAATGAACGGCAAGAGAGTGAAAGCATATTTGGCTTTGCGTCCCGCGAAGGACAACAATGAGCGATCAGGCGAAGGAGAACACGTACTCGTCCATATGCCTGATGTAGGCGAATGGGTGGAATATCGTCGAGAAACACTACTTTCCTTCTGCTCGAGCCAACGGAGACTCGTCGAAGCGCGCTCGACATCAACAGGGGGACCAGCCACGGTCAAGGCACCTATGCCGTGCAAGATTCTGTCGATCCTCAAAAGCCCCGGGGACCATGTGGAGCCAGGGGATCGTGTCATGGTGACGGAGAGCATGAAGATGGAATTGAGTATTTCTGTGAATTCTGCTGGCAAGTTCCGTACTAGGTGGAAAGAAGGCGACGCCGTCGACGAAGGCAGCGTGCTCTGCTCAGTGGATTCCGAGACGAAGAAATTGTAGTCTACAAGTTTGGAATCTACGAGCCCTGCTTTGTCTAGATGTTTAATTATTTTGAGCGAGATGTAGTTGTTTTACAGAGAGCTTGATCAAACCTGCCTCCATGGTCATTTGATAAAGGGTGAGTCTGGTATTTTCACCCATATCCTCAGGCAGTCTGCTTCGTAATCACCCGGCAAACGAGCAATTTTACCGGTGATGTGTTTCAACGGACCAATCACACAGGCTGAGCCAATTTGCACTCTCACGTTGGCAACGTGCTATCCTTGGTTCAACTCCGCACCCATTCCGAGTTCTCCGCAGCTCGGGTCTACGGTCCGCCGCGACGCTGTGGACGTGGTTCTTTGCGATATCCAGTTTCCACCACGCAATCAGGCCCAACGTGGCTGAGACGCGCCATCGCTGTTCCACCTGGCCTATTTCATCATGGCATGCTGCTATATTGCTGCCTTGTGCATAGGTACCCTCGTCAAAACTTGCCAGTTCCTCGACTTCGACGACAACATCCGCTATAACGAGGATGGCGGGTCGGGGCTTTCCCACAGTCACACAAGTTTCCATACGAAGGCCGAATCAACAAGCCAGGCATCATCACAGCCATCTGCACTGGTTCTGTCACTTTCCGGATTGACATGTGCTGCCTGCGTAGGCAGTGTCGAACGAGTCTTGTCAGAAATCCCATCGGTCGAGCACGCTCGTGTTTCACTTCCCTTTCAACAGGCCACAGTAGTGGCCGAGAGAGGACATGCCCTGGATGAGAAGAAGCTCATCAGCGCTGTGGAGTCTGTTGGCTACAGCGCTGAGGTCGGCCCTCGGTCTCCAAAGGAGATCATCGACATGCTCCAGTCGAGGCAAGAGGTAGAAGACCTCAAGAACAGCTTCGCTAGTGTTGCCCGCTACGCAGCTCTGATACAGACTGTTGGATATGCCGCCTCGAAACTCGAAAAGAGGTGGCCGAACTCGGGGTTCGGAGCTCTCAATCTGTGGCTTGCGCTCGCCCTTGCCACATACTGCCAGTTCCGCGACGTCTCATGGGTTCATTCAAACGGCTGGAAAGCACTGTCCCATGCTAACCCCAACATGAACACGCTCGTCTCACTTTCTGTTTGCCTGGGCCTGTCGTTCTCGGTAGTCGACCTGCTGGTCCGGGGACGGCTCGCTTCCTCATATCACGCCGCCACAGTCGGACTTACGCTTGTGATCATGGCTGGGCGTTGCTTAGGGGCTCTGTCTCGTCGACAGTCATCGAAAGATATTCTTGCAGTCTATAAACCGCTCGTGGAGCTAGAATTCACCAGACTTTCGTCAACTGGGCAAGTAAGTGAGGCAGAGACACTCTTATCCTATGCATGACTTGTCTGACACCACTCGCAGTTGGTCCCAAGTACATACTTAAGACCCGGGGATCATGTCATCATAGAACCATTTTCTGTGATTTCCTGTGATTGCTATGTTGTTTCAGGGTCATCACTTGTAAACCAAGCTGTTGTTACTGGGGAATCTATGCCAGCAAAAAAGGATGTGGGCGATTTCCTTTATGGTGGTACTCGCAACTTGAACGGCTCTTTGACTTGCGTCGTGCATAAAGAGAAGGGCCATTCGTTCTATGCACAATTGGTGGAGAACGTGACGAGCCTCAATACGACAAAAGAAGGAACGTTTGGATACGCTGAGACTCTGACACGGTTTTTTGTGACCGTGGTCATCCTTCTTTCAGTTACGGTGCCGCTCGTTGAGCGATATATGCTCCCTGGCAATACAACTTCCTACGAGGTCTTACGGCATTATGTCGCACGCTCTATGACAATTCTTGTCAGCGCGTGCCCTTGTGCTCTTGGCTCAGCCATACCCTCCGCAATAGTTGCGGCGACCTGTAAGTGCAACATAATTGCGATGCCGGCGAGGCCTCCTCCTGAGACGTTCTAATCGCCATGATGTGTAGGTTCTCTTCGAAAGAATGGAGTTGTCCTTACAGGTGGGGCTTCCACCATCGACCGGCTCGCTCGAACAAACTATCTCATCTTTGACAAGACCGGGACTCTGACACAAGCTCGTCTTCGTGTCGAGAAGCTGTCGACCCCTCGACGAATACGACTCACGGAACACGAGTTATGGACAATGGTATGTGCTTTAGAAGAGTATGGCGCTTCTGGTCATCCGGTTGGAAATGCGATATTTTCTGCGGGAGTACAGCAACTTGGTGAGTCATGGTTAGAGTTCAAGAAATTCGGATCCGTTCGCCCAGCAAATAGTTCAGGAAGCGGGGGACTTTCTGGCTATGTTTCCCTCCCGGGTGATGGCATGAAATATCATTCGATCGTCTTGGGGAGCAGAAGATACTTGGAACGGCACCAGGTGGCTTGCTGGACAGGTGAAGGCCTCCCCGACGAAAGCGCGATATTTGTCTATGCAGCAATCGATGGAGTATATGCAGCAACATTCTCCCTGGTTGTAAGTCAAGTCCTTGAGTATGTGTTAGATTGCTAGATTGATTGTGCAGCTAACATTGTCAAGGACGCTATCCGGGCAGAGGCAGTGACCTCCATTCAGAAACTAAAAGGCATGGGCTACAGCTGTGGAATGGCAAGTATCCCACAAAATCTCCGTCTGTCTCTGTTATCCATGAAGATTTGGACTCGTTAACCCATATCAGCTTACAGGTGATACTGAAATGGCCGCCGCTCGAGTCTCGGTATGCCTAAAAGTTCCTATTCTAGCTTCTGGGGCAACTCCAAGGGACAAATTAAATCACGTCAATATGATCCGTGATAGTGGGAAGGTTGCTGCCATGGTGAGTCCTGCAACTTACGAAAACCCAAGTTCAAAACTGAAAGAATCCATATTGTAGGTTGGTGACGGGCTCAATGACGCGCCGAGCCTAGCGGTGGCAGACGTGGGCATTCGCATCTGCCACGAGGGCGCGGTTCCGACTACGGGTGCCGCCGTTACCATTGTTAACTCATCACTCAGTGGAGTCGTCCTCCTTCTTGAAGCGGCGCAGCTTACGCAGCGGCAAATTCGATTTAATCTTGGGTGGGTGGCTGTTTACAATGTGGTAGCCTTGACCATGGCAGCAGGCGTATCACCCTTCGGCTTTACTTTGACACCGTGAGCACGCCCACTTCCTCAGCTTGAATCATCTCTGTAGCAGCATACTAAAATAAATCTGATCAGGTCTCTTGCGGCAACTTTGATGTCATTTTCATCTATATTCATCACTTTGCAGAGCTTTTGGCTCCAGAAGCGGCTGGCAGTGCTCAGTGCATTGAAATAGTATTTGCGATGAGGCTGCGGTATACAAAACCCGTGAATTGCATCACGCAGTTGAGCAATTGAACTCGACTATGGAAACAACTTCAGTATACTAGGTTATAACTCTTGACTAATTGTTCCTGTTTGGCCACGTTATTGCTTCCCCGTAGAGGCCTGTCCTGACATGCTCTGGCAATGGCTTCGCAATCCACGGCACCACAGAACCAACTCCCTTAGTCCTCAACCAACCTTAGCATGAGACTCACTGGCGGGTGGGATACGCGTATATGTAGGCTCTGTTCTCATTCTCCGAACCTCGTTGTTTTACTCTCATATGCAATTAATCGTTCCATTTTGGCGCTAGTGACCTACATATGATACCTCACACCCTTTTTCCATCACACTTTCATTTTTAACTATTTTCACCTTCTATATAACGAATACTTTCTTAATTTAATTATACCCTATATTAAAAGATAGCTATTTCTTTTTTGCTTCTTTTGATATCTATTTAAGGAGGGTGGAGGGAGTATTGAATGTGTGAGGTGTGTTAATGTTTAATTTTAAAGAAGAATTTGAAATTTTAAGGTAGTGGTGATTTTAAATAGATCTAGTTAAATTCACACTGTTAAAATTAGTAATTTTAACATAACTCTCTAATTTCACCCCCTCTTTAATTCCTCTTTAACTTAAGTCATTTTCAACTTCAATTTAAATGCAAATTTCTCCTCTTTTATATACCCAATTTAATAGCAGAGAGAAGAAATGAAATTAGAAAAGAAGCAGCTTTCTTTTTATATATATTTTAAATAGATTGAAGTAAAATTGAAAAGTGCGTATAAAAAAGGTGTGAGGTGTTAAATGTAGGTCGTTAGCGCCAAAATGGAACGATTGATTGCATATGAGAGTATGCAATGAATTTCGAGCCAACTATATTCTCATAGCTTTATTCTGGTTACGGTGGTCAAGCCAAAAAGAATTAGAAGTTGCGTAGGGGGACCGCGGTCTGAAAAAGAATGCATGGAGAACAGCAGCTAAAACTCGCTTCACACAGCAGGCTTCATGAAAACCTGGGTCCGGCCGTCTACCCTGACCTTCACGCCCGCCTTTCCTTTGTCATCCGCAGTGACAGTCTCTCCCGTGCTGAGCGAGTAAGCCTGCCCCGGTATCAGTCTCTCGAACCCCAGCTGGAAGAACCCAGGCTCTTTGCCATTGTATAGTACAAGGTCAAGTTGTTTGCCATCATCACTGTGTGCCTTGGCCACAAGGACATCCGGAAACGGGCATATTTCGAGGATCGGGCCCTGAAGTGCGGTCTCGGCCGGCCCATGTAGGGTAGCATTGGCCAGGTCTCTGTGCCGGATCAGCCGAGCCATTAAGGAGATAGACTGAAGTGAAGCCGATAGGCCAACGTTGCGCAAGGCACCGTTTGGGGTCTTCTCCACCGGGTAGAACTTCGTGTCCACCTGCTCGATTGCCTCCTTGCGGATCTTTTCATCACCAAATTCGCCAGCGGCGCCTGCTAGGAAGACCCGCACTGCGCCCTCTCCGAATCGATAGTTGCAAGGGTCCATCAGGTCTGCTCCCTTTAGGTTGAGCACCTGGAGCTCGCCTTCTTCGCTGTATGCAATGTTTTCCTTGCGAATCATTGCCCAGTTGCGATGTGCCAAGTGCGGAAGGTACGCGGTCAGAAGCATTGTGTTGATGCAATCGGTTGAAACGCCACAGATGTTAGGTATCTATATGAAGTACACGGGGCGAATCAGCAACTGTATTTCGCCTGTTGTCAACTGGGTTGAATTGGAATAGGTATGCTTACCGTCAGGCCAGTGAACTCGCTGCGCAGTGGCAAGATCCGCCCATCGCACTCGGTGAATTCCTCCTCCAAGCACCGCTCGAAGCGATTTCGCAATTTCAGACTGAGGTCACGGCCAAGGATGCGGTCTGAAATAGTCAGACCAGCCATCCCGATGAGACTTCAGAGGCACATGTCAGTCTATGGAGCCTCGGAGTCGATCCCATGCCCGTATGTTGTTTTGGATGAGTCTTACTTGCAGAGAGAATAGGTCCAATTTGGTTCACAGGGATAGAGACAATAAGGATTGTCTGTCATGTTAGTATTGAGTGCATCAGCCAGGCCCTCAAAATCTGTTTTGTAATGTTTCCCATTGTCGATCACAAACTCGAGGCAATTCTTCTTGTGGTAACGTCGGTCTCCAGTCGATTGCTCGTAGAGTCCCATCGCGCTGGCGAGATACCCAGTGACCATCTGTTGCATCATCGGTCAGACCACTTCTTGCACGTCGTAACTGTCTACACTCACGATATTATCCTTTTTGATCGGATCCCAGTCGCTGAACTTGAGTTTGCCGAAGATGGACTCCCACTTCCAGTACCTTGTATTTGAGTCAGACATGTATGCAGAGATGCAGATACGGCAGCGGCTTGACTCACTTCATCACTCTCTTCTGCAGACCCTTCTCAATGCAATTTTGTGATGCCTTTGACAGATACCCATGGAATCCAGGGGCGTAGTGGCACTGGTAGATGGAAAGCGCATCCACAACACTATTCAGTTGGTATCGAATAGCAGACGGCTGAAACTGCTCAATGATATCGTGGTAGCTGAAGTCGTCCTTGGCAGAAAGACCGCGTTCCAGAGTCCATTGGACATGACGCAGTGTCTCAAGGTCCACCTCACGCGATCCGGGGGCCGGCGCGGGCACAGCATCTGCCATCTGCTCCGCCACGGCCGAGACGAGATACTTGTTTCGCTCCTGTGCCTTGGTGAAACCGGCCGCGTTGAGGCGGCTTGCGTAGTTCATGACCCATGCCACGCTTGCGAGGCAAAGCACGGCCCAGACCGACCCAGTCTTCTCCAGTATCGGTTGATCAGCTGCAAGGTATGCTGCTGCGGCGGCAGAGCCGATCCACAACGCAAATGGAAAGACTATTCCACCCATCATGAACCATACAGCAAGCGACATCGGTACTAGGATTATGGTGACGAGAAAGGCCGCGTAGGATGTTAGGGACGGGATCGCAGTGAAGCCAGCTCCAGGGAACAGCAGACATAACGCGGCGGCTCGGCAAGCTGGATTCGATACATTGTTGAATATCCACAGCCCGAAAATCGACATTGCTGTGTACTGGTATAGTGTTCGGCGCTGGTGGTACTTCTTCACCATGCCGCGACCGGCGTTAGGCGGTATGAGGACATCTGTTGGTAAGCGTCAATCACCGTCGTTTTGTTGTAGCTCAGGGGTTTTCATTGGCAGCTTGCCTTGTATAGTCCATGGGCCCCATTCGAAGTCGCCCACTGCCTGATCCCGAGACTGGCCTTTGGTCTTTTCAGGCAACGGACGCTTGCTGTGGTCATGAGGCGGGGAGTAAGGGGGCAGTTGTACGGAGTGATGGTCAGTCCCGTTGGAGACCGCGACCTTGGTCGCCTATGAGGCTGATTAATTCACGAGGACCTGGATGGCCCGGACTAGTTGTCAATCGTACGTACAGTTGTCAGCGTAGTAGCCATTTCGTCGTGTATCGGAGCATTGATGAGGACTTGACGGAGCACTAATTAACATGTAGGGATTGTCCTGACAGTGACGATTGAAGCACGGCTTTTTTGAGGCCCTTCCCCTAGAATCGGGGCCACGCGGGCCCCCGGACCGCCCATCGAGAACTTCCTTGTAGGAAGGTTCGGGGTCCAGCAGCGAGCACAACCTGTGCGTCTCCACCTTGACACGCTGTAGTAATCCGGTCGCAACCCCATGATTCGGCCCATGATCGAGGTAGATCTTGCCATCTGGGGTACCGAAACTCTCTTTGTCAATTGCGGGGAGACGAAGTGTGGGGAAGCCATTTGGGTCAGGTCGGAACAACATCAGCAGGCCACCTAACCCAGCTCGCGGCACTGGACAACCGGTCCCGGTCCGTAAGCGTAGGGGGGATCTTCACAGCAGAGACGACTCTCGCTTTCATGCATACGGCATTGAAGCTAGAAAAGCATGACAATGGTGCCCCATCACACTTGGCTTGCCTTGTTTTCCTTTGCAGGTTTGTCTTTGGCTTTGGCCTGTTCCAATCTGCAGTATGGCGTCACCTGAGTGCAGCAAAACAGAAGCTATTGTCTGTCGTGCACCCTCACGCGGGAACAGAGAATGGGCACTCGAGCAAGTGGCCATAGCACCTGCTGCAGATGATGAAGCCATAGTTGAACTAGTAGCCTCCGGTATTTGTCACACTGATTTGATTTGCGGAAGCGCTCCGGATGAAGCACTTTCTTTTGGCCTCCCACGTTATCCACGGATCCTCGGTCACGAAGGTCTCATTTCATCCCCCTCGAGACTCACAAGCGGTAGCTGACAACTACAATTACTAGGTGCTGGATATGTGAAGTCTATTGGGCCAAGAGTCACCAAAGTCCAACGTGGTGATCGAGTTTTACTTTCCTTTGCCTTTTGTACGCAATGCTACAATTGCCAAAATGGCGCTCCGGGCTATTGTCACAGCTTTACAGAAATCAACTTTGGCGGCAGTACAGATGCCTTCATCAGCTCAACATCATCCGGCGAGGCGATCGGCGGGTCCTTCTTCGGACAGTCCAGCTTTTCGCATCTGACCAGAGTCAAAGAGACGTCTTTGGTGAAAGTTACGCATCTTCTTGATGATGATGACGACTTGAAGATGTTCGCACCACTTGGCTGTGGCATTCAAACTGGTGCTGGGACAATCACTGAACTCACTAATGCAAAGCCCTCGGACAAGATCGCGGTGATCGGGCTTGGTGCAGTAGGGCAGGCGGCTATTATGGTATGTTATATCCATCACTGTTCGGAATTGTATTAGTATCTGATTTGAATGCAGGGTGCCAAAGTTAAAGGCTGTCGAACTATTATTGCAATAGATCGGATCGCGTCGCGGCTGGAACTAGCGAAAAGCTTCGGCGCAACCCATGTTATAAATACGTCACTCCTGACAGAAGGTCTGGTCAAGGAGATCAAGAACGTCACTGGAGGCACAGGAACTACAATCACGGTGGACGCAACAGGTGTTGTGTCTCTCATCCAAGAGGGTGTCGAATTCACAGCCAACCAGGGGAAATTCATTCTTCTGGGCGTCCCCCCGATGGATGCAGGTCTGGAGATATCGCTAATGCGATACATGTTTGTGCGTATTAAGTCCCCTCCACTTCCCTTCTTTGCTGACAATCGGCCAGTCTGGAAAGTCGATTCTGGGGTCGATGGAAGGCAGCGTGTACCCGGAGGAGGTGAGTAATAGCTCATTGGAGCAATACAAGAGGCGAGCCCGAGCTGCTGAATTTATCACTTTGCTCACTCTCTACCAGTACATTCCCAGTATGATCAGGTGGTACAGGGCAGGGCGTTTCCCCGTGGATAAGTTGGTCAAGTTCTACTCAGCCAAGGACTTCCGAAAAGCAGTGAAGGACATGGAGGAGGGCGTTGTTATAAAACCGGTTCTCATTTGGTGAACTGGTGTTTAATGTGCAATTCATGGGATGTGGGCAATGGAACGCCCCCAAGTGTTAGTTTGAGGGCATCATTTATGGCTCTAATCCAATAACACCTGCACATCTGAGTTAACTGATGCATCCGGACCTCACTTCAATCTCCTCGTCTCGAATTGTAATTGAGGATACATTGATTTTCAGTCACATTCCCAAACACTGCCAGCCCTGAAGGTCCGAGTCGTTCTCGCATTCGCGTATGTGCCTAAATGTCAGAAATAAGGTGGACAGGTAGAGTGATAGGGCCAAATAGCCCCTATGGGCCAAAGCAATAGATTGAACCTAAGGTTTAAGTATCTTTAAGGGTGCATATGTTGCGTGAAAGCCTTTAAATAGTGGCTGTTTCTCTTGGTATTTAGGGCTTAAAGGGCCCAAAGGGCTTATGTAATATTAATCCTTAATAAATTATTCCCTTTTTCTTAAGGCTTATCCTTAAGCTTATTATTTTTGCTTTATTTTTATATTATCTTTACTTTATTTTATTAGGTAAGTTTTTTATAATACTTTTAAATAAGTGCTTTAAATAAGTGCTTTAAATAAGTGCTTTAAGTAACTTTATTTTAAATAAATAACTTTTTAATGCCTTTATATTATCTTTATAATGCTTTTAAAGGCGGTTTTTATAATATTAATTTTAATTAAGTTAATAATATAATTATTTATTATTTTTTTATATTTTTTTATTATAATATATTTTTTTTATAACCTTATTTTAAGGCCCCTTTAAATAAATAACTTTTTTATATTTCTTTTATTTTAAATTAATATTTTTAAATATATAGCTTTAAATATCCTTGCTTTAAATAAATAACTTTTTTACCTCGCCTTTTTATTCTTTTTATTTTAAATAAATATTATTAAATATATAGCTTTTTTATAATATTTAATAATACCCTTAATAATACTTTTAATAACTTTAATTTTTTAATAAAATTAAATTAAATATAAAGTTTTTTAAATATAATATTTATATTCTTTTTATATTACTTTATTATTATTTTTATATAATGTTTTTAAGCATTTTTTAAAATAATATTATTATTTAATATAAAGTAATTAGCTTTTTCATTAAAAATATAAATTTATTAAAATTTATAAAGCTTAATGAAATTTATATTTATTATTATAATATAAGGCTTTTATTATATATTTAACTTATTAATTATATATCTTTATTTTACTTTATTTTAATTAAGCTTATTTAATTTACTTTTTTAAAGTTTATAATATAACGGCTTTTAATTATAACTTAAGGTAAATAAATATATAATTTTTAAAAAGCGCCTTTATAATACTCTTATAAATAATGCTTTTATAATTAATATACTTTTTTAATAATGCTTATATATAATGTTTTTATAACGGTTTTTTAACTTTATATATAACTAACTTTTATAAAAGCTATAAAAGTTTTATTATATTATTTTTATAACGCTTTTATAACTTAATAAATAAATAAATAAATAAATAAATAAATTATATATTATATAATATATAATTATAACTTTACCCTTTATTTCTTTTATTTTCTTCATTTCTTTTATTTCTTTTATTTCTTTTATTTCTTTTATTTCTTTTATTTCTTTTATTTCTTTTATTTCTTTTATTTCTTTTATTTCTTTTATTTCTTTTATTTCTTTTATTTCTTTTATTTCTTTTATTTCTTTTATTTCTTTTATTTCTTTTAAAAGAATTTTTATATATATATTGTTGGCGGGGGCAGGGAAATATGTAAGAAATAATACTGCGCTAAATTTTAACTAGCTATAAAAAGCTAGCTTTTATATTTATTTTTAACATTTTTTTAAGAAATTAACTCTTTTCTTTTTTTATATATTTAATGCTTTAATTAAGCTTTTCTTATTTTTAAGAATTTTTAAAATATTTATCTTTTCCCTTTCTTTGTTATGGGCTGGCCCCAGAGGGGCTGCAGGCTGGCTAGCGCCTTCTTCCATAAGCTGTAAAAGCAGCAACCATTTGCGCCAAAAGGTACGTAATAATCCAAGCTCCCTTGGATTATCTAGCCACACTATATAAGGCTTGGGCTTCTAGCCCAAGCCCATCACATTCTTTAACTTTCTTTTATTCCTATCTTCCCTCTTTATTACATTAAAGCTCTTCCTTAAGTTATCCTTAAGAGGGTTTAGCAAGACCTGTCCCTTATTTATTTAAGTAGCTCGTTTTTAATATATATATATATATTATATTTATATTTATATTTTATATTTAAATATAAATATAAATATAAAAAAATATAAAATATAAAATATAAATATAAATACAAAAGAAATATAAATATAGATATAAATACAAAAAAAATATAGATATAAATACAGATATAAATATAAATACAAGATACATAAATACAGTTACAACTCTGGCTATTTCTCTTGGCATCTGGGGCCCGAAGGGCCCGAAGGGCCCACGTGACGTTGATCCCTGACACTAGACTTCAACTCCGCGCAAATGCATGAAACCTCTCCTTTCCAGTTAGGCTGTTTCAAACCGCGCCAAATTTAGGGTAGCATCCAAGGTCCGCCCGGCCATTTTTAGTAGCAATCCGATGACATCTTCAAATGCCCATGATTGGACAATGCTGCTCCCGTGAGATCTGCGACCGGTCCGCAGACCGGACCGACATGGTGGATCTGGATCTGGCGTAGTGCAGAGCAACATTATCGCTACAGGCAAGCTTTACCAGCCTCCTACGGCGTGAAAGAAATGTTCGTGCACGGAGAGCTCGGAAAGAGTGATGCCTCCGAAGTTTGAAGATACGGGTATTGGAATGATCTACAGAACTCAGGAAAAGGTCACTCTTACCTCACGGGCTTCTCACCGAATCAAAACTCTGGGACAAGGTCAAGTTGATTCAGATGTTCCAAAGCCAAGGACTTTGTTATGATGAAGTGGCCGTGTACTAGGTGAGGGGGCATTCGTAATCACCAAGAGAGTTTCATCTTGTCCTATATAATGGCCTCCCCCACTTGTGTATTTCAGCACATGCGGGGTTTCTTTCGAAATCAAAATCTTCTCCTTCATAGTAGTCACCACAACGAAACACCCACACTGCATTTCAAGTACATCATGTCTGCAACTGTGATTAACGGCGGAGGGTCCATCCATCTCAACGGCCAGTCGGGTTCAAAAAAGGACTTCAACGACAATTTTGTACAGATCATCAATGGCAAGAGCACCTCTACAAAGGCAACTCGCCACGGCGTTAATCCAGCCACTCTTGCGCCATTGGCCGAGGTCCCAGTAGCAACTCAAGACGACCTCGACAGTGCCGTCACCGCAGCCAAGGCCGCCTTCAAGACCTGGTCCAAAACCCCATACGACGATAGGCGGAGTGCGGTATTGGCATTCGCCGACGCCATCGACTCGCTGAGGGTGGAGTTTCGCGACCTGCTCATCACCGAGCAAGGAAAGCCTGTGAGATTGAACTTGGGCCATGAACACGATATGACAATGCGCATGTGCTGAGGTTAATTGGTTAGATCCCCCAAGCAGATGCGGAAACAGATTCGGCAATCGCCTGGATCAGGGGCATGGCTGACCTGCCACTGCCGGAAGATGTCATCGAGGACAACGAGAAGAGAACGGTCATCACGCGGTACACGGCCATTGGTGTAGTGGCAGCCATAATACCGTGGAACTTTCCGCTGATGCTCGCCACGGGCAAGATCGCGCCAGCGCTCCTGACCGGAAATGTCATTATCGTCAAGCCTTCGTGAGCCAACACTCTCCTCCATAGGATCAGAACCATTTCCCGCTGACAAGTGGGGCATAGACCGTTCACTCCGTATTGCGGATTGAAGCTAGCTGAACTGGCACAGAAGTTCTTCCCTCCAGGTGTGGTCCAGTCTCTTAGCGGTGACGACAACCTCGGTCCGTGGATCACGAGCCATCCCGGCATCGACAAGATCAGCTTCACGGGATCTACGGCTACTGGGAAAGCCGTATTGCAAAGTGCCAGCAAGACACTAAAACGTGTGACTCTCGAGCTGTGAGTGCCTACCCAAGCTAGCTACGGTCCCTTCTCGAACGGAAGCGTGAAGCTGAATTGTCGCACAGGGGCGGAAATGATCCTGCGATCATTTTTCCAGACATAGATGTTGAGAAAGTGGCGCAACAGATCGCAATCTGGGCGTTTCTGAACTCCGGTCAGATTTGCTTGAATTTGAAGAGGATTTATGTCCACGAATCCATCTACGAAGATTTCAAAAAGGCCATGGTCAAGCATGCAGGAAGCTTCGCTTTCGGCGAGGGCACGCAGCCAGGGATCACTCACGGGCCACTGCAGAACCGTATGCAGTATGATCGAGTGAAGACTTTCTTCAACGACATTGCCAAACAGGGCTGGGAGGTGGCTCTCGGAGGCGAGATGTCCGATGAGCCGGAAAAAGGATACTTCATCAAACCGACCATCATCGATCGGCCGCCGGAGAAGTCACGCATCGTGGTTGAAGAACCATTCGGTATGTCTTTAATATTCTTTGCTTTTATCCTCTATATCGAGAGATTAATCTTCACATAGGTCCCATCGTTCCGCTTCTAACTTGGCAAAACGAGGAGGACGTAATTGATCGCGCTAACGATACCACCATGGGGCTCGGAGCCTCCGTGTGGTCGAATGACATCCGAAAGGCCACTCGTGTCGCCAAGGAGATACAGGCAGGCAGCGTTTGGGTCAACACGCACTTTGATATCTCGCCGATAGCCCCATTCGGTGGTCACAAAGAAAGTGGAATCGGGAGCGAGTGGGGACTCAACGGTCTTAAGGCATTTTGCAACGTACAGACTCTGTTCCTGAACAAGTCGCTGCCGTAATAATTAACAAACTCTTTGCTCCTTAGTTTAGTATTGTTTGAACTGATTTTAATTGACATGTTGTACTTCATGCCTCATCAGATCACACGCTCAATTACTCTTGTTAATGTAACCAATGAGTGTAAAGGTGCCACCACATTTCACATTGGGCGGGTTATCATAGTACCAACAATTGGGGTGAAAACAAAATGACGCAGGAAATACTGCTGAGTCCTCTACACCAGGATGAAACAGCTAGATATTGAGCATACTTTTATAGACAGATGACTTTAACTATAAAACATGTAAAATAGTGTATGGCCTGTGATGTCTCTTAATGCTATCTATAGGAGTCTTGTTACCTTGGTATTTCTTGGAATTCATTTCACTCTAATTTCGTTCACCTAGACAACTAGAGCTATTCTAGTGATATTGAAGAAGCATGGACGTGCTATGAAGACTTGGATCCGTTACCTTCCTTAAGTTGAAGAACGAATGGAAGCCAACATACTCAGCTGGTGCTAAGAAAAGGAACCAATACATTGGTATCCTCAAAATCATTTCCATTTGCCACCATGGTGTGTTCATGACGCAATAAAGTATCTGAAGATGTTGTTAAGCGTAGCTGGGAGTGACCCGAGCTTGCAAGGGGCGCTCACAGCGGCGGTTGAGTTTAATATCATAAATCTGCAAAATGTTTCTCGTGTAGGGAGTAGTTAATTAATATATCGTTTTATACCTATGGGTTGAAGAAGGGAAGTGCACAGTAATAAGGCTAAGCGTATTAAAGGGGGGTTTAAGGGATCCCCCCTAGGAATCAAAATAGCTTTTAGGGCTTGATAGCAGATATAAGTCATTCCTCACAATCACCTCAAGTCACTATTCCTAGCTATGCTTATCCTTGGGTATGATTCCTTAAAGGTCCCCGGCTAATAATATAATCATAACCCCCTCGGCTGGCTTTTTAAAACCTAGGTACAATTAATATTACCCCCATAGCCTTGCGGAGGTCCGTATGGTACCAATTTCGGGGAACCGCACCGGGCTTTTAATAGAAGAGGTAATTTGATGGATGATTAACTTAGATATGGCTAAAGATAACTGGACTGTGAAAATGGTAGTCCAAGAGGTTCTAGCATTGTTGTTTAGTAATATTCATCAGCCTTTGATGGTTGATTTACTCAGGGTTGAGCCCCTGTAAGGTTTTGACTTCAATTTATTACCAGATAGCGGGAAAGTAGTACTTATTCACTCCTTCAAGCTTTTTCTTGTTCATTTGCGATGTATTCAAGTCTAGCAGTGCTTTGTCCCTCTGCCCATTTGCCTGGTTGCAGCCATTGCAGCCTAAGTAGGCGTTTGTCAACTGAAACAAAGCAAGTTCATTCTATCTATTCGCCGAAGCGACAGATGTTTAGATTTTGTCTGAGAGTCGGTATGACTGGCTGCCAAAAGGGGATCAAGCGCAGCTTACCTATTCCAACGCCAACTCCTTTGCCTAAAGAGAGCACATCTAGCCTCCAACTTCGCAAACCAAAGGAACGCCCAAACCAAAGCCTCACCAGGATAATATAACACACCACATCGATAGAAAAGAACTTCTAATCGGTGCAGGTAGATATGCCTCCTCGAAGGAGGGAGGAGGATGACCCGGCGGCGATGAGGGTAGTAGTGATCGATCCCGCGGCAGTGCTCAAGCTGGCCCTGGGCTTCCTGTTTTTGTATTACGGCCTCATATGGGTTCTTCCCTTCACCGAGAGGGGTCTAGATGCCTGGTGGATAGGACACACTAGCGGCGGCTCAGCTCGTGGACGTGGCCTTCCCACACCTCTGGTACAAGGCGAGCTGAGGTTGCTACCAGATGGTGACGACCGAATTCGCGATGGTGCCAACCGCAGCGATTATTATCATGACTTCAACATGGTCAATGTCCTCGACCGCATTACCAGCCACCCCCAACGTTTCCTCAAGGCTCGCTATGTCACCACGGCACGCATTCTATCGGAAGAAGTCACGGCGCCGGACTTTACAGATATAGCCCGGTCGCCACCGTCCAACAGGACGGCTGATCTTATGGGCTGGCTGAGGGCAGACACGTACAGTATCTGTAGGACCATGATGCAAGGAACGAAGCAGACGATTTTTACGCTTGCACAGCAGGAGCGTTCGTGTGGCGTAACCGATCCCGCAAGCCAGCAGCCCGCCGAAAATGACGCCGCCGAACATGCTGGTCCCCAGGACATACGCTGCTCTGCAGAGGCCGCAAACAAACGCGATAGACTCCTGCGTTCGGCTCGGAGCTTTGAAGAAGAGATGAAGCCTGCTTGTAATCAGATCTGGTCTGTCCTCCGGGAGAGCAAGACCGCCAGCCGCAGCAACGCTTTTCAGAGGGGGTTGCTTAAGGAGGTCAAGGCGGCGATGACCGACATGGAGGCAGAGCTCAAGCTCCTCCGCGACATTGTTTTGATCCTGTTTACTGCCGATATCGCCACGCACAGCCAGCCCGAGCGACTTATGCAGCACCTGCGCCGCAGGGGAGAAATTGGTGGCGTGCAGCTTGAGGTGCTGGCATCGAGGGCGGCAACAGGCTACCCTGGCGACCTCGATTCGTTCACAGCCGTTTTTCTGCACATTCTGCGTGGCACTAATCTCATAGACTCGCCAAATGAGTTGCCAAAGTTCGGCATTTGGGCTGATCCGCTGTTGTCGTCGATGACCCCGTCGCAATGGCGCAACCGGTGGATCCGAGTGGAGCTTGAATCGCAGACGCGCATAGTCAATACCACTTCGGATATGCTTGCCTCAGCCATCCTGCCAGGGGCACGCGAGTGGTTGATCTTACTGAGAGAGGTCAACAACACTGAGGTTTTCGAGACGACCAGCAACGGCTACGACGCTACGGACGATGAGGCTTCACTTTTCGACTGGGACTGGGACTGGAACAGGCACTCATGGGCTGACCCCAATAAGGCAGACCGCATGGTCAAGGCGGTCGAAGACGGGGCGGATCATCTGAAATTCCTCAGGGGCTACCTCCTCCAACTTCGAGATGGCTTGCCAGGCATGCTGAACCGCCTGGACCGGTGGGACGATGAGGTGGTCCAGCTGGCCGACGATCTGACAACGGTGCTGTCGTGGGGAAAGAGATACACAGGACGTCGGCATAGCCGAGGGAAACGACGACCCCAGTCGCAAAGACATCATGACAGAAGTACTGGCGGCGGCGGTGGCGAGTTGGAGATCACACGATGGCAAATCCACCCATCGAGCCTGGGGCCAATATGGTGGGGGCTGAAGGATCTGGAGCGCGCACTCAAAGACTCCTGGGCCCGGTCAGAGAGCTTTAACCCGCAGGATGCATGGCAGGACAATTGGTTCGAGTCGCAGATGCACAGATGGAGCAGCGAACGGGCTGCTTTAAGAGCCGAATGGGCGGTGGAGCAGGGCCAAATAGAGCGGGCGAGGAGGTCATTTTGGCAACATGTTGGGCATATGATGGGATTAAACTGAAGAGGTCAGTCAGGGTTGTCCTTGTGGGGTCGATGCACTAGATGGGATTACTGTCTGAAATCATAGTCACTCTCGCCCATAACAACGAACTGGACATACCCTAGAGTAGATACGCCTGTCCCATGTGCCAAACGGGAAATTGCTCATGGTCATTTACGTTGAAGATATTGAATCATATAAATCACTATCAACAGGCGAAATGAATTACTTGAACTGATGTGTTCACATGCTGGAGCAAACGTAGCAAAGCTCGCGATTGGTGTATGCTGGGATGCATTCCAAATAGCAAAATTAACCAGTGAGCATAGTCGCTGTCAGGAAGGCTCCGAGTACCAGCCAGTTTGCATTGATCCGGCCCCCGCCGCCCTGCTGATCGTTCTGACCTTCGTCACCTTCCTGACCTTGGCCATCCCCTCCGTCAAGACCCTCGGCAGTTGGCGCCATGCTCCCTTCGGTAGCCGTCTCAGCCCGAGGGCACGATAACTTGGCCGTCACCAGGCCACCAGTCCTTAGCTCACGGAAGCTGGCCATGACGGGCCATGCTAAACTTTCGATATGGTTGTATGAGGTAGCGTTGCCACACCCACGCCCATAGGCGTCACCGAAAGTCCTCTGTTCCCGCCCGTCAACCCCCCACGCCCGGATATCGGACGCACTGTACCAGGCGGCGGCGCAAGTACTGCTAAAAAGTTCGACGTTGTCTCCAAGCTCAGCGCATTCTGGAATCTCCCTGGCTATCGGGCACGAGCACCCTCTAGAAGTATGTTTTGAGGTGGCTTCCTGCTCCATGGCGGCGATGCACTCGGAGCTTAGCACGCTCGAGCAGGACCCGTTGTCTGCGCGCAAAGGGGCTGGGTAGGCGGCGCTCCAAAGTGACCATTCTTAGAGACAGACCATCCAATTGTCGTCAATTGCGTCGTTGGAAGTCGAAGAGTCATTGGCCGGTGAGAATGGGCTGTTAAAAACCAGCTTTCCTCCAGTGTAGAATTCTTCGCCGTCATGGGCCACGGACGGGGGGATCGGCAAGTCGGCCAGAACGCTGACTAACGTGTCTAGTCAGCACGAGGACTCGTATAATAGGGTTCAAGAAGAAGGCCATGAGGGAACAGAAGTTTGCTGTTTGCTGAGTCGACCACATACTAGGGCGTGCGCTTAGGCACGGCAGAATGAATGATAGGGTGCCGCGGCGACGTCACTTACTAGTCCAAGACCAGCCTTCAGATGTGTTGGAGGCTGTTGCATTACTTGAAATGCTGGGACCCGGAACAGGAAAATTGCCTGTTGCATTCGGGCTTTGGAGGAGGATGTCAAAGTCAGATTTTCCCTCGTGCCAAGGCCCCTGCTTAGACGTCCCATACAATGCTGCAATGCCGCCTTCGACGACCTCTTGGGCCTCTGCTAGCCTCAGGCCAGCGCCGACTGCGGCGGCAGAGAAAAGGAGACTCTTTCGCAAATTGATGTGTATCTTTGGAACGGTAAACGAGCCTGAAATCAGCAACTCAATCAGAGCCAGTGTTGCGAGTGTCTTACAATCTTGGTGATGAGGTTCATTCACTTTGACGTTGTTCTGCACCCACTTCGTCTGGTGAGTACGATTCCCAACAGGGTTTCAATTACGCTGCGGCACAGTGCAGCAACCTCAGGCCAATACGGCGGTTTTTCCAAACGGTACCATGGACGGCTGATGTTGAATGAGCCAGCGCGACTTGGCGGGAAGTCCATTTGGGTTATAAATTTGAAAATCCTGACGACGGCCAAGAAGAGCTCCCAGGATGCAGAACTCGGGGGCTCGAGGTGGACAGGAAGGATTGTCAGGTTGCTGCACGTGTTGGTTGGCTCAGCTCTTACGCGCGCACACTTACAACGGTCTATCTACTTATGTACTTGCAAAGTGAGCCAACATAGACTCGCTACCATGATTTTTCTTCGGATCTGTCGGCACTGCATCATTTCGGTCCGGACCATAACCACCGGAACTTGGCAGAAGCGGCTGATCACATCGGGCTGTGGAAGTGTCTGAAGGCAGCGAACACGATTTAGCCACGAAGCATGCAGCGTGAGGTTATGTATGCCAATAAATAATCGGGTCTTTTTGTCGATCTATGAATGTTGGTTGAGCCGCGACATTGCCTTGACGTTGGTTCCTGTGGCGACTCTCGGTTGCAGCTCCAGTGGGTCCGGATGTTGTCTATTTTCATACAGCGTGTAAGGATCCCAAATCTTCCCTAGCAATGATCTGCATTATTATTTCCGCAATAAGTATATACCTTTATAGATTAATATAATAAATTTAATATAGCAACCTTTTAAAAAATAGATAAGGATTTATAAATATATAATTATATATATATTCCTCTTTAATATCATGGTTTAAGCTTTGCCATTATAATTAATTAGCGGGCTTTAACCCTATAAAAATAAGCTTTAGCATAAATGTAAATAAAGAGCGAACCTCTTCCTTTGCACTTTAAATATAAACCTTATTTAAGCACCTTTCGCTTTAAAAGCATAAAGCAAGCTTATAATATATATTTAAAGATTTTTTATATTATAAACTTATAATATAATTATATAAAATTTAATATAATAAGACTTAAAAAAAATAATAGCTTGCTAAGCTTTTTTTTATTTTAAGAAACTCTTATTTTAAAAATGCTTAATAATTTAATTAATAAATATAAGGGTTAAATTTATAATAAATAAAAAGGTAATTAATATTAAAAGGGCTTAATTCTTTTATATATTTAATTAATTTAAAACTTTTTATAATTAATTTTTATCTTATATTAATTTTATAAAAATATTTAAAGAATAATTAAAAAACTTTTTAAAAAAGATTTACTTTATATTTAAAAACCCTTTTAAGCAAAGATAAATTAAACTTAGCTTAATTATATTATAATAGCGTTATAAAAAAAATTAATAAAATATCTTGCTTAATTTAATTAATTAATTTATATAATAAAAACTTAAAGTTAATTAAATAAATATAAGATATTATTAATAATTAATAATTTAATCTTTATAATAAAAGCTTAGCTTAATTATAAAAAGTAATTAAAAATATTTTTAATATTATAATAAAAAAAGATAATACTTAATATTAAAATAATAAAGTAATAAATATTAATATTATAATAATTTTAATAAATAAAGTTAAGTATTTTATATATAATTAATTTAGCTTTATAAAATATTTAAAATTTAAAAACTCTTTATTAATAAAGTAAATTATTTATAATTAAGCATTAATTAATTATACATTATATAATAAATTTATAACCTTAAGGTTTAAAATAAAAAAGCTTATATAAAAAGCTTAAATTAAAAGATTATAAAAATATTATTAATTTAATTATTAATTTATACTTAAATAATTATTTTTTATTAATTTATTTTAATTAATATATTAAATTATAAGCATTAAAAATATATTAATTATAAAAAATAAGCTAAGCCTTTAATATATTTAAAAAGTATTAAAATATAATTAAATAATTAAATAAAGAGTAATGTTAAATTTATAATTAAATTATAATATCTTTTATTTTTTATTAAATAACTACCTTTTTAAACTTATTATAAAAACTTAAAAAAGAAAGATATATTTTAATTTAAGCTTTATTTATTATAATTAATTAACAACCTTTAACTTTATAAAAATAAGCTTTAATATAAATATAAATAAGGAGTAAACTTTTTCCTTTATACTTTAAATATATATTTTATTTAAATACCTTTAGCTTTAAAAGCATAAGGCAAGCTTATAATATTTAAAAGCATATAAGTTTTTTTTTTATATAAATACTTTTAATAATGCTTTAAAATAAATATATAAATTATTTATAAAACGTTTTAATTTAAATTTATTTAAATAATATTAATTATATTTTTAAGAAAATTACTTTTAAGGTTATTAATATTATAATTATTATTAATTTACCTTTTTATAATAACTTAATATTTTCAATAAAATTAAGGTTTAAAAGATATAACGATTAATTAATTAACTTAATTTTAAAAGCTTATAATATAATTACAAAATCTTCCGCTATATTAAAAGGGAAAAAAACCCATTAATTGCCTAAGGGACTTTTTTATAGGCTTATTAAAGGCTTAATAAGGGCTTACCACGCTAAGCTTTAAGGGGTACTGCATTAAATACCCTTTATAAAATAATTAAAATATTATTTGCAATAAGCTATATAGCATGCCTTTTAAGGGGTTGCCCCTTATAACTTATATCTTATTATAAGCCTCTTTATAATTAAATTTCTTTATATTAAATTAACTTATTTAATATAGCTAGAAATTAAACTTAATGCCCTTGCATTATTAATATAATGTGAAACTAATTATACACGTAAGTTTTTAGGTACGGTTCCACTTTTTTTAACGTAAACGGTTAGTTATAGCTACCATTTAATGTAATCACGAAATCTTTCGCTGCGCTAAAAGGGAAAGGAACCTATTAATTGCCAAAGGGATTCTTTTGCAGGCTTATTAAGGGCCCAACAAGGGCCTGCCACCCTAGGCTTTAAGGGGTATTGCATTAACTTATAAAGCTTTTCTTATTATAATAATATAATAAAAAGAAATATTATTATATATAAAGTAAGCAATAAAATTAATTTTTATTATAATTTAAATAAAAAGGAAGATTTTATTAATATAAAGTTATATAATAATTTTTATGCTTTATAATTATAATATAATATAATCATTATTAATTCTTTATAAATTATTATTAAAATATTTATTTATAATAATTTTATTTTTTAATAATATTATATATAAAAGGATTTTTATAATAATTATAAGGTTAATTAATAAATATTTATTTATAATATATATATATTATAAATTATATTTACATTAAATATATTAAAATATAATATTTTTACGTTAATATATATAGCTTATTTATTATAAAGTAATATATATTTTTTATTAATTATATTTTTTAACTTTAAGTATATAAAATTATAAATTTACTTATAAGATATAAAGATAAGATTTATTTGCTTATAAAAAGGTATAAAGTATTACTTTTTAAATCTTTATAGGATTATATAATTTATAATACTTTTTTTTAAAATATAAGGTAAATAACATTAATAATAATAATAATTTAGCTATAAAAATATTTAAATTTAACTTAATATTATATTTCCTTACATTTAAGCTTTAAATAAATATTATAAATTATTTAAATAATATATTATTTAATTATAAATAAAGTTTTAATTTTTTTATATAATTATTTAATTAATAATATTAATAATATAAAGAAAATTTAAGTAATAAGTTAAATTTTACCGTTATTATTAATTAAATTAAAGAAATAATAATAATAATAATAATAAAAGGCGTTAATATATAAATATATTAATAATTTAAGAATATTTAATATATTTTAAGAGCTTTAATTAAGTTTTTAAAAAAATAATTAAGTTAAATTATTAAAAGTTATTTTATATTAAGCAATTTAAGGGTAAAATTAAAGGGGAATTTAATAATATTTTAAAATATTATGGTTTAAGCTTTGCCCATTATAATTAATTAATAGGCTTTAGCCTTATAAGAATAAGCTTTAGCGTAAATATAAATAAAAAGCGGATTTCTTCCTTTATACTTTAAATATAAACTTTATTTAAGCACTTTATAATAAATACCTTAAAGTTAACTTATAATATATATTTAAAGTTTTTTTATATTATAAACTTATTATATAATTATATAAAACTTAATATAATAAAATTTAAAAAGAATAATAACAGCTTATTAAGCTTTTTCTTATCTTAAGAAATTCTTATTTTAAGAATACTTAGCAACTTACTTAATAAATATAAGGGCTAAGTTTATAATAAATAAAAAGGCAATTAATATTAAAAAGACTTAATTTTTTTTATAACGTTAAGCACCAATGAACGATGCATATTAATGAGCGACGTACTTTTTAGCATTAAGAGCATAATAACTTAAATTACAGCATTATAATTAAAAAAAATTAATTAAATTTAATTAAAATTGGAATTTATAGATTATTTTATATTTTTCTCATAGGTTCGCGCATTATGCTTAGTTTCGCCATAGTTATTATATTATCTTTTTATTAGTTTATCGCGGATTAACTCCTTAGCGCCATTACTTATTTCATTAACTAGCTGCTTTCCCTTTTCCTTTTTATTAATTAACTCTTTAACCTCTTATATAGTAAGTACTCCTTTATTTTATATATATATATTTTTTAGCCCTTTAATACTTAAAAAGTACTGCATTTATAACTTAAAGATTATTAATTTCTTAAGTTAAAAGTATAATTATATAAGCTAATAATTATATACTCTTTATTAACCTATTAATAATAGTTAAAATTAGTATTAAGAAGCTTTCTTAGTAATAAGAAATTTAGTTTTTAATTAAAGTTAATTAAAAAACTGCTTATGTTAAGTTATATAATATTTAAGAAACTTAAGGTATAGGTAATGCTAAGGAGCTTAATATAGCTATTAATATTTAAATTTTAATATTTAGCTTAAAAAGCATAGCTTTTTAATTAAATAGAATAAGGCTTGTTTTTTTAAAACCTTTCTTAATGGTTTTTAGCTTAAAAACCCTTTTATATATAACGTAAAAGGTAAGAAAGAACTTTATTTTATTAATATAAGTAATTTAAGCCTTATTAAATTAATTAATTTCTATATTATATGCCTTCTTTAATAAATTAAAATACTTAATATTTAATAGCTAAAGTAAATAAAATAAATAAAAAAGTATATAAAAAATAATAATATTCTTAAACTTATAATATTGCTTAAAATTTATAAAATAATAGCTTTTATGTTTATTAAGGATTAATAATTAGTAAATGCTCTTTATATATAATATAATATATTTTTTAAAGTGTTAAATTTATTTTATAATAATTTTATTACTTATTTATTTATTTAAGCTTATTTTAATTACTTAATTATTTAAAAGGTTGCTCTTAATATATTAGCTTGCAAGGTATATCTTAGCCTTAATAATTAAAAATAGCGATTTATATTATTTATCCTTATTAATTAATTTAATAGTTATTGCTTATTATTAATTCCTAAGCTATATTTATTTTGCTTATCTTTATTAATTAAAATATATAATTATTATTTTAAGTAATTTAATGCTTATTATAAAGCCTAATTTATTAAAGTTATAAGTATTGCAATTAAGAATACTATATTTATTATATATATTAAATATAAGGTTAAACTATATATTTATTATATTAAGATCTTTGCATAAAGCCCTTTAATAATTATATATATAATTAATATATATTTTAAGATATAATTTTAATAAAATAAGTCTTTTTGCTTAATTAATCTTAATGGCGTTATTATTATAATTGCAAAGCAAAGAATTCATTATATCTTTAATATCCTTAAAAATAAGCAAGTATCCTTGCAAATCTTAATTAAGTATATATTAAATAAGCATCTTTTTTTTTATTTTTATTAATTTCTTATTATTAAGATAGGTATTGCATTATGTAATTTAACTAGCCATTTTATGGCAAAGGGTAGATTTAAGGACTTAGTAAATATTAGCTATATATTATTTGCTTAATTTTGGGTTATTTTAAAGAGCTTGGATAACAAGTTTAATCTTATCTTCTTTTGTTTTATTTATTTTAAAATATAACGCAAGAAAACGTGATTATAAGATATATTATAATAGTTCTGGGAAAAGTGCGTTGCTCGCTAATGTGCGTTGTTCGTTAGTGCTTAACGTTATATTTAATTAATTAAAAACTTTTTATAATTAATTTTTATCTTATATTAATTTTATAAAAATATTTAAAGGATAGCTAAAAAGCTTTTAAAAAAAAAATTATTTTATATTTAAAAATCCTTTTAAATAAGGATATATTAAGCTTAGCTTAATTATATTATAATAATATTATAAAAAGGAAATAATAAAATTTCTTATTTAATTTAATTAATTAACTTATATAATAAAAGCTTAAAATTAGCTAAATAAATATAAATTATTATTAATAATTAATAGCTTAATTTTTATAATAAAAGCTTAGCTTAATTATAAGAAATAATTAAATATATTTAAGGATTTTTACTTTATTTTATAATAATATAAAAGTGTTTTTAATATTATAATAAGGAAGAATAATATTTAAATTTAAAATAAAAAAGTAATAAATATTAATATTATAATAAATTTAATAAATAAAGTTAAGTATTTTATATATAATTAATTTAATTATTATAAATATAATTATTTTAATTATTATAAAGAAATAAAGATATAGCTTTTATTAATTAAAATTAATAAAAAAAAGAAGTTTATTTAAGAAGATATAAAACTTTTTTATAAAATAAAGCTTAAAATATTATTAATTTAATATTAACTTAAGCTTAAAGTAAGTTAATTATATATTAGCTAATTTAATATTATAAAATATTTAAAATATAAGAATTCCTTATTAATAAAGTAAATTATTTATAATTAAGCATTCATTGATTATAAATTATATAATAAATTTATAATTTTAAGGTTTTAAGTAAAAAAGCTTATATAAAAAGCTTAAATTAAAAAATTATAAAAATGTTATTAATTTAGCTATTAGCTTATACTTAAATAATTATTTCTTATTAACTTACTTTAATTAATATATTAAATTATAAAGGTTAAAGATATATTAATTATAAAAAATAAGCTAAGCTTTTAATATATTTAAAAGGTATTAAAATATAATTAAATAATTAAATAAAGAATAATATTTAATTTATAATTAAATTATAATATTCTTTATTTTTTATTATATAACTACCTTATAAGGCTTATTATAAAGATTTGGAAAAAAAGAATATATTATAATTTAGGCTTTGCTTATTATAATTAATTAACGGGCTTTAGCTTTATAAAATTAGGCTTTAACGTAAATATAAATAAGAAGCGGATCTCTTTCTTTGCATTTTAAATATAAACCTTATTTAGGCACCTTATGGTAAATAACTTAAAGCTAGCCCATAATATAAAAAAATATATAAGCATAATAATAAGGAGGTTATTAATAAGTATTGATATATTAATTAATATAATTAAGTGGTAAAGTTACTTATTAAGGCATTTATATAGGATTTTATATATTATGTAATTAAATGGGTACCTGGCTAATTAAATCCTCTTTGCTAGGGAAGATTTGGGATCCTTGCACGCTGTAAGTTTATCTGCATTTTAGGGTCTACCTAGGGACATGGGTCACATCAGGCGGGCAACTTTCAGCAGGCGATTTTCAACTGAAATCTAACAATGTTACTGCCGGAAGGGCTTTCTGAAATTGCAGCAATGTTGCCAGTTCGGAAGAATGAAACTGATTTGTGTTGTCACAGTCACCGATCGCTGTTCCTAACACCACGACTACCTCGGCGCTGGTATAATCTATCACTGGCTACCTGGCAGATCCGTCCCATGATCCTTTACCAGCACAAAATTTCGAAAAGACATGTGGAATCCCGCGAGTTTTATTTCGGCAGAACTCTGACAGCTTCGATGACAGTCTGGCCGGGCGAGTTTGCCAGTGATTTTGCTCGTGAGAGCATATGCTCTCCCTGGCAGTATGGAGATGGAATATCGGTAAACCTACATCGGTGGGAATGACTTTGCAGCCATGAGTCTCAAATTCGGTAACGGCGATCGAGCAACCAGCGTCTGCGAACAGAGTTACGATCATACTGCGGCCGCAATGCCGGTTGCAACGACATTATGGGCGGAATTGGCAGAAACGCACCAAAACTCGTCTTCTGGGCCCCCGGTGGTGATTGCGACCGTTGTGCCATCCTCACCCTCGGGCGGGCAGCCCGTCTCGTAGGATTTCAGCGACCTGCAGGCGATGTATTGTATTAGAACGACAACTTATGACTTTCAAGCAGCTGGGAGGGCCAGCTTGCGAGTCACCCACCAGACAGCCAAGGCTAGCTTGAGCACCATGAAGCAGGCAAGATTGACGACGAGTTTTGGGAACCTTTTGAGATGGTCTGTAATCAACTGTGAAGATCCTGTTTGAAAAGGGTAGCTGAAAGCCTTCCAAATTTCAAACACGGATCAACGTGAAAATAGCCCTGGCTTTCAAGGGCTCGTATTTATATAAATGTCGCTCCTAGGCAAAGCTACTAGTACCTCATGGAATACCAAGATGCACCAACTTCAAATGTGTGTTCTGAGACCTTCAAGATGAGATGGTGACTAAAACTTGCAATGTAGGATTCACCGTGCCCCCTTCAGTCTCCTGAACGTCCCTGTTGATGACAGCGACGATGACGCTGCTCGGGCACCAAACTGCTTCATTCAGGTGCCTGCAACCAAAAAAATTCCACTTGGAGGATTTGCTGTTGGTAGGTCAGACCGTGAGACTGTATGTACGAGTTCCTCCCATCCGCATCTGGGCAGCCCTGATTATTGTAGTTGGCGGGCTGCGCCATTTATCTGCAGCCAAAGGGACACATGACATAAAAACGGTAAGAGTCAACTTGTGAAGAATTATGACCGAAAGTAATAATTGTACGAGTGAACAGAAACTTCCACACAGTCAACTCCTGGCTCAATCCGAGTCGTGGAGTCAGCCTCCGGCGGGGCTCGGAGCTTTCGCCTTGCCGTCAACGGCGCCGAGATCAAGCCCGCGTACGTGGGGCCGCCCTTGGCCGTCATTGCCCAGCGCAGGCCACCGATGTTCCCAAGATACGACGGTATCTGCGATGGGGAGTGGGTCCCCCTGCGAGGAAAGGAAGACTACACGCGGCCTGCCGACGGCACACAGATTGTCTCGGGCCTTTACACTGGGCCGGTGGATGTTTCCATAACCACAACACGCACGCAGAGCTGGAGCACCACCATCGACACGTCTATCGGGTTCGAGGATGTCCTCTCCCTTCTCAAGCGAGTGTTCCGATTCATTGTCTAATTACGAGGCCGCCACGTATCCCATCCCCGACGGCGAGTCCGGGTACGTGGTTTGGACGTCATATGTGCGCTGTACTGAAGGTGCGTGCAGTCATCCCTACACTGAAGTGTTGAGTTACCGGTTGGTAATAAGAGAAAAAGAGACACAGGTTCAGGGACGTGCGACGGCGAGGAAGTCTCTGGCGAAGTTTGCATCCCTTATCTGGATCAGAATTCGCAACAACTGGCTGGAATATACTCTCTGTCCAGGAGGGCTAGTCTTTTTCTGGCGGTTGTTATGATGTTATGTCCTCGCAGGAGGAAAGTGGTGGTGCCCCATAGTATGGCTGACATGGGACTCGGGGTGTATTTCGCAGGCTGTCCTTCGTGGTGATCGACGATGATCGTGTCAGATGACCGCGAACCTGGTACAGTATCTTCTAAATCAACCATATTTTTTCTTATTTGTCCTATTAGTAGACACCGATGGATGAGACTTAGCGCTTCGAATTCGAGTATGTTTGAATAGTGGAGACTCAAAGTAACTATCTCAGCTTAATCTGTCTCACCGCCACTCCCTACCCTAGTGGACATATCTGAATGCCACCACGGCATCGCCGCCATGACCAGCTTTAGATCCTCTTATATCGGCATGGCTGACAATACCCCTCTGCTCCTCCATCTCAAACTTCTTGTTCTGCTTCTTCAGGTAGTGCTTGATGAACAAGGCCAGGGCGGCGCAAAGCAAGCATGCCCCGCTCATGACACCCCCACCGGCGTAGTACCTGGGTTTCTGGCTGTCGGGGAACATGTACGCTGTGTAAAAGTGCGCGACTCCCGCACCCATAAAGTTGACGATGGCCAGGGCTGCAGCCCGCTTTGATCGCGGTCGGGGCAGTGATGCGCTCACCCAGCTTACGCAGAGGTTATATGGTGAATAGGAGCCTCCAGTCATCAAGAACATGGAGAAGTAGCGGCCGCCGGTAGATGGAACAAACATGGCCTTTCTAAGGGTCAGAAAGATGAAGGGGAATAGACTGCCGGAAGCAGATTGATACGCCAGAAATTGGGTGTGACTCACCAGAAGGTTCCCAAGAAGAGCCAACAGCATTGGAGCAGCGATATGATAGCCCCTCTCGTTCTTGTGTGAGGCGTGAAACGAGATACCTAGGGATACAAAGAAAGCAAAGAAGTAAGGTGGAGAAGTGAGCAGCAGAGTCTTGGTGCTGTCGTATCCGAGAGTGCCGACTATAGAAGGGAAGAAATTGTTGAAGGACTGAGCGGTGATCAGCGACATCTGCAAAATGACAAACATGTACAGTTTGCGGTCCTTCAGAGCTTCTTTCAGTCCCCACCAGATTGATTCGGGGTCTTCGTCAACGATTCCGGCATTTTCTTTCCTGATCCTCCATTCCTGCATCATGGTCTAAGTCAGCTGACTTCGGACAGACTTCAATCCAGATCTTTGATATCCCTTACAGCGTAAAGTTGCATTTTCCTGGAGAGGAAAAGATGTTTGCTCTGAAGCGGATAGTCGGTGAGGAGTGGAAGTAGCATGAGTGCTATGCCGACGGTCATAGAGCCCTCGATGATGAAGAGCCATTCCTGTGTCTTTACTTAGCGAGATAGTTTCCAGACGACAAGTTAGCCTGCCGCAAAACCCACCCATGAAGGTCTTCCAGCAACGTCTTGCATCTGTGATGTGACTGGGATGAATTAGTTACATCGTATTTCTCTAGACAGAAGAAATGGGGCACATAGCCATACTTCCCGCTGCGATAAGGCCAGAGAAAGCCGTGGCTAGCATGTTTCCACCGTAGAGGACGGCAATTCGCGGTGGTAGTTCAGCACGGGTGTACCAGCAGCTCAGGAGGACGAACACCGCCGGCAGAAATGGCGCTGTCACTTGTTAGCAGTAACTCCGGAAGCGGGTGGTGCAGCATTGGATATGCTTTGCTTGCCTTCGACAAGCCCGAGAATAAATCTGACAGATGCCAGTTGGGCAAAGTTCTTGGTAAAACCCTGGCTCATGGAAACAACACCCCACAGAGATGTGGTAATGCAAATGTAATAGGACCTGGAAAAAAGGTTAGCACGGGAGATCCATGATAAGATGGCCGTGTGCCAAAGGGACGCAAAGACGCCAGCAGATATTTGGGTCCAACTCACGGTCGAATCTTCCCGATGATCAAGTTCGACGGGACTTGCGTGAGACAGTCTTTTACAAAATCAGCCGCTGTCGGGAAACTTCTCCAGTACTCCGGTCAAAGAAGAGCGCGCGTACAGCCAACATAGAACATGAGTAAGCATGTATTGTATTGGTCGTTTGTTAAATTCAGAGTGTCCGTCAGACCAACAATCTTAGCACTGGCGATATTATTTCGATCCCTTCGACGAGACACCGTCAGAAAGAGAACAGCACTTCAGGTTACTCGTTGTTCATCTCACAAAATATTTAATAGAAACAGGATAAAAACAGCGGGTAGCAGTGTAAGATCCAGTCGTCGAGTTACCAGCCGGTTCAGCTTTGCCTGCTCAGCTGCACTCAGGTCGGCGATCTCGTCCGGGAGGGGCAGGTTATCCGGGATGAGGTCCTTGGGACTTTCGAAATGCTCAGCATTGTCCTTTTGCGGCGAAATTGTTTCAGACATAGCGGGCAAACATGAGCAGGTGCCTCATGAATAGGTAGACACTGAAAACAGAGTTTAGGCGAGTGTCTTCCAGTAAACTCTCGCGAGAGCTCATGTTGTATGGGCTTCAAGCACATATGACAGTTTGTTACATTTCGGCATCGGAGAGAAACCCGAGTCTACCCCAGACGACGCGGGGCCGGCTGATCGACGGCTACCCCAGAAGACCCCAGCTTGATGGTAATGTCGACCTGCCTGGAGTGCGGGGCCCCGCAATCTTTCAATTCACAACAGATCGCAGGGGGCACCGACTCCGGATCTTGGAATTTGTCCATCCGCTGTGGTGACCCATAGGCTCGGCAAGAAAGCCGAGGGCGTCAGCTGCATCGGCGCACCTCATTCGCGTTCCCAAAGGACGAGTAGAACTGCACCTAGCAAATGAAGGAAGTCCTTCAGTAAAAAGGCAGCTGCGAATTTTTGAGGTGGAAGATCAATCTTGACAACTTTGTGATGTTATCTGGTGTCAGTTGATAATTTCCAAGATGTTTTGCGGTGCACAGCAGAAACTACTGGTGACTAATATAGCCACCATCAAAGAAAAGGGTTTGTAATGTGCCGGAGAAGGGCATAACAGTAATCGAACGATAGGCTGGTGTCTTTCAGATGCTTGCTTGACTCGTTGGCATCGTCTCTATTATGGGATACAACTTGACGAAACCGACCAATCTATGTCCAGTCCCCGACCATGGAATACAGTTTCTGTCATGGCTTCTTCAGAGGCAGGTTACGACCACCGATGACACATTGTTAAAGGAAACCCACCGTATTTGCGAAGGGCTCCACGTCAGGGCTCGAACAGGTGCCACACCTCCACCAGCCATTTATTTATTCCATGAACGAGGACTACGATCCGGTGACAAAGATCAATGTGAGATGATGGATGGGAGATGATGGACAGTCCGTTCTGGACTATGGCTAATTTCCTACAAATAGCATGAAGCAAATTGCCGACTCGTTCCAACCGGAAGAGCACAAGATTTGAATCATCATGAAAAGCTTGAAACAAGTTCCCCTTAACAACTGAATATCAGCTACTTCGACTTTTATAGGGTGTAACGGAAGTCGGGGTGTCGGTCACCCTTCTTGCCCTGGTCAATCTCCCTCACTCTCTCATCGATGCTCATGGCTTGCCTCTTGTGGTTGATTCCATTCAGAGTCGTCCACATGATGAAGTATCCCACCGAAGCCATGGTGATAGTACCCAATGACACGGCATGGCCGATTGTATACCGACCATCCGAAGCCGTGATACGGTAGATCTGCCCAGCCATGAGACCAGCACTATTCCCGATTGTCTGCTGCAACCCAATCGCCGTGGCGCGCTTGAAGTACCCAGCGTTGCTGTTGGTAACCCAGGTGACGTTCAGTCCAACCACACAGTAGATCCCCGTTGCAGTAACAAATGTCGCAAAGTACTGCACCCCAGTCGTCTTCATGCTCACTCCCAGCATCAGCGCGTAGCCCGTAGCAGTGACGAGTGCCATGGGAACCATGAACACCGCACGTTTGTTGATCTTGTCCGAAATGTATGCGACGATGAGATAGACCGCCGAGGCCCAGATGTAGACCGGCACAGTGAGCAACTGCGTCTTGATGCTGCTGTATCCGAAGCCACGGATGATCACGGGCAAGAAAGTCCCAAACCCAAAGGAACAGGTGTTGGCGCAAAACTGGCAGACAGCAGACAGCCAAACCTTGGGGTCCTGGAACGCAAGCTTCACCTCCGTCTTGTCAAAATCCTCCGATTCGCCCTGATAGACTCTGGCCTGCTCGGCACGTATCCTCATGAGCGCCTTGTCCTGCTCCGTAAGCCACCTCGCACTCTCGAAGCTATCCGGCAGCAAAAAGATAAACGCGAGTCCTACGGCGAAAGAAATTACACCCTCGACAAGGAACAGCCATCTCCAACCCGCCAAACCACTCGCGCCGTGCAGATTTGTCAGACCGTATGCCAGTAGGCCGCCAAACGCGCCGGACAGAGCTGCGGCGACGAAGAGGCAAGAGATGCGGCGGGCTTGTTCTTCTCGTTTGTAGTATGTGCTGAGGTAGAGCGTCAAGCAGGGAAACAGGCCAGACTCAAACATGCCGATGAGGAGGCGGGTCGCGAGGAGGCCGGCATAGTTCGTGACGAAGGCGGAGCCAATGACTGTGGCGGACCAGGAGAGGATGAAAAATGGGATGAGACGGGATGGGCGGGCTTTCTTAAGGACCAGGGAGGCGGGGATTTCGAAGACAATGTAGGTTACTGTGGCAAGTTAGTTGTCGTCGATTTCGAAGAAATAGGGAGGTTCTTTACCGTAGAAGACTGTTACTGCGACGTTGAGTCTGTTGCCTGTCAGGTCGAGGTCTTCGTTCATGCCGGCAATTGCTGCGTTGCCTGAGTTGCGACATGTTAGTCTGAGACTCGGAATAGTGGCATACAGAAAACGTACCAATGTTGCTACGATCCAAGTAGGCGACGAGGAAAGCAATGATCATCATCGGTGCAAGCCAACAGTCGAGTTTCCTGAGAAGCTTCGCCTCAGCCGCCGGGTCTACCATTAGATGTGAGCTCGCATATCCGGAGCCAGGCGAATCGAGATCGCCATCCTTTCCATCAACCGGCATCTTTTCCACGGACATTATCGTCAGTCGTTGTCAGACGGTTCAATTGAGTTGTCAATAATTGTGCAAGTTCTCGAAACTTGTCGACATACCAGCCAATCCACCATTTTTGTATCACTGATATATTCTACCCGACATGCATCAGCAAGCCAAGGCAAGGTGAGGTCACTTGATTCACCTATCTTAGCCCAGCCCAGCTTGGAGTCATTTCCCGATGCCGATCAAGATGACTATCGGGCCCCCTCCATAGTCTACGTCGGGAAATGACAGCACTTATCATATCGTTGGCTGATAATCCACATGCATGCAGCTTAGCGGGGACCAAGACACAAAAGCCGGGGAAACAGGCCGGCATTCTTATCGTGATGCGCCCGCGAAGGGTCTAGCTGCGGTGTTCTTCTCCTCTGTCAAATGTGGGGGACTTTGATAACGAGCAAGACGTCCCCTTCGCTCCGGACGCTGAGGGCATGAAAAAGCCGATATCCCCTCGACTGGTTCCCCTCCAGAGCCCCAAATTTGCCGATCGCGCACCCATCAACGCACCCCCTGCCCCAAAGATTCGGCCTTTTGTTCGGTAACAAGAAACGGCGGTTCAATGGAGGGAGTATCGCCTGCGTCAGGGCCCAATAACAGCGTGCTGGATCAGACAAGTCCAGATTCTCGGAAGAGAAAGCGAGGGAGGCATGCTGTCGCGTGCGAGTCGTGTCATCGGCGAAAGCAGAGGGTGAGTGATACGAGTATCGTTATAATGCATAGCGAAGCCGGACTCCGCTTCTCGGACGCTGGAACGACGGTTGATGTGCCATCTTGGCAGTAGCCACCCGGTGCATCGCATTTATTCAAGGGTCTCGAGTACGAGGCGGTCGTCGACGGCCTCGGCGTAGGCTCATCTCATCGGCGATGAACTTGAAGGTATGTCCGACTAACACGGCGGCAGTGCAACGGATCCCGACCATGCTTCAACTGCGAACGCCGCGGCGTAGCCTGAGGTGCATCATGCTCATACAACCATCTGGACAACGACAGTGAGAAGCCGACCACGCGGCCCAGGCCAACCACCGTCACAACACCAGCCGTCAACTTTGCAACGCCCATTTCACCGACGAGAACACCTAGAAATCCCGCTCAGGAATCAGAACGCCCCGAGAAATCCTCCTCAGCGGGCGTGGCAAATTCCTCGAGGTCATCCAGTAGCGGCGGACGACGACAGGCTGGCGAGAATGGCCAAGACCAACAGTTCGAGTACCCAGTCGGCACTCTCTTCAAGAGTCGCGACGCGCCATCGTTCTTCGGCTCATCCTACTTCGGGCCTCATGCTGCTGCCAAGATTATCCAGGCTCCTGCCCCTGATCTGTCGTCTGGTCTGTTGTCCAAGGCTCAAGCGAGCTCGACGCATTCATTTCGGGACGAGGGCGGCCCGTTCTCCCGGATTTGGGAACTACTTGGGCTACTGCCGAGGAAGAAGTCGACAGTAGACAGGTTGACGGAGTGTTTCCTCAACGAACTGAACTGGGCCATCGACGCCGTCCAGCCGACATCCTTTAAGTCCAAGTACGAGACCTTTTGGTCTAGAAAATTTGGCTTCGACGACTTCGCCACCATCGATCTCCGATGGTTAGCCCTGCTGTTTATCGTCATGGCATACGGCGTGTTGGTGGATTGCCCGAACCCGCGGAACAGGGAGATGCAGAGGGAAGTCCATGAAACCTCTCAGCGCTTTTATTGGGCTGCTCGACGAGCCATCGTCATCGCGCCGACTAGAGGAATGTGAGCCTCCTGGCACGACTGTGAGAAATAAAAAGCGCTGCCAGTGTGCAGCTTAGAGAGTTTATATATTCTGACAACGACGACTCGAGGCAAGGCAACTCACCATCAACATCGGCGTCAATTGGTTCGCCGATGTATTCCCGCCAATCATCCTCGGCGATGAATCGCACGAAACGCGACCATTTCTAGTAATTTGTCAGAAAAGCTTCATGATGCTCAGGTGGATGCTTACAGGAGAAGACATCTTGACGGTGATATTTAAAGCTGTAGATGTTTAATTCACAGGTGATCCGCTCGGAGAGAATGGCGCTTCGAAGATAGATGGTCAACGGAGCGCTTGCTGTAATTCAGTGGAGAACTCGATCAACCCGCCCTGTATCAAAGGGCACAAATTGTGAGGGGTCTATTAAACTGCCGTTGCATGATTGGCATACCTCGCACGAGCATGCAAGCCCCTCCACGCAGCGATTTCCCGAAGCTGTCGGGAAACTCGATCGGCTTTTTCATTAATACGCAAGACAAGATCCGCAGAGATAAGCATGGGCTTGCGATCCCCGCAAACATTCACTTGGCAGAATTCATGGGTGGTTCAGCATTTTCATAAAGACGAGCAGGCATGCATGAAGCAAGTAATTGTCATGCAGTAATCCAAGTCGAATTTGGCCTTTATCTATTGTTTCGGTTGGAGTATAAGAGCTACTAGTATCCTTGGTTAATGAGTTGGATCTTAATTATCTCCTGGTTACCTGTATGCCGGTCAACTAAGTTCTTCTCCACTCTTCACAAACACTATAAGAGAATTACAGTATTCAAGCCGACTCCTCGCTAACCATGGTAAGAATGTAATCACTATATACTCCTGACCTCAAGACCTTGGAATTGCACGTAGCGTCAAGATCGCTGTACCAACCTCGGTCCAGACGCCGTCGCCGATCCGGAACGGCATGGTGACCAACTGCAAGACGTTCCACTTTGTGCAGGACAATCAGACCTCCGTCACTATTGCTGTCCTGTAGAAGATCAGTGTCAGCGATTTGATCAAGTGGAACCCTGCGGCCGGGAGTGACTGCAGGGGGCTCTGGTCACAGACACATGCCTCCGTGGGTCTCTTGTGAGGCTTGAATGGAGATGGTGCAGGTCTGAGGGTCACATGGTGAAATATAGCTATTACAACGTTTAACTTTTTAATTCTTTCCTTTCAATGCATATACTACAATTTTGATGCCTATCTCTGTACTACAATAGCGACAAGAAGAATTTAGAAATCAGCAACAGACCAAGATGGAATCGAATTGAGCAACTCTCAACTCCGAGGTTGGCCCAAGCCACGGTTATTCTCGGTGCAGATTGCACAAAGTGGAGCCGGATCTGGCCAATCCTGTATAATGCGAATACTGAAAAGGCTATAGTGGAACGTGCAACATATTGATTCGTATTTGCTCAACTCGCACTGCAGTCATCGGTAATGCTTTTCTTGGGGAAAATCATAATGGCCATCGGGCGGGACTGTTACCGTCCAAATTTGTAAGTAAAGCGTGCGTGACCATCAGCACATCCCCCATACTATGTTTTACTGAAATGTATAATTTTTCAACAAGCAATAAACTCTGAAACCGTCTCCTTGCACGTGATGACTGAAACTATTTCGTCAAGTCCCTCCAAAGTCGACTCCATTCTCGTGGTCGGCGCAGGAGAATTCGGCCTCAGCCTTGCCCTTGAGCTAAGACAGAGAGGCTACGAGAGCGTCACAGTCCTCGACCGATTCTTCCCACCAGTCCCCGACGGCAGCAGCGTTGATGTCTCTCGCATCGTCCGCAGCGAGTACGCAGATCCCTTTTACAATGCGCTGGGCGACGAGGCGATCGCAGCTTGGATGACAGACTACCGCGGCTGTTTTTACCAATCGGGCTTTGTCTTTGTCTCCGAGAATGAGAAGAACCCTCACTTCAGTGACTGAAAGTCTGTGCTAGAAGCAGACGGCAAGCCCTTTGACGCTTTTAGTGACGGAGACGCGCCTCTGAAGAAGCTCTACCCTTCAATCCAGGCGGATTTCTCTGGCAAGCCAGCTCTCCATCATCGCCAGGGAGGCTGGGCTGATGCTGGAGCCAGCATTTCCGAGCTTGCAAAGCGCTGCTCCTTTGAAGGGGTCGCTTTCCAGACGGGTCTCCGCGGTACCGTCACGTCACTTGTCACTCCAGAGGATCCTGACGGCTCAATCGGCGTGAAGGTCGCGACAGGAGACGTTCTTCGAGCCCGCCGTGTCGTCCTCGCTACAGGCGCCTGGACCAACCGTCTCCTAGATGCTGAACACGCCTTGTCTGCATCGGGCCAGTCCGTGGCATTCGTGCAGTTGACAGACTCGGAGGCTGCGGAGCTAAAGGACTGCCCCGTCATGATAGACTTCGAGACTGGTGTTTTCTGCTTTCCGCCATATCCTGGAACCAACCTGCTGAAGCTCGCGTGGCACTCCTACGGGGTCGCTACAGAGGTCGAAGCTGGAAATGACAATGACACAACAAGGCACCTAAATAGACGCACAATCTCCGCGCCCAAGCTGTATGGACGCAACGACAACTCGGGCTTCATACCGGAAGATGCGGACCTCAGTCTGCGCAGGGGACTCAAGCTGTTTTCCCCGAAGCTTAGGGACAGGCCATAGGTAAAGAGGCGGCTTTGCTGGTATACCGATACACCTGAAGGCAATTTCATTGCTGCTCATCACCCCACCATTCCTGGTCTATTTGTTGCGACTGGAGGTGCCGGCCAGTAAGTACCCCAAGTCATTCCCACTATTTGCAGAATGTAGTCAACGAGCATGACTGCCGCCTCCTTTTCCGCTGGACTTGCTTCAATGCTTCTCACCTCCGCTGCGAGGTAACCGGAGACCAAGACTGACAGATTTTTCCTTATTAGTGCGTTCAAGTTTTTGCCAATTCTGGGGAAGTACCTAGCCGATTGCTTTGAGAATAAGGCATCTGAGAGTATGCGTGAACGCTGGCGTTTTCGAAGATGGTTCCGGCAAAGGCAAAGTGGATATGAAAGGCGATGGCAGCCGTGGTGGGCCACCGATGAGGACGCTGAGTCGGCCAGAACAGAACAAGCTTTAGTTGCACTCATGCCTGCAATTGAATCGTATGACATCAAGACATTTCAACCCGGGGAGATCTGTCATGAAGCAAAATGTGTCTCGTCACGATTCGCCGTGGCAGTTGGCAGAAGTTTACAGCCAGCGGCACAGCAGCCTTGGAGCTGTCAGCACACATGCGGGGGCTGGTCTAGCCTGAATAGTTCCCTTTGGAGGTATTAGCGCTAGGCAGCCATTTGTTTCCCAAAGTCCACTTGTCCTGAACAACCAGGACTCGGACTGAACAACATGGCCGGATAGGAGAAAGTATACAGCACGTATATAAGTATATAATAAGGACCTATTCTGGCGGTCAAAGTATTATTGCATCCACACTTGAGGCCCGATGAAATACGGAATCCTTTGTGCCGCCCGCTGGCAGCATACAACACCATGAACCGATATTCACTTTTCTTTGCGCTTCACCTCCTTTTTACAGGTATGGCTTCTGCCTGGGGCCTTTACCCTCTTCCAATTGATCGCTTCCAAAGCGTCTTTCGGCTGAGAAAGCCATGGTCCTCGCCAATCCCCCAATTCATCCTGGACACAAACCACCCCTGGCTCGCGACCAACAAGGCCTGGCTCTCCCGCTACCCAAACGTCGCCGAAGAAATCTGCTCCCGAGACTCCCCCCTCTGGGCATCCCCCGCCTCGCCCGAGCATGCGCTGCCCGCAGACCTCTTCACCAACCTGCTCATTGACAACAACAGTGCCGGGATCTGCGACAGCCGACTGGGCTGGCCCAACGTCCGCGACCGGTTGCAGGAGATGGCCGCCTGCGAGGCCAGTCTGGCGGGCGTGCGGAGCTTGCATGTCGACGTGTCGGTCGCCGACGACAAGTGGTCGGATTATATCGAGACCACGCTGCCACCGCCGGGAATTCCGGAGTCCTTTGCGGATGTGCTCTCACAGATGAGTAACCTGGAGAGGCTCGACTGGGGTATCAGCAGAGAGGCAACGCAGGAGTTTGAGTCTGCCTTCGTGGCAAAGGGCTTAATGCTTCCGAGCGTCAAGTACCTCCAGCCAGGTGCCGGGAGTGATTATCTCGTCTCGCGATGTCCTAATGTGGAGGTGCTGGAGGCGGGATCTTATTCTCACCATTGGAGCTGGAGCAGCGGCAAGGGCCAGCGCCTTGCACTGATCAAAGCATCGACGGGAATGGAGAGTCTCAAGGAGTGGCGACTCGCAGCACAATGGGACGGCTGGACGTTGGGCATGCTCCAGAGTAAGGCGACGTCCTGATTCACATGGTGTTGGTACCCTCTTTTGATAACGTTGATCGACAGGTATCTTTCGAGCTACTCCGAACATCACCACTCTGCACATGGAAGGCCCTTTACGTGTCCCTGACGAAGTTTTGACGGGTCTAAGAGCCGGCAAGTATCCGTACCCTGAATACCAACAGGAGACCATAAAGGTGACACAACATGTTTCACAACTGCCACGCGCCTTTCTCTTTGCTTACTTGCTCCCCTCAGGCATATCTCAATGTCCTCGCACTCTTCCCGAACCTCGAAAATCTGCACCTCCCTGCTTCTTCCAACCTAGAATTGGGTTTCGACGGAGGGCCTTGGTGCGGAAATGCATACGACGGGCCAAGCGGCAGAGCCTACGGGCGAAGGGTCGTACAAGAAGACGCGGAGACAACCGAGCTTGCGGCAAATATCACCATGAGTATACTACCTCATCTGAAAAGCCTGAGCATTGGCTGGGACAGTGCAAACCTCACGCTCAATAGTCATGGGCTACCAGACATGACGTGGCCGTGGACAGGGAGGATGGAGCAATATACTTACGAGATATGGGAGGAGTGATGTAGGTTTCGCTCACCGAGGTAGGTGGTATGGAAGGCCTATAATTACAGGTGTTCTCTCAGGCTGGTCATGCGCATTTTCGGTGGTACAAAACAGAGACTCGTTTTGGTAGGACAATGGCCATCTTTAGCAAGAGACCGCCTTGCGTACGCTAAGGCCATCCTGGCCTGAAGCCCGGTCAATGTGGTTTCGGAGAGCATCAACCATGTCCTGCCGCCGGTAGATTTGTGCAACCTCCATCGCGGTCAAGCCAGACCAGCTGGGAGAGGAGAGGTCAGCTCCGTAGGCAAGAAGACATTGAACAGCCTCGACGCTCCCATGCCTGGCTGCGCGATGGAGGGGCGTGCCGGTATACGAAGCACGCGGCCGACCGAGCTCCTTGGGGTCCACTTCCATGTCGTTGGCATCTGCCCCATGATCGAGGAGCATTTTGAGTACTTCGACTCGAGAAGGATTGGGCTGGAAGTTGGCTTCATAGATCTCAGTAGCACTTGTGATGGCGGCTGCGTGGAGGGCTTGCGTTCCTTTCCTCCTCGCGCCGTGTTCAACTAGCAGTCTTACTGCCGAAGGCGGAAAGCTTGCCGCTGCAAGAGTTAGGAGGTCTACCGTTTTACCAAGCAGTGGTGGAACATTTGGATCTGCGCCGTGCTCCAGCAACCAGCACATACAAGTCTCATGGCCTAGAGCCAGCCTGAGGAATTATTAGCCCAAATTAACATCCATCCTTCGATCCAGTATATTTCTTACTTCAGGGGCGTGGAATCTTCATAGAAACCATTCAACCTTCCACCCTCGCGAAGCCAGGCCTCGCAGAATTCAGAGCCTTGATTTGGCCAGGACTTGAACATGAGTCTAATCGCACGGGACGTCATCGGAATGCCTTGCCGCAACAGCGACGAGAACGAGGATAATTTCCTGTTCTGCACGGCTAGGCAGAGAGAGTTCTCGTTGTTGACGGCTGCCAATATCTTGATCCTCCCTTTGCTCTGGGTCTCGTCGTCCCCCACGGTAGTCGATTCCATATTGTAAGATTGTTTGATAACTGCCTCCAAAAATAGAATCAACTTGACGGTGGGGAAGAAGTTAGATTGTGGCAGTTCAAAGTACGCAGATGCACTGAAAGACCACTGGATGAGACGGTCAGCAGCTGGGACGGGTCAGGAAGGTCTACTAGTTAGGCTTGGTGGAGCTCGAATGGAGTGATATCAGATCTATGGCTGGCGAAAGCTATCGTGGAAAACGTGGGTGATTGGATGCCCTGCCTTTTCAATGTAAAGAGGAAGGCTCAGTCTGTCCTGTGACGCGTTTCTCACTTCTTCCATGTATTGAAGCGGTAGAAACACCAGCGGGCGGTTGAGGTCCCCGGCGTTGCGAATTTGAAACGGCTGTCCATGTTTGAGATGCTATTTTGATGGTTAGCAGGGAGCGATCAGGACTGGCAGCACGAATGACCACGGAACGCACTCTATCATAGCCTTTTTTTCAGCAGTTTCCCAGTCTGATTTGTGTATCGCAGTTTGGATTCATCGCCATCACCAAACTCCACAAGCGGCATATCCAGCGAAGGTGTCGGCACAGCAAAGGTTCGCCGCCAGAGTGCGCCGACAATACATACCGCCGTGAAAGTGAAAAGGATCAACATGGACGAAGACATGGTCGGCATGGCCTCAACTAGATGGCGACGAAGTTGAGGAGCTCGAAAAAAAAAAGATGGCAGCGTTTCGGAGCTCGTTGGCGGCCGGAGCTCTGTAGTTGCCCCGCGAAGACCTCAGGCTGTTGGTTCGGTAATTCCAGGTGACCAACAAACCAACACGAGAGAATACAGCCAAGCAGATCACCAATCAGATCGCCAATCAGCGAGGCTAATGGAACCTGGCCCAGGATTAGGATTACCTGAACTGGGCCGTGAGTTATCGGCTAGAAGAAGGGCACTACAGTCACACATGACGGACCGTTCTTCCGAGTGGGCTGGCTGTCCAGTCTCGAGGGAAATGTTTCCCAAGAATCCAAAGCCTCATTACCAGAAGTAAGATCAGCTCTCTAGACTGTTTCATTCTTGATCTGAGACCTGCATTTTGTCGACTCCGTCAGCCAACTCTTTGCAGCTCAACACAAAGCCCCAACCCCCTTCGCAGTTGAACTCGATGCACTGCTTGCAGTACTCGGGGCTTGTCGTTGCACACCCGTCGCTTAGCATGAGGCAGTCCCAACCCTTTGTGAAAGCATCCTGGAGGCTGCCGCCAACGCACTGGTCAGTGTTCGCGCCAGAGAAAATCAGGGTCCTGATACCACGATCCGCCAGCGCTTTCTCAACGTTCGTTCCATCCCAAAATCCCGACAGGCGATTCTTGTAGACCCAGATGTCTTGAACCTTCGCCGCATCGGCCAGTTTGGCGTGGAAGGCAGTATTCCACTGGTCTCGCATCATGACCCGGCCACCGTCAATGACCTCCCCGTCCTCTAGCTCCAACGGTCCAATCTCGGAACCCAGACCCCCGACCTTCTTGTGGTCTCCGAAGTTGTTGTCGGCCGAAAAGCCCTTGATGATGGTCGGTGGCATCCCCTCAATGTCCTGCTCCGTCAAGCCCCAGCCCAGCCACACGACGGGAATGCCAGCCTTCCTGCATGCTGGGATCGCGTGCTCGAGGAGCGCATCGACCACTCTCAAGCCAACGCTGTCGGCTGGACGACCCAACAATGGGGAGAGAAAGTAGTTCTGGAGGTCCACCACCACTAGGGCGGTCTTGGCAGGGTCGATGGTCGCACAGCCAGTAGTCGTCTCAAGCGACAGCCGCGGCCGTATGGGAGGGGAATCTGGGGTAGGAGGGTGTGTGAGATCGTATCCGTCGGCCTCGGAGTAGAGCCAAAAGTTGGCCGCGCCGCCGATGACTTGGAGCTTCTCAGTCGCCATTTGATCGGAAAACCTGCTGTTGTCAAAAACCGTCGTCACAGAAAGGGGTCCATCGCAGAAGGGACACACAAGAGGCAAGGCTTTCGAGTTTTGCTCACGATTGGAGGATGTTTAGAGGCAAGGTCTCGTTCGGCCAAGAAAAGAGACAGGAAGGAAGTTTGCCTGCAAGCCGCTCAGTGTCTACAAGCTTTGGGGTGGGCGGCCCATGTGTCCAGCCCGCCCAGTCACAGCAGTGCGCGACTGCTGGGTCACAAGGCCATCACCAAAGAAGAGCCTGTAAGAAATTCAAGGGGCGCGTAAGGTCTGTCGTGCAAAGTTCCCCTCTTTCTTTGCTACATTTGTCCTATCATACGTCCCTCATCGCGTCTGCTCCGTCCTTGAAGGTCTCATGAGGTGCACTACCTCAAAAATCATGGAATGTTATGGAACTTCACAGAGCGAGGAAGCTCGCTCCTCTGATGTGGACAGTGCGGTGTTGGTGGCTCTTCTCATGCAGTCGTGCGGCAGTCATGACTAGTGCCAGGCTGTTGGGGTTGAACCGTCGAATTGAGAGACGTCACTGAATGGTTGGTCTAAGAATGAGTGCATGACAGCGAACAGGAGACACTTCATTTGTGGTACTAAGTAATCCTTCACTAATCCTAATCAGAAAGCTCTGGCGGACACTACCCCGCCTCTCTGGAATATTAAGCTGGCCTGTCGGCGCTTTGGTCAGTGGACCTTACATACACGGCTCCGCTTTCAGTCTTACCGGCGTTCACTCTACGCTGATAAGCAAACTTGTCTTGTTACCTCTTGTCCCAGACCCGTCATCTCCACCAGCCACCACGTCCCTAATCTGTACGAAGATGGGTCTCCCCGTAATTCTGTGCGGCAAGACCGAGCAGATCGGCGCGGGTGTGGTTACTGGCCTTAAGCCAGAGCTTGATGGCATGTGTGATCCTATCACTTTCAGCCGCGTCGGACGTCTTAGCTAACCCGTACATCTAGTCATTCAATTCGTCATGACCCCTGAGAGTGGAAAGGAGCAAATTCCTTATATCTTCAGATGTGAAACACCTCCCTCGGCAGACTCGGCGCTGGGCAGCAAGAACTACTCGCAAAAGCCTGTTGCAGTCGTCCTTGGCGCCGGCTATGACGACGATGGCGTCAAGGTTATGATGGAGGCCTCCAGGGGTATACATCCTATCCCTTGGCTGCGGCCGGATATGAGCAAGCCTGCTCCCCCTTTGGGACCTGAGTATGGCAAAGCCATGGTCCAACGTGTTAAAGAGTTGGTGGTCGAGTTGCACAAAGACGGCAAGATGAATGATGAGAAAGTCTTTTGGTACTGATTGGCTGGGATACGGAGATAAGAAGCTAAGTGGTGATGCTGAAGTGCATTTAATGCCCAGACTCTGCTCATCCAAATTCAAAATCTTGATGGGTTGGCGCGATCAGGATACGGCCAAATTGTCACCAACGAAAGCACCGGTCAAAGCTCCAGTGGCTGTAGTGGATGGATAGCAAAGACGCTCTCGTGTAATAAATAGTTGTCGAATTGGGTCCAGCAACGGCAGTGCTTATTCTGGTGGCTTTGCAGACAACAGCTGAACCTGGGTTAATCGAGCCGAAGTCGTTAGTCCAGCCTCATCACAAGTGTCGCAATCTTGAGATCAGCGATCGGTGATGTGGCCCCCGGGGTAAAGGGTGCCAGGATTTTGATCAGATTGATCTCCGTGCGCGACAGAGATCTAGGTAGGCGGTTCGAAGGCCCCTTCCGAATCTCCCATCAGCCTAAATATATCAATGAAGCAGCATGGCAGCCGGTTCCGCATTCCACACATGGTGGCTCTCCGCCTGAGTATACCCCAATGTAGCCTTCGCGTAAATGTCACTGCTTTTGGTCTAGGAGATGGTTGCCTGACATCCTGTAAGATGTCACGAACATTGGCGCTGCTTGATCCTTCTGTGACCAGGATGACAGCTCACCGGTCGAGCCTCCCTGTTACGGAAGGTTAGTCCGAACCATGCACCTCTAAACATATGCAACACACCCACGGCGTGGGCACGGCACGCACGCTCTGTTCTGGTAAATGTGACCCCATTTATAGACTTGTCAGTGAGGAAGAGCATTTTGAATCCAATAAGCTATAGGCTAACTTCTTGCTCTCGTGTCTTGGGCGTACGGTGTAACTTTGGCTTCAGCTTCCAAGCTATGATGATAAAACCTCAGTGGCAAAGCAGAAGCTTGGGCAAACAGTATGATATAATGCACCTCATCCTAAAATTGTCACCTTGATCAAGCCTGGCTCCCATCAGAGATTATATATAAATTCCTCGCCACTCATGGTTGCTAAACAATGGTCTTCCTGGACTAGATCTCCATTATCACCAAGATGTCTCCCACATCAGAACCATGTGAAGAGCAGTTTCTGTGGATACCGTTGCCAGCTGGAAATTTCATCCGCTGCCTGACCCTCCAGCCAGGCCCTAGCAACGCACCCCTCGAAGGCAATCTCAAGATCTTTGAAATCGACCATTGCCCTCAATATGAAGCCATCTTACTTATGGGGAATCGAAGTCAGATCCCAGACATTTGTCTGCAACGGCAGGCTTACCCAAATTACTATGAGTCTTTCAATGGCTCTACAACAGTTTCGACGCACAGACAAGCCACGGGTACTGTGGGCGGACTCGGCATGTATCAATCAGGGCGACAAAAATGAGAAGAGTCACCAGGTGGCACTCATGGGAAAAGTCTACTCGAAGGCGTCAAAAGTCCTCATACACATGGCTGGCAACGACCAAGGGCACACTTCGCAATATTGGCGTCCCTCGTTTCGGAAACGAATAGCTATGTCCAGCAACAGCTCAGACTCATGGCTGGCCTTGGGTCTAAATCCTTTGCATACCTGGACACTGAGGATAGGATGAGAATATCGCATGACCCAAGATGGTCATCGATGCTCTTCGCTCTGTCTCAACCATGGTTCAGTCGTGGATGGGTTCTTCAGGAGGCAGCGCTTGCCTCTACGGCAATGCTTGTGTGGGGCGACCAGGAGATACAGTTCGACTGCGTATTGCGCTAAGCTTGGTGGGCTTACTGTCGGTGTTTCGAAACAGTGGGCACATATTCAAAGTTCCAGCCACTCGCCAGCAACGGCGTGAACGTTCATATGTTCCTATATTTGCGACGTTTTCCACAAGAAGCGGAACCTTACGGCGTCCAGCGGCCCCAAGGATCGGAACTCATCGACATCCTCCGGAACGCCCCCGGAATCGGAATGACGCATTCGAAGGCTAGGATCTTCGCTTTCCTTGCCCTGGAACATTACTGTCAACCAGGTCAGGCAGGGCCCAAGTCTCGCTCAAACTATTTGATGCAACCAGACTACACAAAATCAACAGCAGAGGTCTTCACGGAGTTCGCACGGCAGCATATCCTGCGCAATGGTCTTCGAATTCTTCAATACGGTCATCCATACGATCCTGAGGATCTTACTACGACGGACCCAATGCCCTCTTGGGTACCTCGCTGGGGCCGGCCCGTGAAGTACATGTTCCCAAACGCCTGGGGTCAAAAAGCTTTAGGACCAAGTTCCGGGTTCACGGGAAAGCTGGTGCGGGAGATGAGAGGGGGCACCCTTGTGGTAACGGGCGTCATACTCGATAACATGCGATTTGCGTCTCAAGCTATGAGTCTGGAAGGAGATCTTGACGATGTAGCATCTCTCTGGCGGACGATAAAGGATATTCCTTGGGAAGAGACACATCCGGGGGAAGCACGACCTATTTTGATGCTTGAATCTCTGTGCGCAGGCCACGCTTCACGAGACATGGAGGTGACTGCCTGGCCCGCCGCGCGAGGAGCGGTTGCCCAGTTTCTGACGAGCAGCTGTCAATTGCCACCAGAGGACTTGGCGGAGAAAGTATTCGACAACATAAAGATGTAGTCCAGGGGTCGTATATGATAAAGCAATGAAGCAAACGATAGTTAATTATTGTGTATTAAGGAGAGAAATCTCCCCGCTATTAAACGCTTAAAAGGAGCCTATTTATAAGCTAGCGCTAATATATAAGCATATAACCCTTACACCTTTTAATACACCCCCCATTGCAAGTATTATCATCTTAATAATAATAATAAATATCCCATTTTAATAGCTAAAAAATATAATTTAAATATTCCGCTATAATTTATATTAAAACCATTATATAAATATTATTTAATATTTATATATTCCATTTACATTATTTCTAATTAATTATTTAAATGCTTATATAATAATATAAACTTTATACTTATCTTAATTTTAATTTTATATAAGCCTTTTTAAGGATAAGGCAAAATAATGCTTTTATATAAATATTAATAAGATTATCTTTAAATATAATATAATAAACATTATATATTTCTTTAATTCCTTTATAAATAAAGTAATAATAAATAGCGATATATTTTAATTAAGCATTAATTTTATAATTTTAAATAAAATTTAATGCTAATTAATTATTAATATATAAAATAAATAAATATTTAATATGCTTAATATTTAAATCTTTTAATACTTAAATTATTTAATAAAAATGTAATAATATTAATAAATATGCTATATATTTTACCTTATAAGTAAATTTTATAATAATAAATTAGCGCTTTAATAATTAAGTAATTAAATTACTATTAAGGAATTATATATATTTATTAAATGCTTTTAAATTATTTAAATTAATATTATAAAAAGCATTAATATATATATTAAATATAGTAAATTAAAATAATAATATTTATTTTAAAAATTGCAAGGTATAATTTAATATATATTAAATATATTAAAGCACTTTTTTTATAATATTTAAATAATAAATTGCAGGCTTTGCATTAAATATTAAAAGCATTGCATATAAAAATGCAAGATTAAGTCTTATTTTAATAATAAGAAAATTAATGGATTTAATAAGTAATTAATATATTATTATATTTATTATAATATTATTAAGTTCTTTTTATTATGGAAATAAATTTAAATTTATAAGAGTTTATCTTTAATTATAATTAAATATATTAAAGCATTTTAAAATCCATTAAGTATATCCCTTTTAAGAAATATAAATTTTATTATTAATTTATATAATTTCCAATTTAAGCAAGTATTTATAAAAATTAAGATCCTTGCACTTAAAATGCTGCATAAGCTTAATATAAAATTTATTAACTTAAAAAGGACTCTTAATAATAAGAATATTATTAATATAAATAATAATAATAATTTAATTTTTAATAAAAATGCAAGGGTTAAATATTATTTTCATTAAATATTTAATTAATTCCTCTTTAAGAATATTAAATTATTTATAGCTTAATTATTTAAGTTTATATAAGGCATTAAAAAGTTTTAAAATAACTTACTAATTATTAAATAATATTTAATACTCTTATAATAATTGCATATAAACATTATATTTTAAATAGCTATATAAATATATTGTTTTAATATTAAATTACTAAAGCTATTAACTTATTATAATGGTAATAGTGATAATTAATTTTAAATTATTATAATGCGTTATAAGGCTATAAGTATTATTATAATTTATATTATAAATTTATATATATTTATAAGCAATAAGTTAAGCTTTATAGTAAATAAGCTTACTAAAAACATTAAACTTCTTTATATATACTTAGCAAGGATTAATAATATATTAATTTGCAATAACAAGCACTTTAACCTATATATTTATATTTAAAAGTAATTTAAGTTCTTTTTTAATAACTTATTATTAAGCATCCCTTTTATTACTCTTTATAACTTATGTATATATATTAAGGATATCATTAATATCTGCTATGCTAATAAGCAATACTTAAGTAAAGATTTAATTAAGATAATTAATATTAATTAATGCTAATTAAGTAAAATTTAATATAAGATTTATATTAATTAATGCTAAATCATTAAAATCTTTAAAATATTCCATAATAATATTTATATTTTCTTTTACTTTTTATAAAAGCTAAATTCATTATTCTTAAGAATTATATAATTATATAAATTTTGCAAATTTAAGTAATTTATTAATAAGTTTTATAAGTTTAAATAGTTTATTTATAAGTTTATTTATAAGTTTTACATTATTAGCAAGTTTTATTAATTAAGATGTTAATAATACCTTTATTTTAAATAATATGTTTTTATTTAGCTAGCTAATTATTTATGCAATCTTTATTATTAAATTAAATTAAATAATATAGCTTAATATTATAATTATAATAACTTTTTAAAGTAATATAAATAAATAAAAAATAGTTTTACCTTTAGCCTTAAATTTTATAAAATATATCTTTTTAGCTTTATTTAATAATTTTATTCTTAGTTTGCAAGCCTTAATAAAAATATAAAGGTATATAAAATGAAAATATAATTAAAAATATTTAACATTAAGCTTTTATTTATAAATCGCTTTAAATAGCATTATTTAGCATAATAAGGCTAAGTATAATTTTTAATTCTATAAGTATATTATATAAGAAATTACTTTAAGTTATAAAAATAAGTAATCTTTATTATAAATTATTATATAAGTATTAATAATAATAATATATATAAACCTTTTAAGCATATTATTTAATTTATAATAATAAAGGGGCAATTTCTTATAAATAATTTTATATTTTTAAAATATTGCAATAATTATTTTATTTATATATTTACCCTTATTATTTAAACTAAATATCCTAACTTTTATATTAAATTAAATTTTAATTATATTTAAAAATCCCTTAATAATATTTAAAATATTATTCTTTTAAGTAATAAAGTAAACTTAATAAAATTAAGTATAGTTATTAATAAATAAAATAAAGTATTAAAAACCTTTTAATAATGCTATTAAAAATTTGCTTAATAAATTAAATTAAATATACTTAAATAATTATATAAATTATCATTTTAATAATAAATATAGGCATTTCTTAATAAACTTTGCAAATTAACATAATTTATAATAAAAGTCCATTAATTTATTTAACATAATATCTTTATCTTTATATAAGCGTTAAGTAATTAATTTTAATAAATTGCTATAATTAAAAGCTTTATAAAATTTACTATATATTATAAATATTATAAAATTATTTTCTATTATTTAAATTTTAAAATTTTTATATTAAAACTTTGCTTATAATATTTTATAAGATTTATTATTTTTTAATAATAAAAAGATATTATTTCCTTATGCATTTAATTAAAATCTTTTTTAAATTATAATTTAGCTAAATAAATAAGTATTTTTTAAATATATAATTATATAAAATATTAATAAAAATGCTTTTAATAATTAATTTATTTAATAATTATAAAAAGATCTTTTTATAAAATTAATGCCTTTTATAATAAGTTAATTACTGCTTATAATAATAATTATACTTAAATATAATTATAAAGAGCTAAAGTTTTTTATATATTTTATTATATGCTTTAAAGCATTAAAATTAAAAATTTATAATATTAAAGTACTTATAATTATTAATAACTTTATTATATATATTAAAATATTAGCTTATAATATTATTATATTTTTCTTTTTATTATTAAAAATTTTAATAACTTTTTTATTTATAATTTAATTTATAATAGCTTATTTTTTACCCTTTTTTTATTCTTAATTAACTTTATATTTAATAAGCTTTATATAATTAATATATAAATAGTTAATAAATATAAAATTTTATATATAGCATTAAATATACTTTTTATTACTTAATATAAAGTTAGCATTTATTAATATAAACTTTATAGCCTTTTTTATACCTTTTAATATTAACCTTTTTTAAATAAAAATAAAATAGGCTTTAAATTATTTAACCTTTATATAAAAAATAATATTTATTATTTTAAATTTAATTTTAAAAAATATTATAAGGTTTTAGCTACTTAAGTTATTAATAATATTATTTATAATATTTAACAGCATTATTAAGAAAAAAAAGCTTTTAACCTTATTACTTTTAAAAAGTAACTTTATTAACCTTTTAATTAATTATCTTAATATTAAAATTTTAATATAAAGCTTTATTTAAAGGTTTTAAAAGGCATTTAAATAGCTTTATAAGTTAAAGCTATTCTTATATTATAAGTTTATTAATTAATAAAAGAAATAAATAATTAAGTTATTAATATTATAATTAAATTAATTAGCTAGTATTTTTTAAGCATTAAAAGATTTTTTATATAATATAATAAATATTATAAGGCTTAAATATATTAAGTTTAAAAGCATAATAAAGACTTAATTATTAAGCTTTTTTTATTTTATAAGGGCTATACCTTTTTTTAATTATTTTTTAATGCTTATAATATATTTATTAAAGCTAATAAATTAAAAGCCGCAACTTTATGCTGCTCTTTAATTTAAAAAGTTTTTCCTTTTTAAATTTAACTTTAAAAAAAATAATAAGTTAAGCTTAAAGTTAAGTATATTTAATATATTTTAAATAAAGTTTATATGTCTTTAAGTATATTTTAAATAATGTTTATATATTTATTTATTAATAATAATTAGCATTAATTAATATAAATAAAATAAATAAAAAAGGAGTAAGTAATTAAAATATTAAATAAAGTAAGAATATTAAATTATTATAAGTTATTATTAGCTATAATAGCTATTATAAAGTATAATAATAATATATAAGTAAAGGCTAGCAATATTAAAATCTTAACAATTTAAGTATAAAAATAATTATAAAAATAAGGGTATTAATATTTCTTAATATTTTAAGATATCTTAAGCAATACTAAGCTTACAACCTAATAAAGCAATAAAGCAAATAATAGTTAATTATTATGTATTAAGGAGAGAAATCTCCCTGCTATTAAACGCTCAAAAGGAGCCTATTTATAGGCTAGCGCTAGCGTATGGGCATACGACCCTCGCACCTTCCAACAGTATATTGGTTGCTACGACCAGGGGTCTTATTGGCATAGCGTCAGCAGTAGTGAGAGAGGGCGATGTTTGCTGCATCATATTCGGCTGTGCTTGGCCTTTTGTTCTGAGACCGGTGCGAGGCCGCCAGTCGACAGGAGATGGGCCGCTCTACCACCTGCTCGGTCCGGCTTGGATTGCTGGTGTCACGCCACAACACGAGAAGGGTAGAGGTCACTTTTGGTCTGTGCTGGGAGACGAAAGGAGCAAGAATTGGGTAGACTGGGGTCTAAAAGAACAGAATATACGGATAGTCTGACAGAACAACACAGAACCAGACGCAGCAACAGAGGTAAGTAGTGCACCGCTGGGACAAATCAGTAATGTTTGTCTCAGAATTCGCTTCAAGAACGACTCAATCCGACGGGAATTGTCTAGCAAGAGTCAAACAAGATGATTTTCTCTGCGGTTGCCAACTTCTATCAACGCCCTCGACGCATTCGGCTCGGCAGATCGGCGGTAGTGTGGTCCACACTTCCACGCGTCGAACTCGACTGACTCGTGACACGGATTGTCACCTGTGAGCTCCACAGAGACTCCATCTTTAAATGTCCCCTTGCGCTAGCGATAGACTAGCTGTTTTCTAGCGAAGCGAGCTCCCAAGCCTATGGGTAATCTGATTGATCTTATCTGATTATCTCCGAGGGTATCATAAATCTTGGCGCACCAGCTAACGAAAAACCTTGAATGGTAGGAGGAGGAAAAAAATCTCTACGAGCTTCTCCATTGCTCTAAGCTGTTTTCGCCCTCGTTTCTGTATGTCTTACGTTTCTGTCTTGTCCCGGTCCGATCCGTTCGTCGAGGTCCCGGTCACGGATGTCGGTAAGCGCTCAATGAGAATGAGTAGTTAAAGCCGGATGCTGCCTGTATGGGCAGGTATCCACTTCCAGTCGTCGTCTCTCCTCATTCTGATTTTGCATTTGACCGTTACCGAACGGTCTATCAGTTTGCGGCCATGGCGGCCACCGAAGATGTCGATCGTTACAGCAAGACGGAACCCGAAGACCGCGTTAACGAACTTCCCTTGCCACTGGACTCGGTTTCCACCGAGGAGGAGAAACCAAACCCTCCGCTCTACTGGAAGCTTATTGCCGTCGTGATGATTTCGTGTATCAGCTTTGGCTCATCGTGGAGTTCTGGCATTACCGGCGCCTTGAAATCTACCCTAAAGAAGGAGTTGGATATCAACAACAAGCAGTTCTCGCTGCTTGAGGCCAGCGAGGACTTCATGGTTACACTTCTGATTCTCTCCAGTGGGATCTTGACAGACAGGATCGGAGGTGCTGGAGCAATGTTGTACGGTGTGTTTAACCGGTCCCTACAACAGATTGAAGGTCCGGGGGTGAGAACGAAAGCTAACGCGATAGTAGGCAACATCATCTACTCCATTGGTTCCATCATCGTTGCAGCCGCAGCTCAAGTCCGCTCTTTTAAACTCATGATCGGCGGTAGGGTCATCCTTGCCCTCGGTGACATTGCAACCCAAGTGGCCCAGTACAAAGTCTTCAGCTCCTGGTTCTCGCCCAACAACGGCTTCGCTTCGACCCTGGGTATCGAGCTCGGCATCAAGAAGATTGGTGGCTTCGTCGGCAAGTCCTCGGCCAACATTATCGCCAAGAACACCGGCAACTTTGCTTGGGTCTTTTGGGTCTCGGTGTTCATGAACGTCTTTACCAATGTCCTTACGCTACTCTTCTACTGGTTCAACGGCATCGCACACAAGAAATTTGGCAACGTCACAGATCCGGCAACTGGAGAGAAACTCACGGAGAAGTCCAAGAAGTTTCAGCCCAAAAAGGTCCTGGAGTTGCCCTGGGTTTTCTGGGCCATCATAGCGTTCTCCCTCTTCCAGACAAGCACTGCTGTTGTCTTCACACAGAACGCCACGGAACTCGCGGAGAAGAGGTTCAACACTGACTCTATAACCGCCGGTTGGTACTCGGCAACTCTGCAATACGCTGGCTTTTCTTGGTTCCTTGCATTGGCGCTTTTATCGATATTCTCGGCAACCGTATAACCCTGCGTAAGTTTTTCGAACCCCTAGCTGTCGACAGAAGAAATCGCTGAACATGTCCAGTCGCGATCTGCGGTACTGGTGTCTTCCTGGCCATGGCTCTTGTCAACTGGGCTAAGGACACGAGGGGGACTGCTGCTGCCTTCGGCATCTACGCTGTTGCTTTCACGCTTGGCCCAACCACAATCATCGACAGTATTCGCACTTCCATGTGGCATGGATCAACTTTCGGGTCTGCTTACGCTGTTAAGATTGCCATGAATAATGCGTGAGTGCTTCACATACACGCATAATCAGCTCTTCTCTGACCCTCTCCCAGTATGAACATCATAGTGCGTGTCATCACCGGTGCCATTCAAGACGCCGACAATGATAGCTACGACCACGTCGTTATCGTCTATGTCGTTCTCGCCGCCGCATCCGTGCTCGTGTCCATCATGTTGGTCGCGCTGTCGTGGTGGTCCGTTGACCTCGGCAATCTGCAATGGACCCGGAAGCAGCGAATTGCTCATGGGGAGTTGTGGAATGAGAGGAAGCGGGCCTTCTATGAGGACAATGGGGCACGGAACAAGATCATTTCCAAGACATGCTTCGGCACCCTGATCATGTTGATCCTGGGTTCATGGTCAGCGTACTTCTGGGGTGTTGCTACTGGCAACAATTCTTGAGATTTCGAAAATCCTCTGAAGTGGCGATTCATGTAGCTCTGCATCAGTACAGGGGCTTTGCAGAGAAAGCTGGACTTCGTCCAAAATTACTGCCGATGCAGCAAAATCGCCTTTTGCAATACGTATTCAGCTGAAATGACCCATAATGTAATGTCTACTACTGCTTTTTTTGTTTGAACTTTTGACATGTGCGAGCTGTTTGAGACTTGTCAATTAGACGGCACTTACCTTTTGTAAAGGTAGGCAAGTTGAGTTATCGGTCTTTCGTTGCTCTGACATCATTGCACATCATGTTTTAAACCAAGCCGTTGAGCTTCCATCTATTCAACATTTTACTCTTTGTGGACAGGTCGCGATGGGCCGTTTCTCACAAATTGCTGTTTCAAGCTTCACCCTGGCGTCGGATCTTGCCGATCTGAGTAGAGATGAAGGACCCTGGCTTCTCGTGGCCGGGCTGATCGCCGAAGAGAAATCTAATCACACAAGTGGACGTTCACCGACCGCCACTTCGGTTCATCCACGTACTTGGTAGCGTTGACCAGAACATCCGTCACTGTGATAGCCTCGGGGAACAAGTCAATCCTCTTATGCCCGATGCTGCTTCCATTCGAGACAAGACTCCAAGGTACGTCCAGTGTCCCGTTCATCTCCTCGGCGTCCAGGACCTTCGCGTACACCTCATAAGCTCGGATGACCTGTCCATCGGCCTGGTCCTCCATGAGAACAATCCTGTCGATAGACGTAGGGTGTTCGAAAGATAGTGCCACACTGGTCGCGGTCGTCGAGTTCGTAGCCTCGACAGGGCTCCCATAGCACGAGTGGATGAAGTCTCCAAGCTCCTTGTACCGTGCCGCATGCCGGGCTGGGACGAGGCCGCTTCGATCAGGCGCGAGGTCCAGCTCAAGGATACAGTTGCGGCCAACGGTTTGATGGTAGACGTCGATCATCTCATCAATAGACCGGAGCGGCTGGTCCTCCCCCCAGAACCACCGGTCACCCGTCTGCAGGGTTGTGTCACATTCCGCCGGCGCAAAGTATTCGCTTGACGGATCTCCTCCGTCGTTGGTGACTCCGGTTGACCATATCTCCTGGTTTGGCAACCCTGATTCAGTGCCTATCCACCTGATTGCGTTGGCGGAGATACAACTGCCCTCTGTGTCGCATGAATTGAAGATGCAGGCTTGAGGTTGGAGCTCCTGGAGGAGTTCCTCGATCTTCGTCATTTGACTCGCGCTATAGCCACCGTCGAACCAAAGCTGAGAGCCAACATTAACATCACCGCTATCTGTATCATCTTGCCACAGGTCAGACCAACTTACCTCAGTCAGAGATCCATAGTTTGTCCACAACTCGGTCAACTGGGCAATCACTATCTCATCGTACGTCTCATTTGTGATTCGGATCTCGCCGGGGGACCATGTGACATTGACGAGCGAGTTTTGGACGTTGAGAAAGTTGTTCACGACAGTGCTGTAGTAGAATCCGTGTCCAAGACCATGTTTCGTTGCTGACTCTGAAAATTGTTTGACGACATCCGTTCCGCTGATTGGTGAGTCCGCGACCGTGTAATTATACCTGCTTGTGGTGTTGTCTCTGGTTTCGAAGGACACTGCACTTGGCCACGTCGTGAATCCGCAGTTATGTTTAGCTACCAGCGTGGCATATGCAGCTCCGACGGCAGCGATGCTGTCCATCCATTGGTCTGTGTTGAGCAAGGTTGGATCGAAGAGAGAAGGACTCGGTACCAGCCCGGGGACGCCATTGCATCCGTCGATGTTAAGGTAAGTTGCTACCTCGAAGTGGATGAGCATGCCGATCTCTTTGTCTTGAAAATCTAGCTGATCTTGAGTCGGCAGCGCGATCTTGGAACCGTCGATGGGTGACACGCGATACCTCGGGTACGTCCCATTGACATCGCGGCGATCAGGATACCTCGAAGGGCCTTGCTGAAAGCTGGCGGCTGCAGCAGCTGTCACTGCCGCAGCCACCAAATAGTGCGCCAGTCGAAGGGTTGGCATCGTTATTGTGGCTGCTGCTGGCTGAGGTTTTACATGGCAGATCCATCTCTTGGCAGATCCATTCCTCTATCTACAATTGGAGAGCGTGTTTATATGTTGCCGGAGCGTCGCATTTTACAATCAATTACGAGGTCACATTTCAGTAGCTCAAAGCGTTAGTCTGGTTGATTGCAATTCTTCCGTCGGCTTTACCACTGCTGTTAACCCAATTCACCCTATCTCTTGCCTCCCTAAGATTGCCCCTCACAAACTGCCTAGGTACTCTCACATGCAATCAAACGTTCCATTTTGGCGCTAGTGGCCTGCACATAACACCTTACATTAAAAATTATATGTAGTTATTATTTAATAGCTATATTGCCAATTTCTAAGTAAATATAGCTCTTTGCTATACGCGCCTTATATTAAAAGAAAGAGGGTATTTTTAGCTATTTATTAATTTTACTTATGTTAATTTTAAAGGTTTAGTTATTAAGATACTTAAGTTAAAAGCTAAAAAAGTTTAATATATTCTTAATTTCTAATATATTCTTAATCGCCATACTTTAAATATAGCCTTAAATTATATGCGCCTTATATTAAAAGAAAGAGGGCATTTATAGCTATTTATTGCTTTTATCCCTATTAAGTTTAAAGGTTTAATTATAAAGGAATTTAAGTTAAAAGTAGGTTTAAATTAATTAATTATTAATTTAGTTAAAATATAAATTTTAAGGCTGTGTTTTTAAGCTATATAATTATTTATATATAATTAAACCTAGTGCTTTAAGATAAATTATATAAAAGCATACCCCTTTTTAAAATAATAAATATTGCCTTAAATTTACCTTTTTATGCAAATTGCATTATAATTAAACCTTTAAACTTAATAAAAATAAAAGCAATAAATAGCTATAAATGCCTTCTTTCTTTTAATATAAGGTGTATATAGTTTAAGGCTATATTTAAAGTGTGATGATTAAGAATATATTAAAAATTAAGCTTATAATAAAAATTTATATATATTCTTAATTGCTATACTTTAAATATAGCCTTAAACTATATGCACCTTATATTAAAAGAAAGAGGGCATTTATGGCTATTTATTGCTTTTATCCCCGTTAAGTTTAAAGGTTTGGTTGTGGCGCAATAATTAAATATAGCTTTAATGATAACTACATACATTTTTGGTATGTGGTGTTATGTGCAGGCCACTAGCGCCAAAATGGAACGTTTGATTGCATATGAGAGTACACACGACCCTTGCATCGCAACGTTACAAAGGAAGCGGGGGACGCTTCAAAGACGCGTCAAGATAGACCCGTGCATCAACAACATCGTCAAACAATCAAAATCTTAGTTGTTTAGTCATTCTTGACTCCAGTATGTCAAGAAATATGTAGCGCATCGTGCTGTAATGCATCGGACCAAGCCGCCAAAGAAACGAAGCCTCGCCTTATTTGGCTAGAAGTCAGCATATATGTAGAATGTGGCTGACAAATAAGCACGAGCTGACAAATATGGACTGAACACCTCTCAGCATAGAAAGTGACGCTGATGAAGCGATGCACTGCTTTTGTTCTGGCTCGATCTCGAGGGAGGTATCCATGATTTGGGACGTTGGTGTTTGCCACTGCAGGCCCGCTTGACAACATGCAAAATTATAGCCTGGTTAGACGAGGTGCTAGCACAGCTGTCCTTGAGCCGACAAAAGTACCAACACTCCCGGATGATTACGTGCTCGTGAAGACGAAAGCGGTAGCACTGAATCCGACCGACTGGACTACGCTCGATGCAGTTGGCGATGACGGGACCATTGTGGGGTGCGATTATGCCGGTGTGGTAGAAGATGTAGGGCGAGATGCAGCCAAGCGCTTTCGCAAGGGCGACCGCATCGCCGGATTTGGCCATGGAGGTATTTTCTGAATCGCACAGCAGGGGCTCCGCCAAGTACTGAAATTCGCACACAGGAAACGATGCAAACCCAGAAAACGGGGCATTCGGCCGGTATATTGCCGTCAAAAGCGACATTCAGATGCACATCCCCGACGATGTCTCCTTCGAGGCCGCGTCCACTGTAGGGGTCGGCGTGGGCACAGTAGGCTACGGCCTCTATCACGTCCTGAATCTCCATTCTCCTGGTCCGGAATTCAAAGACCATGAGGAGACTGTTCTCATTTACGGGGGAAGCACGGCCACTGGCGCACTTGCGATACAATTCGCGAAATTGCGAGTGTACCAGATGAAATAACTCGCCTGTGTCCCTGCTAACGTTTACAGATCGGGCTACAATGTGGTTACTACATGCTCTCCACACAATTCCGACTACGTGCAGAGCCTGGGTGCTGACAAAGTCTATGATTATGTACGCAAAGTTCCCAAACCCTCCATCTCCATTGTGCGGTATTTAGCTTTGCGCAGCCCTTCTAACGTTCACCAAGCGAGCCCCGGATGTAGGCCAAAACATTTTTGAAGAAACCGGAGGGTCCATCAAGAGAGTCTTCGACACTGTTAGTACGGAGGATTCTGCAGCGATTTGTGCTGCGGCGTTCGGGTCTCATGGGGGCACGTATTGCAGTCTGCTTGGCGTCGACTGTCCTCGCTCCGACGTCGAGTCTATATACTTCCTCGGCTATGACATGTCGGGTGAAGCGTACATATTTGAAGGGCATTCCTTCCCAGCGAACCCGGAGGCTTTCAAGTTCGGTCGCAAGTGGATGAAGATAGCTGAGGAGCTCTGGGCGAGCCGGAAGTGGCAACCTCACCGCCAAAAGGTAGGGATAAATGGACTCTTGGGCGTACTGGACGGCATGCAAATGATGCGTGAAGGTCAAGTCAGCGGTGAGAAGCTTGTCTACCGCGTCGACGAGACGGAGTGGCCGGGTTACGCCTAGGGTGTCACGCAGGTCGTCACGCAAATGCGTTTGCACGGCAATTGTATTGTTGTTGGTGATGATTGAATCACGATGCGCTCTTTTCTAGATCTCATACCACGACTTAAATTACTTGTACAAGCGTTAGACATCTTGAGCGGCTAATAGTCGACATTCCAATCTTGTGCTGCCTGATTATGAAGAGCGACAAACAACAAACCCCGTTGTGTAGAAATCTACACGCCTACAGACACAAGACAGACTACGCGTCAAAGACCGCTCAAACCCGCTGCTGACCGAGACTTTCTTGGCTTAGATGATCATATACGCGAACCTTCTTGCCAAGCTTGTGAACTGACCTCAGGTACGTGTGGCATCGCCGGACCGCAGGGCGTGGTGGTTGAGTGCACACCTTGGATTGACACTCTCTCTTGAGAATTACACGAGCCCTTGCGTGAACTTATACTTGTAGTGAGGAATATACCAGGACTCACCGGCTCTCGTCAAAGACATGCTGGATTTTGTAAAGACGAACGTTTGGTCCTCATGGTATTCCTAGGTAAACGGGGCCGGCTAGACCCTGGTCACAACATTCTTTCAATAGCCAGGTCGCTTATACTGCAGACGCGTCAAAACCAGGCCTTACTTAGCCATATATTGAGGGCTACGTTCGATACAGCTATTTTGACGTGATGAGCAAACTTTGGCCGACGGTGAATACTTCCCAGCACCTAGACTAGCCGGTGGTAGGAAAAGGCACGTAGAAGATCGGTACTAGAGACATGCCAGTGTTTCAACGAATGGCTAGAAGGAATATGACTGACAGTAATTATGCTTTCTGGCAGTGGCTTGTCAGACAGCAGATGATTGACAACATCAGCGCTTAAGATACACATGCTTCAGTTGCAAAAAATGCCCTCAGAAGTGGCGAAGGCTGGCCACACATCACTTGAGATGAATCGTCCTATCGGTTGCCAAAACACAACACGACCCACCACGGACATATTCAAGTTAGGTCAGATGGTTATGATATAGTCATAGTCAAGCTTGCAGTGTTGAAGGCGAGTATTTGCCGAGGAGTTACGGCAAAAGTCACCGAGCGTCTGCCAGACGTATCTGAAGGATGAACTGTCGTAGCAATATTTCAGGGCCGGCAGTTCCCAATGGAAGCCTCTGCTCAGCAAAGAAAAGGCTTCTTAAAAAGAGCCTTAGGTTTTATGCACATGCAGTCGTCCAGGTGTGTGTAAAAATATGCTGGCATTTCACACAATCATTTCTATCCGCGCGGCACCCCATTATGCAGCCTCGAGACTAATGCAACTACCACGAAGTGGCGCTCATACACTCTCAAGGGGCAAAAATGTGCTCGGGGAGGGCTTAGAGGGATTCCCAACCCGAAGCAAAAGAAGAACCACAACTCTTTGATCTGGCCCGGGCTTTGAACCGGGGACCTTTAGTGCTCACATCAACAACTCTCAACAAGCTCATTTGAGCTTGAAACAGTTATTTTTAGTAATGTTAGACTAACGTGATTACCAACTACACCACCGGACCGAGTTTATCGTGGACGACGAATGGATGGTGGCGGATCGGGGATGGGGGCTGATATCGTTGTGTGTCCTCGGAAGAGGGCTTGTTGAGAGAGCATGGACAGGTGGGCCGGGGCGCAGAGACCCACAGGCGCGGGGCACATCCTCCAATGAGTTGAATTACACAGTAGACTACATTACAAGACACCATGTGCCATTGGGCAGTGGGGATGGAGGCTTGCCATGGACCATGGCTACCATGGAGAGTATCACAGTACTTGCGGTGAGCCACTGTCTTTGATCACCGGTCGACTAGGATGCCAGGTCTAAGGGACGTTCGAGGCTCCACGGGGCGTGCCGTTGTCGAAGAGCTGAGTCAGGGAGAAATTGAAAGGCTGACCAGGTAGCAGGTCATCCCGCGGTCACTTGTCCCTTCGTAGGGCATTAGTATGGTATCCACAGTAGATTATCCCACGGTAAGTTATCCCACGGCAGGCTGTCCAAGTGTATGCCAGACCGTCGGCGATGGACCAAGCAGTGACTGGGCGTGATATCGGGAGGGCGACACACTGATCTCACAAGAACCACACAAGATCCAGTTACCCTATAGGGAGGAAGCCCATGAAGAGGGACCCCACAGATGTTATCCCACGGAACATTTTCCCACAGAGGTTACCCAAGGGGAGGTGATCCTGCAGTATGAGAGTCGGCGAGTCGCCATGTCGGGCCGACGCCGAGGAAGAGAGTCAGTGAGCGGCAGTATAACGAATAGGAGGACTGCATTATGTCAGTTGCGAAGTCTCTGCGGCAGAGATTTCATGGCCTTGGGTCTGGGCCCTCTGGTGATCGCAAGAACTGAGAAGTTTGCACTGAAATTTGCTTGGTGTGGAGCGAAGCTGTCAAGCTCTGCACAGTTGCCAAGAAAAAAGGCAGAAAACGGCAGAATCCGGGTCGGACTGACTGCGCTAGTCCAAGACAGAAGGCGGTCAGCCTGTCTGCAGCAAGGCCACCCTCGCGCACTGACCACCTTCAAAACACTACTTAAACCCTCGCACCCTCCCGACCTTTTGGACCTTTTTCTCTTCTTCTTCTGTTATTCGACACATACTTCATAGAATCTTTCTATAGGTTTTGTCCCATCTTCTATGTTTCCCAACATAGCTACAGATCCCACCCAGGTTGATGACTAGAAATCCTCGACATGCCTTAGAGTGAACACACCAACTTTTTACTCTCGACCCGCCTGCAAAGGTGGCGGTTGCCTCGCAACTGTATAGGGAGTGGTGATGATCTCTACCCCGATCTTCCTCGAGGTCTTGCCTTCGGGCGCTCGGGCGGGGTGGCTGCCGATGGACGTCTGACTGGCGGTTTCTCTTTCTTTTTTCATTGCTCTCGTGGGCTTGCCCGCGACGCGAGGAAGAAAGCAAGCGCGGCGTGACCCTAATCTACGTGCTAGGGGTCGGTCGAACAGACTAGGACGCGCCGGGACATGCCCGCCCTCACAAGCCAACGCGCCAGATCTTTCGCCAGTGCGATCGTTCCTGGCGAAGCCCGTACGCTAGGACGTCCTGCCGCTTTGCACCTGCGTTCAGTTCGCATCTGTTGCCGCTGCGACGGCAGAGCTGGTGGCATCTCGATGCGCAGCACGGCTGCCAGTCGATCGCAGACTCGAGATGACATTCACGCATTCATAGGACAGAGCGCGTCACCTGCTACGGCGACCTTGCAATCCCTTTCGAACATCTGCATCACCATGCTACCGCCTCCTTCTCGATCAGGCTCGCAACGCCGCTTGGCACCAACTCCCTCAACCGCCCCCAAGCCCCCGCCTTGACGGCCTCCCTCGCCAGCGTGCTGCTCACGACTCCTCCCTCCGCGTCTCCCGACATTCCCTCAACCAACTCGACCCGACGCGCCCACTCCCTCCTCCCGCCGACCTCCTCGAGCTCGTTACCGTGCATTATCCGCTCCAGGTATCCCAGCTGGTCCTCCCGCCCGCCCCAGTCGTCGTCGGTCCGCATCGTCACCCGCAGCTGGGCCCGCGCAAGGAACGGGTCAAGCGCCATCTGCATGGGCGTCTTGTCGGGCTGCGGCGGGTCAATACCGGCTTCGGGCACCGGCGGCGCGTAGTATTTCGGTGTGAAGATGCGGATCAGGGTGTCGTAGCCGGCGAGGAAGATCTGGCTCGTGTGTGGCTCGCCCGTGTTCTCTGTCTGGGCGGAGGGGAAATCATACTCGGGTGATGCGGCTATGGCGGCGGATTTGTCGTGGAAGTAGGGGTGCGTCGTCAGGCCGATGTCCACGGGGAGCGTTGCCTCGTCCTTCTGTGCTTGTGCGTGTGCGTCATCATCCTCCTCTTGTGTCTCTGTCTGCCTTTCTAGAGTGCGCCACGCCCGCTGTATATCCCCTGCGAATGCGCCCATCATCAACAGCCGCTCCTCAAACGTCGCTGGCTTCGGGGCCTTGTCGGCGTTGTTGACCGCCAGCAGCAGCAGCAGCCGCACGTCGTCCGTCAGGCCTCGCCTCTGCCCGGCAGAACCACCTCTCAGGGCTGCCGCGATGCTCTGCTGCTCCCGTAGATCCCGTAAGGCGGATGTCGCCATCTGCATGTGTGCCAAGGTCGGCGGGTTAAAGCTCGAGTCGAGCACGACCAGCGTCCTGCATTTTCGAGCCGCTGCAGCAGTGCTTGGTGGGGTTTGTGACGCGTGTTGCTGGATCAGTTGGAAGGATCGCCCGGAGGACTGGAAGCTTCGCAGCGCTGTTCGGAGTCGTGCTGTGGTCATCGCGATGTCTTCTGAAGCTTCAGAGGCCATCGTGGCCCAGGTCGTCTGGCGCGGTCCTTTCTCTCCGACACTGGCTGTTGCGGGGAGAGAAGAAGTTGTCGGGCTTGTCGGAGGGTCAGGAGGGGTTCATTGCATCATGTCAGCACCAGCACCTGTGGCCGGGCTTGAGCCCCGTGACGGCCGGGCCCGGTCTGGCTCCCGGGTTCGGGATCCACGACATCAACATGGCCACAAACGTCTACCTACCACTGGGAGGTAGTAAACATTATATCGCCAGTTGCCAGTTCCCAAGTCACACTCACTCGACAAGCTGTATTTGAGCTCACCCGGTCGACAGAAACCCGGGCAGGAAAGCCCAAGTGGCATTACAGAGATTGGAGTCCATGATATCGAGGTACCCTCAACGTCCCCCCACCGCCCGCTGCCCCGGGAGGGGAAAGGGAGACACAGAAAAGAAATCAAACAACATGAACAGAAATAACATTACAGCCATCTCGTTGAAACACTGCTCCCAAAACAAATCTTCAGGCACATGACCAAGACTACGCCTCCACTCTCTCCGGCCTTGTCGACCGTTGGGGCGGCGCTGGGGGCTGTCATTGTCTGGATCGAGCTCACCAAAAGTTCTTCACGCGGCTTTCGGCCTGAAGACCGATGCGGTTCTAGAGCTGAATCCAATAATAGTCGGGTGGCCCCTCAAATGTGCAGTTATGACTGCACAGCGCAGAGCAGCGATGCAATGAGCTGAACCTGGCCGAGACACAGCTGGCCATCTTCCAGCAATACCCGCTGCGCCACTGGCCGCCTGGATATGTGTGACCACGATGTATACTTTTACGGCAATTCGAGGCTTGATCTGCTCATAGCGCGCGTATAAGTCTTGTCCAGTCCCATGCTGGTGTGGCCAGAGGCTTCTCCGGCTACTGTCCTCTCACGGCCCGCGTCTCGTGCTTTCGCCCGGTTCAAAGAGACGCATTCCTGGGTCTCCATGCCTATATTTCAGATATTCACATTAACGGCAGGTGTACAGAATGTTGGTACTTCACACACTTCTTCTTGGAGCCTCGCTCCCCTTGCTTTTCACCTCGGTCGTGGCAACGGGCTGTTACATGTCCAATGGTTCGGCTTCGATCGATGAGCAATGGTCTTGCAACCCAAGTGCCGAAGCCAGCATCTGCTGCGGCGTACTAGACTACTGTCTGGGAAGTGTCATGTGCATGGACACCGGCGCCGACAACAGCTTCTCTATACAGGGGTGTACCGATTCAAGCTGGCCTCGCACTTGTAACCCAATATGTCCTGGCATGAGTTCGTCTCTCGTACACCAATGTCCTCCCACCCCTCACTCTCCCCCGAGTTGGTGGCTGCCAGAAAGTTGATCGGCTGATGAATGGTGTAGCTTCTGACTGGTACATCTCGGTTCAGATATGCTCATCAAAGGACGGGTCCTCCAAGGTCTGCTGTGGGTCAGACTACACTTGTTGCGGTGAGGCAGGTGTTTACGACCTCCCTGTTTTTACCGCAATAAGTAAACCGCCAGGTCTGGCTCGAGCGACGTCGTTAGGCACCAGCTCCACCAGCTCGGTTGCCGCAACGACAACGGCACAGGAGTCGACACAAACAGGAACAGGCGCCACAACAGCTGGCGACGATAGCGAAACAAGGAACATCTCCATGGGCTTGGGCGTTGGTCTGGGGGTTCCCTTGGTCCTTGCTCTGCTCGCCACTGGATTCTTGATGTTTCGAGCTCGACAAAAAGAGAAGATCAAGCCGAAGGATGACCGTAGGCAAACAGACGTCAGCTCGCAGCTGAATCCGCCTATGGTACAGCCGGGAAATGGTCAGATGGAAGATGATTACAGCCCACAGGATCAAACGCCGTTGCAACAGTCAAGGATTACAGAGCTTCCCGGACGAGGAAGGGGCGTCTCGCGCAGAAGTGCACAAGAGCTACCCGGTCATTAGCAATGATCCATGGGCCATAGGAGATACGGAAATTCAGGGCAGTTTAGGAGACCAAAGAAGAAACTTGGGTTTGATAAACAAGACTTAACCATGATGGGTAGAATTTCAGGATTTTGATATTGTTGGAAACCAGAAATTCAGCGAAGTTATGGGGATTATGTGCAGTCTTGAACGCCCGTGAACCAATACTTCAGATCATTTCTGAACCAGTAAACTCCTGCCTTCGAATCCTGTCGGCCCGATTCGAAGTCTTGCTGGGTAACATGTACAATTCGTTTCAGTGGATTGGAGTGCCGAAGGGGTCAAAGGAAAACCTGGGCAGGCACAGCAGACGTCTTCGTAGTGGCTAGATATTTGTTGTAAACAAATTCTGGAAACGCATCGGTTAGTTGGATTTCATATCGTCTCTGCGCAATTGACATTCATTCTTGGTGCCTCGCTTCACTGGTGTGCTATTTGATCAATGTAGCCCTGAATGGTATCAATTATTATACATACAGGTGCTGACCAATGTCAGCCTTTCGAAGGAAGACCCGAAAAAGCCAATTACAGACTCTTCGCATCACTGTTGTTCGCCGATTTGTGGCGGAGTGATCGAACTTCCCTCAGAAACAGCGTGCTTCACCAACGAACTCAACTGACATGGACTAGTGGTTTTCAATTCTTGTTGACAATTCAAAGTTCATCCATCTTTCCAGCTCGACGAGCACAGAGCCGTCATTGGCTCAAGCCAGTCTTGGTCCTGGGACTGGGTAGGGACGTGCACACAGTGAGCCGCGACTCCAACGCCCCCGCCCGCCATCGGCCATTAATAAACACCATCACCGGAGAACGGGATCCTCCATGAAATCCAGCGTCGACGCGATCCCGCTGGGGTCACCTGGCTCGAAACTTCTGCCGATCTCCCTGAGCCTGAGGTGCTCCAGCAGCTCCTGCTCGGCCTCGTCGCCGGCCTTGTTCTCGTCGACCCTGAACACCTTCTCGTCCTCCCTCGCGGGCACGCCGGTGGCGCCGGCGGCTCTCAGCTGGTCGTCGAAGCCGTAAACCTTGACGGCGCGGATGTGGGTGTCCTTGCCGTTCTGGTGGTTCTCCATGACCTGCATCTGGACGACGAAGCAGCACAGCGAGTTGGAGTCGTCGCCGCCGCCGCAGCCGGTGATGCTGACCTCCTGCCAGCCGACCGGGTTGTGGAGGGTCGAGCTTGCGAACTGGATCAGGTTGTGTTCCGACGTGCCGGCGAGCCAGAGGATCTTGGTCGGGGTGTAGGACTCGTCCTGGGTGTAGTCGACGAAGAAGCGGAGGGCGCGGATCTCCACTTGGCGGGTGAATTTCATGGTCATGAGGTGGGGCTGCACGCCGTCAGATCTGGGGAAATGTCAGCAGAGATCTGGTGCTGGGTTGGGGCAGGAGATGATGTCGATATGTGGGGAGGTGGCAGTGAGGCATGAGTGAGGCGGGAGTGAGCCTCGGTCCGGTGAGACCAGGGCGGGTGAGAGAGACGTACTGCCAGTACTGGCCGAGATCATCATCCAACAGCTCCTTGACGCCATTCCCAGGCTTAAAGGTGCTGACACGACAGCGGGCGAGGTTGTTGATCTCCTTGAGGCCCAGTGCTATTGGGTCAAAGGGCATGCCGGCGCCAACGTCGTCGTCGTCGTGTTCGTCCAGTTCCTCCTCACCCTCGGCCTCGTATTCGTCCAGGTCTGGAACATCCTGGCCCATGTCCTCGTCGAGGTCAACTTCAGGGTCTGCCTCGAAGGCGCCTGGGTCACCAAACTCGTCCATCTGTCGTCGAATTGGGCTCTGATCTGCGCAGTGCAGGGGAGGGTCATCGACTCAGGCGCAATGGAAGTGAAATGCAGGCTGACTGAAGTTGGAAATTTGGTTAAGCACAGTGTCATATGAATATGCAGTCCGGTTCAATGGGTCGTGAACTATCCTTCTCTGTGGTGCTCGCGTGTTTTCTAGTTCAGGAGTCCGCGTTGTGGGAAATCAACAAGGGGCGGCGTTGGGTGTGAGTGCCACGGCAGGACGACCTCAACGTCCGTCAAGGGCATTTCCCTCCTGCCGCGAGCCCAGAAACAGCTATGATCAGTTGTCGACGTGCAGCATTGCCGTTGCATTCAGCACCCTATCACTCTCCCACATGAGGCGGAACTTTGGCGTCTCTGCTCGTTTTCCCTGACCACTTCTCTGCAATCTTGAAGCAACAACTGCAAGAACCCAGGCCTTGGCTAGGTCTGGAGGTTACATGACGCTCCCAGGCCGAGGAAAGCTTTGTCAGCACCGCCGGCTGCAGCTGCAGCTCCGCCTGGCCATGTGAGTTCGTGTTAGGACCGAGCTCACAGGGCCCTGTAAGCTCCACCAACGCGCCTGCCTAGAACCCCTCACCACCCCCGACGCGTTACCCAGGTACACCACCGCGCACTCCCACTCCAACGGAACAGGCGATGCCTGGTTTTCAGCCACACCTGGCCATCTAGGTGTGCATCAGTCAGAAATCCCATTGTTTCCGCCACTTTTTGCGCCTTGGCGGGGCAGCTTTTGTTCTCTACAAGACTATCACAACCACACATGTTTTGAGATCACCTCTGGCAAGATGCCCGCCGACGCCCCAGGTTCGTACTTCTCTCGGTGTACCCTTTAGCAATAAGGCACGGCCGCTCTGGTCGAATATCGAGACTGTTCAGCTGACCCGCTCCCCTCACAGCACAGGACACAATCCGCATCCTCGTGGCAACGGACAACCATGTCGGCTATGAGGAGCGCGATCCCATTCGGAAGGATGACAGCTGGAAGACTTTTGACGAGATCATGAACCTGGCCAGGACCCAGGACGTAAGACTTGATCTGATTTCTCTCGTGTTTAGCCTGGCGGCTTGCATCAACATCATCTAACCTGTGGCTGGTCCTAGGTCGACATGGTCCTTCTCGGCGGCGATCTCTTCCACGACAACAAACCCTCCCGCAAGTCCATGTACCAGGTCATGCGCTCCCTGCGAAAGAACTGCCTCGGCATGAAACCCTGCGAGCTCGAGTTCCTCTCCGACGCACACGAGGTCTTTGAGGGTGCCTTCCCACACGTCAACTACGAGGATCCCGATATGAACATCTCCATACCTGTCTTCTCCATCCACGGGAACCACGACGACCCCAGCGGCGACGGCCATTTCTGTTCCCTGGACCTGCTGCAGGTTGCTGGCCTGGTCAACTACTTTGGCAGGGTCCCCGAGGTAGACAATATCCAGGTCAAGCCCGTGCTGTTGCAGAAGGGGAGGACCAAGCTTGCCCTATACGGCCTGAGCAACGTGCGGGATGAGCGCCTGTTCCGCACGTTTCGGGACCACCATGTCTCGTTCTTCCGACCAACACAGCAGGCCTCCGACTTCTTCAACCTCTTGACTGTCCACCAGAACCACCATGCACACACCGCCACGTCATACCTGCCCGAGAACGTGCTGCCCGACTGGATGCAACTCGTCGTCTGGGGCCACGAGCACGAGTGTGACCTCCAACGTAAGCCGAACCCCGAGACTGGCTTTGATGTCATCCAGCCTGGCTCGTCCGTTGCGACCTCCCTGATCGCCGCGGAAGCTGTCCAGAAGCAGGTCGCGCTTGTCAGCATCACCGGCCACGAGTTCAAGTGTGATCCCATACCTCTGAAAACGGTCCGCCCCTTCGTCACAAAAGATATCGTGCTGCAGCAGATACCAGAATTTAAGAAGCTGCAGAGTGTCAAGAACAACCGTGAGAAAGTCACAAAGCTTCTCATTCAGGAGGTCGACAAGATGATCGACCAGGCGAACCAGGACTGGCTTGCGCTGCAGGATGAGCCCGAGGAAGAGATTCCAGAGGAGGAACGGCCGCTCCCCCTGATACGCCTCAAGGTGGAATACAGCGCAGAAGAGGGCGGCAACTTCGACGTGGAGAACCCCCAGCGATTCTCAAACCGCTTCGTGGGTAGGGTCGCCAACACCAACGACGTTGTGGCCTTTTACCGCAAGAAAACTACCGCGAGTGAGTCACTGAAGGTTTTCCGCAGAGAGAGGGTCTGGACTTGGCTAAAAGGGAGTAATGATAGGACGCGAAAAAGACGACCCGTCACTACCTGACCGCATCATGGAGGCAATCGGGAACGACGACGTTGTCAAGCCCGACGTCCTGGTCGAAGAGTTCCTGGCGCAGAGCTCGCTGAAGGTACTGCCCAAGAACGAGTTCATCACGAGACTTGTGGACTTTGTCGAAAAGGGCGGCCCCCACGTCATGGATGAATTTGTGGACGAGTCCCTGTCCAAGTCACTGAAGGCAATCGTGAAGCTGAAGGATGCCGACCCGGAGGCCGACATCGACACGCTGATTGACGCCGTCAGGGAACGCGCGGAGCAGAGCTACGCCAAGACTGGCGGATCTGCTGGGCCCAGGAGACGGATGAAGGACCGGCCAGAGGACTACGACTCTGATCTCGGAGCTCACTGGGGCGATGACCCGTCTCATTGGTATGAGACAGCGGCACCAGCCCCAGCAAAGAAGACGACGAGCAGCCGAAATCGGCACAGCGCTAGTGACGAGGACGTCGAGATGGACGACTTGTTTGTTTCTCAGGCAGATCAAGACGACTCGCTGGTATCGCAGCCTCCCAAGCCGGCTACCAAGCGCGGGGCGGCAGCGAAAAAGGCGCCGGCCAAGAAGGCGCCGGCCACAAGGAAAGCGCCTGCAACACGTGGCCGGCCCAAGAAGAAGACCGGCATCATCGTGGACAGCGACGAAGATGAGGAAGAGGGAGCGGGAGACGCGGATGCCATGTCAGTGGACGCGTTCGTGGATGAGGACGAGGAGGCTGACCCGCCGGCGCCGCCGCCGAAGCGAGCCACGCGCACCACCAAGGCCGCGACGGCGAAGACGACGTCGTCCCGAGCCACGAAAGCTGCACCCGCGGCGAAGACACGGCAGTCGACGCTGAACTTCTCGCAGTCGCAGCGTCCTGCCACACGTGGCGTCGCGCAGAGTCAGAAGGCTCTCGAAGTTAGTGATGATGAGATCGATGACGATGACGATGACGACGACGCTTTCGAGACGATGGCGCCGACGACAACGAGGAGCAGACGGCGGTAATTCAGTGGGACGTCAAGGGGGTCCCTGGCGGAGGACGGATGTGCCTCTTTTTTTTTTTTTTTTGTGAGGCACTGCCACGACCTGACGAGGCACAGAAAATCAAGGCTAGATTGGCCTTGTGTCTGCATGTAAACCTCAACAACTGGGAAACGTGCTCCACGGGGCAATGTGATTCTTAATAGCATGGCGATTTTGGCTGGACTTTGCTTTGGGATTATTTGGCTGGTCACTCTCTACCTAGGACAGGTAGATTTGAAATGAAGCTGATGAGCTCTGAATTCTGACGACTCGCAAAGTGTATCGTGCATGGCCTACCTCGTACTTTTCATGTCAGGCAGTGTACGGACTCCCCCTTCTTGACATGCAGCAAGGCATGAACGGCATTATACCACTCCCGTACGGACTGATTTTGGTAAATGTGATTGTTTGGGTTGCAAGCAAAAAGGGGGGGGGGGGTCTTGATGAGACACAATTACGTCAGCATTTCACGGGCCGGCAACGCGCTTGTGGAGACAGCCAGCCTCCCAGCCAAGCTGCGGCTATCACAGGCAATCCATCTCGACCTCGACCCATCCGTGCAATCAGCCATCTCGTCGTTGTCGCTGCATCTACCATCGCCGCGAACATGTCGTCGCAGCAGCCACAACCACCACAGGAACCTGCCGAGCAGGCCAATGCGGCCCAGCCTGCTGCCGGTGCCCAGCAAGCCGAAGAGGAGACGGGCGGCTACGCGCCTCTGGTCGACCCACGGCTGCCAACGCGCAAGGACACCTCGTTGAAGGAGTTCCTGGCCAAGATTGACGACTATGCGCCCATCGTAAGTGTGGACCCGCCTGCCTGTCCTTGTCTTCCTTCCTCGTCAAGCAACAACTGCTGATAAATGCTGGGCGCCATCACCAAACAGATCCCCGATGGCGTAACCAACTACTACATGACCAAAGCCGGCCTGCCACCCCCACCGCAGACCGACCCGCGCCTCGCGAAGCTGCTCGCCCTGGCCACGCAAAAGTTCGTCGCCGACATCGCCGCCGACGCCTACCAGTACAGCCGCATCAGGGCGAGCAACTCGGCCGCCGCCAACAACCCGATGGGCAACCTGGGCGCCGCGGCCGGCTACCCCATCCCCGGCCAGCCGGGCGCCCCTGGGGCTGCCGGCGGTGCGGGTGGTGCCAAGGGCGGGCAGGCTGCCGCCGCGGGCCAGGCGCTGCTGGGGATCCAGCGGCCTGGTTTCGGGGGTGGTGGACAGGGCGGTAGCCAGAACAGGACGGTCCTTACTATGGAGGATCTGGGCATGGCGGTTGGGGAGTACGGGGTCAATGTCAAGAGGAGCGAGTTTTACCGATGAGCGGGGGTGGTTGGAGGACGGACGAGGAGAGCTGATGTCTCGTGTCGGTTCAAGTTGAGAAGCACGACCCAGGGCGACTGGGATTCTGACACTGCCCCTACAGGCACCAGTCGGGCACGGCGGCACTCTGATTTTGAACGGCGTTCACGGATGGAAAGGATGACGGCGTTTTGGGGAAGCAAGACTGCTTTGATTTTTCCGTACACGAGGATTCGGGGTGGCGAACCATCATATCCACGGAAGGGATTCAGAGCCATAAGAAGGTTTTTAAGTAGCAACTACTTGACACAATGGATCGGCCGTCACCTCTATTTCTGCTGCTGCAGCAGTAGAGGTCATCCCACAGCTTCTGACGTATGTTGCACTGCCGTAAGGTCCATCGAGCTCAATGCCCTGGCAAAGCCATACGCCGTGCCGCCTCACGCTTTCCAACCCCGTGGTGACCGAATTGTACGACGACGGGCGCGCCAGCCCCCGATGTCTGTATGACCAAATGTACCCGGTACGGCTCTTCGAAATAGCACCTCTTCCTCCATCAAAGCCTGGTCAGAGTCGGATTGTCTCTACTGCTCCCTTATCGCTTGTCGTAGATGAACGGTTTCCGTGTCCTGTCCCAACAAGTCAGCATCACAGTTTCGACCCTCCTCCAGCCTCTCCCTCCGGGATGGTGCATGCTCTGGCGTACTGTGAGAACTCCCCCAGCTTGTGGCCGACCATGTCTTCCGTTATCGTCACCGGGTTGTACACCTTGCCGTTGTAGACCTCAAAGTTCATGCCCACGAAGCTGGGGAGGATGGTGGCGGAGCGGGCCTGGGTGCGAATGGGAGGGGTGTATTTGCCGGACTGGGGTTTGACTAGGGGCAAGCTGGTGGTTTTGGGTTAGCAGTCGCGTACTGTTGATTCGGGTGCATCGTCGGAGAAAGGTTGCCGCAGGACCATGGGAAGAGGAGGCCGAGGCCAGGAGTGTTTGAACGTACGGGACGATGTGTGGCCCTGAGTGGTGTTGTCGCGTCAGTCTCGGAGCGCATGTATGGGAAAGAAATGGTGATGTCTTGGCAGCTTACCTTTCCAGATCGACCGCTTGAGTAATGCCCTCGTGGGCTGCATCGTGGCTGTGGTGCGTGCCGGACGTAATGAACCTCTGGTCGACGATGGCGATGCTTCCAGATTGAACCGGGAACTTTTTGATAGGGTCAATAGCAGAAGCGGAGAGCACGGGCCAAGCAGTACGTGGGGTCCAGACGCATCGGTTCAGTGCAGCTTCACCGGGTGCTGTGCAGACCCCTGTCTTAGTCTGCACCAAAACCCAAACTATGCCGTCCCTATCTCTCCACGTCACTGTTGCTCAACTTATCCCCATATCAAGCATGACGAACGTGACCTGTGGCGCTTCAAACATTTCGCCCTGAGGTGCCAATTTCGAAATCGACTTCGTTCTTTCCTTCCACGTCACCACTTATCTTGGCGCCGTGCACCCGTCCGCATACGACGTTGTATTTGGCCGTTCACCCCTCCCGTGAGCAGTGGCCCCGGATCAACTCTGCCTCTGCACATATCCCGTAGCGTCAGGTGGGCCATATGCAAAGGCGGGTGCTCGCCTTTGGTCCTTGTTCCCTCCATGACCTACCAAGAGACGAAAGGACTGCATTACAAATGAGTTCGGCCCAGCCCGGTGTAGGAGGGCACGGGAAAACGTGGGCAGCACATCGGAAATACAGTACGACAATAAATCTGTCCGTTCATCTCAACTCGGACACTTGATCAGCCGAGAGAATGTTTAAATGCCTGCTCGCGAGATAAGGGTGTAAATCGGGTGTGCGAATTGGGCGTGGGAGTTGGGTGCGGAAGTATTGGGTGTGGGTGTTGGTTGATGCACGGGTGTACCCTCCGTTTTTGAGGGTGCGAATCTCCGGTCTCTTTGTTATTACTGGCTCTACAATGCAGCCAGAATACCAAGGGCGTACTTTCCCCTGTTTATTTGAACAGGGATCCAAGAAAGCGACAATTCGCATGGGATCCCGTGGTATTGCTATTTCTGTGTCCTTATTATGACCTGAGCACTCATACAATTCTCAGCGTTGAGCAGCACTAAATGCGTAGCCGTGTTGACTGAATCCCGTCATGTTAATCAGCTGTGGTGAATATAAGCATCGCGGAGTGTTTGCTGCCTGGTAGTTGCAATTGTCCCACAACTTCCATGCTGAAACCGTATGATGGAACTTCCAATCGTATTTATCTTTCGATTTACGCCGTTTTTCACCGAAATTTGGACGGGAAAAAAAATATACGGAGGCTACTAGCCTCTGTCGCAGCGTTACAGATATAGTCGAAGTCGTGTCTCTTTTGTTTTCACTATTGCACGAGATAATCTACCAAGTGTCCGCTCGCAGAAGCCAGTTCCAAGCCTCCACTTCTTGTCGAATGTCTGCATTGCCCATGCGACTGTCACCGGTGTAGTTGATATTGCCTTGTGTCTTGCACAGCCAACAGGAGAAAAAGGAGGCCATACAGAATACGAGGCGATCGGAGGGCTCTTCCAAAGGCAACGACGTAGTGCGAGAGTCATGATTTGGCGCAAAGGAGTGGCGCGACAGCTGGACGCTCGCCGCCAACAACTTGAAAGCTGGCATGTCCCCGTGTGACCAGAACCGCCGCCTCTCTGGCCTTTCTACCTCATACCCCGCGCCGGATGGGTTCATTGCTGTTCGAATTGAATCCTTGGCTACGGCAGACAAGTTCACTGCTACCAACGAGATGAGGGATGCTGCGATTGGAGAATATCATATGCATCGAACGGGGCTGTCATACCCGGCCCAACGTTACCCCGAACCTGGAAGACAGTAGAATCGGCCCAGTGAGGCTCTTCTCTCGTCCTACACGAGGTGTATAGCTTTAGCGATACCCTCACGAGGTCGACTACCTAAGTGCATCACAAGGCTGGCACATTCATCATGCAGCACGGCCACTCAATCATCACACCTCTGCTCTTGAGGCAGATGTGGCGCGCGCGCGTTCCCTGGCCAACCACACACAATATCTCTGGAAGGAGCTGGTGACCGAGTTCTTCTTCGATGACTCTCGCTTCTGAGCCGCTGTCCAGGGCGCCTGGCCTGCTCTGAAGGCCCTCAGCCATACTTACGGACCCGATACTGTCCCCGTCATGACGGGATTCTTGCCCTCACCTGGGGACCCCGGATTTCCTGAACAGGTCTTTGGCATGCATGTCCTCCTCGACCAGGCGCCGAGGGTTCTGTTCGAGGGCATTGATGGACGGTGGACGAGCTGGTTTGACAAGGTAGCGAGGAAGTTGTACGAGTATTACTACAGCCTGCCGGAACCGCTGATGCCGTGGGCTCCTGAGGCCTGGACTGGCTCGACGTTCGAGTACTGGATCTGCATTGCGTCCGAGTTCAACGCCACTATGGCCCACCAAGAAAGCAGAATGGACCAGCAGCTCTCGGCACTCGGCGTTGAGAAATTACGCCGTGCCGTCGAAGGCTTTTTGGGCGAACGCGATCCATTCAGCGACGGCAGGTCGCCACCGCTGGACGAGTACTCGCTGGTGTTCTTCGTGAAGCACATTAGTCGGGACCAGGACTGGTCCTTCCCGAAAGCTGCCTTCTTCTCCTTCATGGTCGACGACGCCCACCGTCCCATCATTGATAGATTTGGCCGGTACCCTTACCGCAACGCCATTGAGGGTAGAGCCAGCACAGCTGGTGAGCTGGAGTGGATTCGGAGGACCGACCACTTTGCCGAGGCCGAACCAGAGGTTGCGAAGCGTGTGAGGCGGGATACTGCATCTGGGACGTGGACGCCGCTGGGCGAGAGCGAGGGCAGGTACGGAGCGGAAAGAGGTGCAGTTGGGGACATATCACCCGAGATGGGCTTAAGCATCGCTATCTGGACAGAAGCCGTGCAAAGGCCGAAGAGACAGCTATTCTCATTGGATGTTGTGCGAGAGTGGTTGGAAACTCCGATAGCCCCTCTGCAAACTACAAGGCTAAACCTCCTGAAGGGCTAATGCCTTGGAAAATTCAAGTTTGATTGGCGCTAGTGAAAACTGACTTACTAACTCATTACATAGCGATTTAAATTATAGGACATCAAAATGAAGACGTGAAACTGCTGACCCAGTTCCTCCGCGTGTCCCAACCCCTGTGCTCTTGTACCACAGCCTGCATACCTTGAGCAGCAGCCCGAGGTGTTGCCTCAACACCACGCCCCCTGTGCCTCCCCAGCAAAAGTTCGCGGCAGGCCAACGCTGCTGGAGAGTCTGGAAGCAAAGTGTGGCGTCCCTCATGCATCCGAAGCTCTGAAAGTCTTGGCTTGAGAATCTGGGCCATTGAATCTGAGAGAACAACCTCGACAGCTTCTGACTGGTCTTTCACATCGTTTGGAAGCCTACTCCATGGACATGGCTTGGCTGCGTACTCTCTGTCGCTCTCACATTTGTTGTGCAGATCAGAAAGCTTAGCCCACAGCCCAGTGCAAGAGATTCGCCCGTGATCCGGTTTATCCGGGCGTTTGACAACCAGCATATCCATTTGAATTCTCTGGAGGAACTCATGCAGATATTCACTACATCTCGGATGAGCATGGAGGTCCAGAATGAACTGTTCTAACGCATCAGCACTGATCCACCTCAAACAAATTCAGGACGAAACTCACCTCTATCACAGCAGGCTTCACCGTTGCCGCAATAGAATTCGAGTCCTTCACCCGGACGAGTTCGAAAAAGGTATCAGATTCTATGTCTGGCCATAGATGATCAACTGCAAGTCTTTTGTTATGGAAGCTTTGCACCAGCTTCCAGCCACCCAAGAGCCATGCTACCATCTCCAGGTAGAGACAACCCAAGGTCCATATGTCGTAAGACCGTCCGATCGGAACGCCTTCGAGGTCACACTCTGGCGGACGGTAAGATGGTGATACGGCAAGCTTGCTCCTTGATTTATAAGTTTTACTGTGTTTCGAGAACTCTGTCAGTCCGAAGTCTGTGATTTTGAGCGTGCCCATGTTGTCCTCTCTGTTTGCGTCACGGAACCAAAGCACATTCTCGGGCTTTATATCGCCGTGCCGGCCGTACAGCAGTCCGCTTTTCTTGGACATACTGCTCTCGTACTTGTGTATCTTGAGCAGACCTTGTGCGATTCCTCGGCATTGAGTCGCCACCCACATGATGGTTTCGTGTTGGAATGATGGTTTTGGTGTGACCTTGGACCAGTAGTCCCGCAAGTCCGCGTCGGCCCAGGGGAATACGAGGTAAAATTGGTTGAACCGTTCGTAGGTTGCCAGTAGAGAAATCAGGTGTGGGTGGGGGTCGCCGCTGAACTTCATCAGAGTTCCTGCTTCCTGCTGAAACACCTGCCTGTCCTTAGAAAAAAGACGTTTGATGGCGAAGCCTTGATCCGGGTTCTGAAGTGCAATTTAGCCAACGAAATCTCGATATGATGAAGATTTAGAATACTGGACTTACGAAATGAGTGTGAAAGGCATGATGGTCGGGGTGTATGTTTACCTTGAAAACACTACTGTAACCACCATCAAATTCCCGGCGTCTCTGAATGCTATCTTCGTCACTTTCATCGCTGTAGCGGCTGTCTTCTGTGAATGGCAAGGGAATCTGGTCCGACAGAATAAAATGAGCGACATCCTTGTGCTTAGGCGGATGAAAAAAGGGGGCTAGAGTCGTCCACTGCCATTCTTCAAATTTTCGAATGTCCAGAGACGTCCATGTTCCAAAGCATGTAAGATCATCCTGCGTTGGCTCGGAACTGTCGATCCGTCTGCCAAGAGTGAAGAACTTTGGACGACTCAAAGGTATCTTTCGTAGGGGGAGGTCATCATCCGTAACATTTTCCGCGATAAAAAGCGGAATAGCTTTGATTCTCTCGCTGAGAACAAGAGTGACGAAGATCTTTTTGAAAGACGAACATGGCGGGTCAGCGTTGTGGACAGGCGTAGCCCCACAGATTTTCCTCGCGAGATCGTCGATGACTTGTGGGGGAATAGTATCTCCCAGGTTGGCCTCAAGCACTTCCTTGACACATTTCTCAGTTATCAGGACGTCCAGAAGTCCCCTCGGAAAGAAACCCTTTCTCTCATTATGTCCTGGTACATTCTCCAAAATATCGAGAAGACGATCTTGAATAGGTACGCTCTCGTCGATGACATTAGATGAAATTGTGGCGACTCTTGTTGATCCCCGCTGGTCGGCATTTCGTAAGCCTTGAGCTCCCAGATCGGTGTAATTGGACACCAGACTCTCCTCGTACTGCAGCCTTGGCCGTTCCGCGGTATCAGGTATTCCTTCACTTTTGATGGATGCGCGATGAATCAGGATATCAATATCCTCGGTGCGATGAGAGCATTGACATTGAGCTTCGCTGTCCTCAAGCTGAATGGCACCGATGTATCATCAGCGCAAGACCCAAGGTTATCGAAATCAAATGCAGGGGATGTCCAAACATACATCGAGACCATGGTCTGAAATTTCTTCCCTCTGCTTTTGCTGGCCTTTCTCCACCTCAATCGTATCGAGTCCCAACAGGGATTTTGCTTGGTTGGCAGAGATCGAGTTGGCTGAAGGGTCATCTTGAGGATCTTGGAATGACACTGATCTAGTGAGACCCTGATGTGTACAGTTTTGCAAGCCCCCTCTCTCTCCAGGGTAGGATGGAGTTTGAGAAGTTGGTGTGTTGACAACATTTTGAAGAGATGTAGCTGCATCTCCTTCTGAAGAGACTCGCTTTGTCGATGGGAACTCTTCTCTGGCAGGAAGAGTGCATTCATGACCTAACATAAATTAAGCTAAGCACGTTCTGGACGTTGGTAATTACTCACTGGCATGTAGTGACGAGTCCATGACTTCCTGGTCGGTGTCGTCCACTGGCAAGCGCTCACAAGCTTCCTCAGAAACTTCAACTTAGGTGAAGAAGATGGTTTTCACGATACAACGAGAGCATTGATTATTAACATCCCTCTTTGCTTTGAGTATTGGGCGGAATACGAGAGAGACCGTTCTATTTGTGAATGGGGATACAAGGAGGATCCAGCCACAAATGACGAGTAGGGCTTCAACCCCATGTTTCCTGCCTTACCATAGGTCTTTGGCCCCATCAGCTGAAAATTCAGGAGCGAAAAGTGCAAGTTTTGGAACTCCAGAAATACGGAGGCGCAGCCGACCTGGGCCCGACAAGGCTGGGGGGATGATCCGACAGGGTGCGTAGTGCATAGCTGACTACCTGGTCGCGTACCTACTTCAGTACTCATCCAGGAAGTGAGTTTCTAGGTATGGCGGATGACACTGGCGTGCACATATCTTTGCATGAGGAGACTGATTCAATTCAGAAATGGCAATTTCATGCGTTTCATGCTGGGCTCTCTGGCTTCAACTGGTTGCTTGTTCTCAAGGTCTGTCGCCTGAAGAGACACTCACTGAATTGAATTTTCAATTGAGCTACTTGAATTCGTTGCCACTATGCTAGGATTCGGATGACTGAGGCAATCCACAGGGCACACAACAGCTGCCTTTTTGCCCAGGTGATGGTGGTGTGAGGGATTATTCGGGTTGCATGATGGTGACCGCACGGGTGTGGTGCACAACAACATTACGCTGAAATGCGGGTCAATGTACACAAAGGTATTCTCGAAAGAATTTCGAAGGGACGCCACAACCATGTGATGGTATCAACCATTTTCCAGAGAGTTCACTAGTAGATGTCACCTACTGCATGCGATGGTGCACTCCAGCTTAATAGTCCTGCCGAGAGAGACCAAGTCTCTGACGATGGTGTGTACGCTATAAATTAGGCAGGTCCTTAGGATCGTCTGACTCCGACGTCTCTGAGGCGCTGCAGTTCAGCATTTCGTATCCCTGGTCCGAATGCGGCTGACTGTGCCCGAGGCAGCAGCCATGTTCCAATCTGGCCCCGGGCTTGGGTCACCTGCATAAGGCCCACTGCGCACTGAACTCCGGGGGCTGAACACTTTTTATACTTCGCTCTGCGACTCGGAAAGCAATATAAAGATGTAACCGGCGCCAAACACGTGGTGAATTCCCAGTGCATCCTTCTTGGTAAGAGATTCTGAATTTCACATCTTCAAAACCAGCCCTTCGCGTCTCCTGTCGCTTATTCCTTGCCATGGATAGGCCATCAGCATGTCACGATACTACCACTGCTTTGAAAGAAGCTGAGCAACCCTTGGAAGCCACAAGAATACAGCCTTTCGAGCCCACGCCAACCTACGACAGTGACGCCTCGGACTCAACCATCGAGTCCCAGGACATTGCAGGAAAGCGAGTCAATCCGGCAAAGTTGATTGCATTGCTACGCACAAAATTCGGTGCAGGTCGGTTTAAGATACGCGTATGTTGGACCAGACTTAACCCTAAGGCTTCTCATGTCGAGATGTTGCTGACTTCAGCTCAGGTCGTCCAAAATGTCTACACCATACAAGTCCCCAGGCGTCTGTCTCTGAACGAGATCCTGCAATGCAGGTGAAGAGATTGTTGCATATTGGCATGCGTACACGTCCCCTTTGTAGTGTGGAAACGTGGCCTCGACGGTGCTTTTGAAGTTCTCGTCCATGAACAACACAGCAGTCTGGTCTAGTGGAGCTATCTCGCAAGGAAGGGGACTGGTTGGCGAGGCACTCGGAGGTCTCCAATAATGCAGGCCAAATTGAGCAGCCGCCGGTGGCGTCTTCAGGAGGGAAGCAGGACGGCTGAATACATGCACCTAATAGGTCGCATCCGGCTTGCAGCAAGTAGCTGCATCGGGTTTTACCCACAACCGGGAACCGGTAAGAGAGATCGGGACCATCTCCGGACGACAGTTGGGTGATTACTGTTACACGCGTCAGCAGGACCAACGCCTCTTTGACCAGGCCTTACGACATTGCGGCAAAGATTGACATTGGCGCTCCAAGTCGTGCAGTGGCTCGCCCGTTTGGGCATCTTCATTGGAACTGCTGCATGATGGTGGGGGTTCAGCCCGCTATCCTAAGGCAGCCACCTAGATAGCTGAAAGTAGTGCGATTGTCGCCGCTATAGTATGATTGACTTATGGATTCAATGAGGCTCTGCGGCTGGGTGAATATTCCCCAAGGAAAGTTGAAAGCACAATCGTGTGGGTCGCACCTCCCGAGGGGTAGTTCCGTACTCCTTTGTGAACACACTTGTGCCGATCTGTTTCGTCTCCAACCAAACGCTTGGCCCGCAGTCATGGCGCCCTCACACGATCCATTGGTGAACAAGATATACGATGTGTACGAGTCAAGTCGATTTCCACCCGATAATGAGCGTGAGTTTGTCCCGGCGTGTTGCCTTGAGAAACTGATCACGGAAAAGGCCGTGATTGCCGAACTTGGAGTGGATATGCTCGATGAGAGAGCTGCCAGGGAGGCCGGGGAGCTCGCAGCTTGGATTGTCAAATTTTGCAAAAAGGTTTTCGCCACGACAATCCTCTGTGGAATTCCTTCCGTATTCTCAGTCATGCAAGAATTCAAGATCAACGGCTTCGATGACACCCATCTGCCCGTTCACTACGAAGAAAAGAAGGATGACAACACCTGGCCCGACATTTTTAAGACTGAGCACTGGGACCGGCGTTTGAGGCGTGACTTTAGGAATAAGCAGTGGCAGGTTCAAGTACCAATATTCAAAGATGCAGAAATAAAGGTCAACCTCGACATGGATCACATTCTTCCCATCATATCTGTCGACGAGGACACTAGAGAGGGCACATTTGGCAAGGTGTACCAGGTGACTATCCACAGGGATCACATGGAAAGCCCCATGCTCAAGGTTCGTTCCACTCATGAAGACGACATTACATTTGTTGCATTTCCAGGCTTCGTCAACATTGTCAATCCGTTTCTGATCCGTGGCAGATGAACGGTGAAGTCGCCAATGCCGCCATCAAGGAGTTGAAGGCTATAAGAAAAGGCGATATCAGGGATGAGAAAACCCTCGAGGAATGGGAGAAAGAAGCAAAGGCTCTGACAGAAATGTCCGAACTGCGCCACGATCACATCATTCAAGTGAAAGCGATAATTTCCAAGGGCAAGAGACAGTATTTCATGTTCCAGTGGGCGGATGGGGGAAGTCTTCGGGATTTCTTCGAGACCCACGAGAGAGTTCTGGATCAAAACTTTGTCCAGAGAGTCATTGGGCAGCTGGCCGGGCTGGCGGCAGCCCTCGACAAGCTTCACAACTGGGATGAAGGGGATGGGTCGTGGCGGCATGGCGACCTGAAACCCGAGAACATTCTGCGCTTCGAAGACGGAACGCGTACTGGCATCTGGAAGATTGCAGACATGGGCCTGGCGAAGCATCATTTCGCTGACACCGGCCGCCGGTCCGGTCCAACCAGCACGCAAAATGGGACCCCATTGTACGGCCCCCCTGAAGCAGTCACAAGCTCTGCTACAGCACGTTCCCGTCTGTACGATATCTGGTCACTCGGTTGCATTACTCTGGAGCTTTTGGTATGGCTCCTTGATGGGTACGAGGCATTGGTGGAGTTCAACAACAGCTTGAAAAACCTTAGCGGGTATCCGGCTCCGTACTGGGAGAACAGTCCCCCTGGAAGTCCGAGAGTACACCAGAAAGTTTCAGAGCGCATCAGAATCATGGAGGAAAGGTTGAAAGGATCCAGACCTACTGCTCTAGCAGACCTTCTAAACATCGTCAAGAATGACCTTTTGGTCGTTGCTCTCCCGGAAAATCGTACTCGAACCGCGCAGATCGCAAGAAAAACTCTCGATCCGGTTGACCCTCCGGTTGACCCTCCGGGTGGTTCAACAGATGTTTCGGGGACCCCGAGAATTCCAGCAATCCAGGTAAGCTATGAAGACCAAGCGCCTGTTCCAATCCGAGTTGGCCCACGCCGCACGACAGCAGGCAATCTCTGCGGCGCCTTACAAAGAATTCAAGAGGCTGGCGAGACCAATCCGGATTATTGGTTCTCTTCACCTAGAGATGTTCACGATCCATCCTCTTCAATCCCCACGTCTGAAGCCTTGATGGCCGACCCGCCGGTATTAGTGCCTAACAGAGGAGGAAGTCTCATGCCTTCTCCACAAAGACATAATGTAGGTTTGATTCAACAGGCTCAATACAAGGGAAATTGCTGATTTAGAAGATTTCTAGCTAGCGGTGCGTTCTAGAAATCGATCCCTTATTTGATGATGAGGCAGTCCTGACCAGGCTTAAATACTCGCTAATGCTATACCATTCTGCAGACTGTAAGTATGACTTATCACTTTCCAACGGTGGGATGCCAAAGCTAACCATCTATAGTATGTAAGCGAGATATCCAAAGAAACGAGAACCGGCAGGAACACATGATAAACTGACCTGGTGTTTCCTCGTGTTTGTAGTCAGTAAGTGACCAGAGTTGCTGTCCCTCACAATAATACTACATAATAATCTATGTCTAATACCGCAATTTCTCAAGCATCACTTCGATGTAAGCCAATGCTGTGCAGACACAAAGTATGAGTTGACTGTACTAAGTAGCTTATGCGTCGCTGTATCTAGCCCGTGAGTAGAGGCCCAACTGAGACAAACAGTCTCAGATGACATGCTGACGCGTTTTAGCGAGTGAGTTCATCCATAGCCCACCGGCCCAGTACCTGTCAGAAACAGAATGAATATCTAAGAAAGAACACATAGCTGGATAAGGTCTGGAAGTTTACCGTTGACGACACATTCGCGACTCGGTTTATCGACAGCCTTTCACATGCCAATATCCCCGCCCCAACGGTTCCAACCTGTGCGAAATTGTGTTCGAAATGCGAAGCGCTGGACTTTTGCTCAAGGAGTTTCCACTTCAAGGACACTTTGGCCGATATGCGGAAGCGTCTGCCGTGCGGTTTCTGCGACCTACGACTGGCAGTCTGTAGTGACCTAGGTCTCAACCCCAGCGAACAAGTTCACTTTGATCGGCTTGACTCCATGATCCGATTGAATGAGCGCTACCCACCCATCTTGACTTTGCGTCGAGGCCCAAGTGAGTGCAACACAATTCTATTGTCGATGCAAAACTTTCTGATCAGTGCAAGCCGTGCCAAAAATAGGAGACGACCCACAAGCAGCTAGTGTTGTGCAGTTGGGCTTGCCTCTTCAACCAACTCCCGGCGACAAAGTCCATGTGCAACTAATCCGCAGTTGGCTTGAAGATTGTGACAACGAACATCAAGACTGCAAAGTTTCAGCCAGCCCGACGCTTCCAAAACGCCTTATGGCCGTGGGACAGAAAGATAGTGATCCCATAAGGTTGTGCGAGGGTCATTTCCCTTCCCCAGCCGACGTCAAGTACATCGCATTGTCTCATCGCTGGGGGGACGGCCCGCATTTTTGCACTACAACATCAAATCTGGCCCAATTCAAGCAGGCGATCAGATTCGCGGATCTCCCCAAAACATTCCAGGATGCAGTCAGGATAAGTAGGGCCCTGTCCGTAGGATACCTGTGGATCGACTCTCTCTGCATTGTTCAAGGGCCCGGTGGTGATTTCAGCGAGCAAGCGAAGCTGATGCAAGACGTATTCAGCCAAGCGTACTGCGTCGTGGCCGCCAGTTCTTCGACCGGACAGGATGACGGGTTCCTGCGAGGACCTGAGGAACCACCGGAGTCACTGAGTATCCCTGGCAAAGACGGGGCCATAATCCACATAGGACGTTTCATGGACGACTTCAACAGCGACGTCCTGGAAAGCCAACTTAATCGGCGGGGCTGGGTGTTGCAAGAGAGAGCGCTGGCAAGGCGTACGATTTATTTCACCGACAGGCAAACCTACTGGGAGTGCGGCATGGGCGTCCGGTGCGAGACTATGACCAAAATGAGGAAGTAAGTTGCTCTCTCGCTGTTTCAGTCATGGAAAGAGGACACATGAGAGGCCGCAGACCGGTGGGCCGGCCCAAGACGAGCCTACCTACCTACTTGTACCTTGGGAATTGGCTGACAAGACGGGGTCATCGCATAGCCGCCTCGCCTCCTTCCTCGGCGACCCCAACTTCCCAAAAGTCGCCGCCCACAGCACCACCGGGGGCCGCATCCGCCTCTACCAAGACCTCTACCAGCAGTACTCACGCCTGCAGCTTTCCCGCCCCACCGACCGCCCCATGGCGATCGCCGGCCTGGAGCGCCGCCTTATCGACAGCCTCCGCGTGCATGGCGGCCGCGGCGTGCTCGACGAGGCGCCGCCGGGCCTGCTGCGGCGGAGCCTGCTTTGGGTCCGGGGCCGCGCGGACAACCCCTCGGGGCTGCGGCGGATCGACTTTGCCGGGCTCGCGCACCCGCCGCCGACTTGGTCGTGGATGGCGCACGAGGGGGGCATTGAGTATCTGGATGTCCCGGGCGGCAAGGTCGAGTGGGAGGTGCGGGACATCGTCTCGCCGTGGACGAGGATTGGGACGCCGGGAACGTGGTATAGTTTTGATGAGTCGGCGTCTATGGGGATCCAGGTGATCGTGCGGGACTTCGTGCCGGACCCGGCGTTGAGGACAAGAGGATGGGAAGCAGACTTGGTATTCGATGTGCCGAGCAGTTCGGCGCCGTTGCCGCAGAACGTGCAATGCGTCATCCTGGGGAGATTGAGTAGCTCGGGCACGGACGGCACGGGGACAGGTCGGAAGTGCTGCGTGTTACTCGTGACGAGTCTGGCGAAAAGTTCTAGCAGAGGATCAGTGTACGAAAGGGTCGGGGCAGGATGGATTTCGAGCAGCTTTGTTGGGAAGCAGGAAACTGTTGGAACCCTTCGATGACTTCGAGATTGGTACAGTAGGAGCATAAACAGCGTCCTCTTTTGCAAACACTCTTTTGTTTTCTAAGTGTGTGCCCTATAATTACAGTCTCGGTTTAGCTATCATTAACGCTGCGTACTTCTGCAATGACGAATATTCTAGATAAATACTGCGTTTAGCAGTGAACTAGTGGTATCCACATGACCTTCCAGTTACAGGCTATTTCGAGGATTATATGGTATAAATGATAGGCCATGTAGCCTCTTCTTCTTCTCTCTTTGGCCGAGTACCCTCACTTCTGCTCCCCACATAATTTCCCATGTCTATTGGGTTGGCGCATGCATGAAATGTCTTGTGCATAGTGATAACAACAGTACTTGCTTGGGAGCCAGCTTGACAGCAGTTGAGCTCCAAAGTCAATTCCCCCGGCCTTCGGGCCTCCTTTTCTTAGCTCAATTGCGGCCGCTAATGAGCACAACCGTAACATCAGGGGGCTGTGGAGTTTGTTTGCGTGACATGGCCGCATGTGGCCTCGGCAGCTGTAATCCCTAGCCCGACTACAATGTGGGTCAATATTGTCCTGTACCATGGCCCCCTTTTCCTGCTCCCTGGTTGATCGTAAGCTATCCATACCTTCTTGACCTATTGACCTACACAACGGCAGGCGTGCCTCCGTCTGTTGATTCGCCGGGCAGGGAGGTCCATTGTTCGCCTTCCTTGTCCTTATGATCGGCAATAATCTGGTGATTCGCCAGCCATGACAACAAGCATGATTTAACCCCAGATCGCCAGGCCTCGGTACCGGTACCGAAACCGATTAGCGCCGGCCTTCACGATGCTTCACCACCACAAGCATTGCGGGGACGTCCAATTTGCGGCTCGCCAATACGTGACGCTACCATCCTAGAGCAATCGTCTGAGCTTGATCGCACTTCAACGCAGTTCGCATCCCTCCACCACGGAGTAATGGCCTCCGCCGCATCATCGACGGTCGGGTCTTGACGAATATAAAGCGCCATGTTGCCCATCAGTCTGTTAAACGACCAGCTTGGTCCTGTCCTGCTCCCATGAGCCCGTAATTGTTTTCCGTTTTCGATCCAGGACGATATGCGGTTCCTCAATGTCCTCCTTGGCGCGGCCGCCGTCACTTCGGCGGTCGCTGCACCAACCACAAGCAGCGACGCACCTGTAACGAAGCGCAAGAGCAAGTTCTTGTTCACGGGTGTCAATGAGTCCGGTGCTGAGTTCGGTCAGGGCAACCTGCCGGGCACGCTTGGCAAGGACTACACATGGCCTGTCCACTCAACCATTGATGTAAGAGAGACAACTCGGATCCAGCGAGGAAGGGAGACGAGATCAACCACTTATACTAACCCAGCATCTGGCAGACTTTGACCGCGAAGGGCTTCAACATCTTCCGAGTGCCAATTTTGATGTGCGTTGATTGCCAGGAGCTTGTGTAAACCACGCCAAACCCGAAAATCTACTGACAGCCTCAACAGGGAGCGAATCATTCCAAGCACCCTTACAGGTAGCATCAACGAGGCATACTACAGCGGCTTGAACGATGTCAGTGATCCCACAAGCCCAATGGACGGGAACTGGACCTAACCTTGGCCCACAGATCGTCAGCTACATCACAAGCAAAGGCGCATACGCCATCATCGACTCGCAGAACTTTGGGCGCTACTACGGAAACGTGATCACCGACACAAGCGGGTTCCAGACGTACTGGAAGACCATTGCCGCCCGGTTCGCGGGTAACAGCAAGGTCATCTTCGACACCAACAATGAGTACCATGACATGGACAACACCCTCGTCGCACAGCTCAACCAGGCTGCTATCAACGGCATACGCGCGGCTGGTGCCACGAGCCAATACATCTTTGTGGAGGGAAATTCCTACACTGGCGCTTGGACCTGGGTATGTGCTTTCCAGCTAATTGTTACTGCTCCAAACAAATGCTGCAGTTCTCAGATGTCGTGGTTCTGACATGGCAACAGGTCTCCTCCGGCACCGGAGCTGCTCTGGCCTCCCTGACGGACCCCTCCAACAAGATCGTGTACGAGATGCACCAGTACCTCGACAGCGACGGTTCCGGCACACACGCAGACTGCGTCTCCTCCACCATCGGGAGCGAGCGCATACAGGCCGCTACCCAGTGGCTGAAGCAGAACGGCAAGAAGGGAATTCTCGGCGAGACTGCCGGGGGCGCCAACAGCCAGTGCATCCAGGCCCTGACGGGGATGCTGCAGTACATGGAAGCCAACACCGACGTCTGGGAAGGCTGGCTGTGGTGGGGAGGTGGCCCGTGGTGGGGAGACTACATGTTTTCCATGGAGCCGCCAAGTGGTACTGCATATACCTCGGTACTCCCCAGCATTTCGCAGTTCATCTGAACTCATGGTTGATGACGAGTTCGACGACGGCTACTCGATTTCTAAGCCTATATGAGTGCAGCAGTGCCGTCGTGGTTTCAATGCTTAGGTGTGACGAGGTGTGCTACTTCTTCACCAAAATGTATATATACAATCGCATTCACCTGAACATCCTCACGAAATGCTACTGGATGACGGTACATTGAACTTTGATGTTTCTGGAAAATGTGTCCGCGCCGCTCGAATCCCTGCGTAAGAGGTGGATTACACAAACAAGTGAAACTACCCACTTTCCGATGCTGTGTTCTTGACTTCAAGTATGACTCTGACTTACCGCACTTGCGATAAGTCTGCGACTTACAGATTTATTTAGGCCAAGCTATTTTATTTGGCCCTGCCCCCAAGTGACTGTCGGCCTGACTCGCTGGGGTAACACATGTTGGGGGATCGTCGCGGGTGAAGATCTCGGGCAGGGGGAAACCTTGATCGATGCAATCCCGCCACTTACCGGCAACTCGACACACACATAAAGAGCCCGTCATCCCGTTCGATACTGAATATAGGACGGGGCTGTGCTCTTCATCTGGCGTGCACCGGGGAATCGCCGCTTCTCGATATCCATCCGGGCGGATCGAAACACGAATCTGGAGTTGTTTCGAAGATTGCAGGGGATCTCGGGCGAGTCAAATCCATCGCCGGCGTGCTAGAGCACCTTAAGATTAAAGTGTATCGCGTGGGGTAAAGCTGGGTGGGTCCACGTACAGCTGAGGCTCACCGTTGGACAGACGGGTAGGGCTATTGTCGAGGCACCGCACACCCGCAGCACGACATGAGATGACCTGTCGCAAGCTGCTGTGGCAGCGGTCTCTCGCCGCCCAGAGCCGAGCTCGTCATGTGCACTGCTCCACGCCCCGGTGATCACTCGCCTTGACTGCGGGCCGTTGAGTTCGGAACAGGCAAGTCGCAACGCACCGGAATGCTTACCGAGGTGAGCCTCTGCTCAGGGCCCCGAACAGCCCCATTTATATCCACAATTCCCGGTGAATCTCATTTCACAGGTATCTAGCAACTGTGAGCCCTTGGCACTCACTTATTATCTGGGGCAGATCTCTTGCGCAAGAAGATCAGATGGCTATTCATTCCTCCCCTTCACCGACCTTGTCATTCGTTTCCAACAGTCAGGATGGGTAACACCGCCAGCACACCGTCTACGCCCGATGTTCCAGAGAACTCGAGGCTGACTCCGCCAGCCGGCAGCATCACTGTGTGCGCGACGGGAGAATGTGACTGGCCTACCGTACGTGCCTGAGAAGCCTCGCTCCGGCAATATTTCTCACTGACATTCCTCGCAGATCTCGTCGGCTGTGAACAGCATTTCCAACACGTCCACAGACCCGACGACCATCTTCGTCTATAATGGCACCTACACGGAGCAGGTGTATCTGCCACCCAAGGCGGCCAAGGTCACCATCTATGGGCAGACCTCGGACATCACCAGCTACCACGGCAACACTGTGACCCTGCAGTACAACTCCTCCCTTGCCGTTGCGCCAAACGACGAGTGGACCGCCCCCTTGGTCAACGAGTCGCCCAACACTGCGGTCTACAACCTCGACGTCCGCAACCTCTGGGGCGAGGGCTACCAGGCCGTCGCCATATCCGCCTACAACACCAGCCAGGGCTACTACGGCCTGGGCATCTACGGCTCCCAGGACACCCTCCTGGCCGAGGTGGGCAACCAGTTCTACGCCAACAGCTACATCGAGGGCATGACCGACTTCATATTCGGCGAGCACGCGCGCGCCTGGGTCACCAACTCGACCGTCGCCAGCAACGGCTACGGCTGGGTCACGGCCAGCGGGCGCGTCGACGAAAACGACCCGAGCTGGTACGTCATCACCGACAGCGTGGTCACCACCGCCGAGGGCGCCGAGGTCGAGGACGGCAGCGTCTTCCTGGGCCGCCCCTGGCGGAACTGGGCCCGCGTCACGTTCCAGCGCTGCGAGATGGGCAGCCACATCAACGAGACGGGCTGGTCCGAGTGGACCACGGACGAGCCGCAGACGGACCGCGTCACATTTGAGGAGTGGGACAACACCGGCGCGGGCTCGGACACGAGCGACAGGGTCGGCTACTCCACCGTGAGGAACTCGCCCCTGCCGATTGAGTTCATCCTGGGGGCCGACTACAAGGACTGGGTTGACGAGCTGTACCTGCCTTCTGAGTAAGATTTGATAATGCAACGTCGGCCGAACGGTCGGATGTCTTTTCGTCTTGTATATAGTTTCAGATCACCACTGGTGTGGTGCAATTCCAGGCTCAGCCAGGTCCGGTGTAGTTTTTGAGTCAACAACACATACCTCCGAACGTGAACTGTCGAAATGGCAACGACACTGTGCATAGATGACATTTGAAAGAGGTTTCTTTTGGCCATGTTTCAAATAAACCAAGTAGATGGAAGGCATGTATCGATCTGAATGATTCTGTGCACGGCATGTATGAGCACACCGAGAAAACCAACATCAACGACATTGGTATCTTTGTGAACTGGCAAGGACACAAGTGGCCTTGTTAGCAGATGAGACCTTGAGACGGTGTATGTCCATGCTTCCCTTTGCTGTGGACGATCATATCTGGGGAACCTGGGAATAGCATTCCCCATCCAAGCACTATGGTAGCTTGAGGTGGGTCACTCAGATCTGATAAGAAAATATTGAGGTCAGGCCTTCTTCCAATGATGTTTTGGTGCGACTACCAAAGGTACAGGAGGGTTGTTCTTCAACAACTGGTCACGCTACTCAACATCTGAAGAACGCAACGGAGCCAACCGCCAGCCCTTCAATTCCGGCTTGCAACGACGGCTCGATCTCGGGCGCAAACCTCGGGTTATGATTGAATGGTAGGTCCTTCAAGGTGCAATTCCTCTCAGCCTCGTCCTACTCCTCTCGTGGGGTCACGCCGTAGTTCCAACAGACGTATGGAATCGGCTTCCCGCCTGGCGGATGTCCGAGAAGAACGAAATCATCTGCAGTGATGTCAAGGTCCATCTCGATGATCTTGTGCGGAGCCTCGTCGCCGTAGAAGATTCGCAGTGCCCGAGTGAGCTTATCCGTTGCTTCGCCGTCGCTGTCGGTTGGCGGGCAGCTAGCAGAAGTCACGATGCGGGGGCTCTTGGGAGCGTTCGCAGCTTGACATTCCCTCTCGATTATGCGCTTCACTCCCTCGACCGCCGTGTGTTGTATGTCCTTGTTGAAGGACCGAATGTCCACTTTGAAATCTGCAAACTCCGGTATGATGCTGGCGTCCGTTCCTCCGTGGAAGTACCCACTGGTGATCGCACAGGGCTCCTTGAAATCAATCTCTCGCGAAACAACCATCCGCAGGCGCGAGATGATGTTGCTTGCCATCAGGATGGGATCAATGCCCAGCTCGGGCGTCGACGAGTGTGTTCCCTTGCCGTAGACTCGGACAGACAGTGAGTCGAGAAAACCGAGCACGCGACCTGGGAGAGTGCCTATGGTGCCGGCCCTTGTGGGGACGGCATGCTGACCCAGCAGATATCAGGCAGTGGTATCTTATCGAAAAGGCCGTCGTCAATCATGGCCTGGGCCCCAAGTAGTCGCTCTTCGTTTGGCTGAAAAATGCAGACCAACGTGCCCGACCAAGAATCCTTCAATTTCTTCAGCAAATCCGCCGCGCCCAATAAACTGGCCATATGCATGTCGTGACCACAACCATGCACGACTCCCTTCAAAATCCCGTCGGTATCCAGCTGCTTCGCTTTGCTGGCGTATGGAAGGCCCGTGTCCTCCTCCATCGGCAAGGCATCCAACTCTGAACGGAGCCATACCGTGCTCCCCTTTCGGTTCTTCAAGATACCCACAAGTCCATGGCCACCTATGTTTCTGTGGACCTCATAGCCAAGAGACTCGAGATTCTCAGCGACAACAGCCGCAGTGCGTGGCTCCTGGCACGGGAGCTCGGGGTGTTGATGGAGGTCTTTGTAGACTGATGCGTATTTCTCCAAGGACGGGAAGGACTCTTTGAAGGTGTCGCGCCATCTGTCGAAGTAGGGAGGAAGCTCGGTGTTTTGAATCTGCATGTTGAATTGAGTGGGTCAAAGATCACGATAACGAAGAGAGAACGATGTGTTGCTGACCATTATGGCGCTCAAGGCTTGACTACAGTAGATGCGCAGACCTGTAGTGGATTGTGGAAAGGTTACGTTTGCTGAGGCAGGTTCGATTGGGTCTGGCGATGATGCGAGTGTATGTTTTCGAAGTGGGCTTGATGGCTAAGTCCTGAGTGCAGAAGGGGCCCCGGAAGGCATCCTTCTTTGAAGACGTACACAGGGTACGCAACCCCTAACATCTGTAACCCATTCAGCTGTGTGCTAAAGTTGTGGACTGGTCCAGCCGGTGTGGTTGACTGCGTTTTGGAAACTTCTGACATTTTGTTAAACTATGCTACAGTGGAACAGCGTACGGAACCGTTTCACTATTGCAACATGCATGCTCCAAACGGCAAAACCGACCATCCCCTTTTTCCCACATAACTTCCCAGTCATCTTTTTCCTTAATTTTGAACCAGAAAATTCCCAACTTGACAAGTCCGTTGCTCTCCACAGACTTCCTGACATTTTGCTCGTCTGTGCGATCATTGTCAGCCAAAGGACGTCCCATCGTCATCTTGACAAGGCCGCTGCCATCCACAGATCTCCTGGCGTTTCCTTCATGTATACGGTAACCGTCAGCGATACCTCCAATGGTCACGTCTGCTGTGCACAGCATCTCCCTGACCGAGTCCGTCATGTGTGTTCGCGAATACCTGAGGTGGGGCAACTGCCGTCCTTGTATCTCTCCCCATTTCACGAAGAGGTCCCACCAGTATACATGCTTTAGCACCAAGAAGTAGAAGCTTTCCATCCTCAGACCTCCATCATACTTCACCACCTTCATTCTCTCCTTCCTTCCCCGGATCGTATCCAATGTCCACAAGCCCACAAGCTTCACTGGAGGTTGACGCATATGCATACGCCGCCAAGATGCATTGCGTCGGTAAAACGCCACCCTGCGTCGTCCGATGGGGAGCGCCTCGATGGCCAGATCATTGAAGCCGCGGGGGTCTGGCGTGCCATCTGGCGTGCCGGCGAAGTCAAATAGTAGCGGAAACAGCTCTGCCAAAAGAGGATTATATGTGACCTCATCACTCCACGCTTGCTTCTCTTCGCACTTGAAGAAAAGTGCCCTTTGCAGTAAGGTTGACCCCTGGATCAAGTCTCGCCACCGTCGGCACACCCGGAGTGCTGATGTGAGGAGGGTGCGCATGTCCAGGTTGAGAAGAATGGGTTCGAGCAGCTCGGGGATGGCGAGCACCATGCTGCTGGAGAGCTTGGAGGTAGGAAGTCTTCTGCTCTCGCTCATACTGGACAAAGGTAGCACTGATCTGGTGGTAGGGCTGTGCGAGGTGATGGGAAGCTTCGTCGTGGAAGTGATATCCTGAAGTTTAGAACAAAAATAATGGGGTTTGAAGCAATGCAATTGAGATTTTTGACCGCTTATTTCGCCGTTGGTCGGCATCCAGGTTCCACTGTACACGTGATGACAACGCTCCGGGACTAATACTTGGTCTCGGCATTTAGGCAGCACTCCAGAAAGAGAAAGCTCTGATAGGCTGAATAGCGCCCGGTGCCTGAATACTGTGACTCAAAATGCGTCGTAACGTCAACAGTACAGTAACTTATTCTCCATAGAAAAGCTTAACAGCAAGTTCTCAATACTAGATTCGTGTGGAGAGGCCACGCGAAGCCGCAGGCTCAAAAACTTTATCTATCACTGGGCGGTTCAAAGATCTTATATGTAAGATACTTAAATAGTAACAGAACTCTATTTTTAGTGGCCCAGTGTGGTCACTAAACTGAAGGAACTAGGGCTTTTTATTTCCTGGAACTCCTGATCTTCTCTGATTCCTACTGTCTTTGGAGCAAAGGGTTCCCGGCATGTTACAGTCAATTTCTGGAGATATCTGGATAAATCTTGTTTGTGTCTTGTTTGCGGCACACACCCTTGCATGGCCAAGTCATATGATCTAAGGTTCTTTTGCTAGGTTTCAAATCTGGAAGAGAACCCCAACTCATGGTGACAATACTCGAGTGCCTTTCTGTTGTGGCGTCACTTTCCAAGCAACCCACGGCGGCTAAGACCGGGCTCGCCATGGGCCGTTTCGCGGGCCCTCACGGTCTTTGCGGCAATCTATAGTCAGAAAGTAGCCATCACCTTCGCCACAGTCGTACGCTGGCTGATCTCAAAGTGGTTAAGTCTGATGCGGAATGTCACAGAAAGACTCATGGCAACAGGTCCGATTATTCAGCCACAAGTTCTCAGCCGCAAATGTCTCGGTTAACTTACAAAATCTACAACTGAAAAGTACTCAGACGAATGGCCTGATCTGACGCGAAACTGAGTAAGCGACGGAAATTAATTCAATTCCTACGAGAAGATGATCCTAAAGGCCTCTATTGAACTGAATAAACCAGTCAGTGACCGGGAAGGCATAAAAAGACTCTCTCACCCGCTCGGAAAGCCCGACCTGACGCCGCGCAGCGAGCTGGCAGGGACGGCCGGCACGCTGATCGAGCGCGTCTGCGATCCCGGCTCCGCCAAGTGGGGATGCAGCAATGGTTACTGCTGGAAGCTGTGTGGGAAGCCAGGCTCAGGCACCTGGTGCTGGACCGCGCGCGACGAGGGCTATGGCGACTGGATTACTTGTTCATCTTCTACACAGTGTAGCCTCGGTTTTGCTTGTGGCCAGCCCGGCGGCGGCAATGTTCCCTGTGACGCGTGCGGTTGCAAATGCTGAGCTGGGTAGCAAACCAATGACCATCAACAGGTGGAAAGTTGAGATGGGGCACTTGGATTGCATGCTGCTGGATCACTTCTATTGAGACTATATTTGGATTAACCCAAGAACACAACAAGGGCTCTTATAATCCCATCATAGAGAGCTGTGAGTCGTAGTGCAGATAACAGTATGCCTAGGTATTTCAACGAGCTAGTTAGGGCATCTTAAACAGGAGTCACAGGTTTAGCAACCATCAGCCCGATCAGACTTCTCGCAACCTCTGCAGCGGCCAAGCAAGTGGTCTCGCCATTATTGTCGTATACAGGTGAAACTTCAACGACGTCGGCTCCAACAACATTGAGCCCAACTAAACCATCTAGAATAGTCAATAGTTCACGGGTCGTCCATCCACCGGGCTCCGCGGTGCCGGTTGCTGGTGCGAAGGCCTATTGAACGTCAGTTTATGCGACAACCTTAGACGGAAGGACATACTTACCGGGTCCAACACGTCGATGTCTACAGTGATGTAAACATTTCCGGTGGCCGCCCTCTCTTTGAGCTTCTTGATGACCCCCTTCGCCCCAAGCTCGTCGATGACGCGGGCAGTGATAATCTCAAATCCGCACTGGACGTCGTTATCCAGATCCCTATGCTGACTTCCCAACGGCGCCCGGATGCCAGCATGGATGGAGGAGTCGTTTGATATCAGGCCTTCCTCGTGGGCAATGTGGAGAAACGTCCCGTGGTTGACAGATGCATAGTCCGTGATGCCTCCACCAAGCCTCGTGGGGTCCCACGTATCGATGTGGGAGTCGAAGTGAATCACATTGACGACTCCCCAGTGATCAATTGTAGACCGGAGAGCAGCCAGGGTGACGGTGTGGTCGCCGCCAAGCATCAGGACGCGAGGCGTCTTTGCGATGGACGCGTTGCTAGCCGTGCGCCCGGTGGTGATCTGGGAGGCGGTGAGAACCTGGACTCACAACAATGACAGAGACACTGACCTTGTATGCCTTTCCAAGCTGTTTCAAAGCCACGGTGTTGTCCACAAACGTCAGTGGAGCATCACCACAGTCGACAATTTTTGCCCATTCCTCGAAAGAATTTCGGCCCGAGTACAGGTTCCACGAATGTGGCCCTCGTACCCTGCGTGAGCCGTCACGGATGCCATGAGGTCCAAACCTCGCGCCAGGTCTGTATGATGTCGCTGTGTCGAATGGTGCTCCCAAAACAGCTATGTCATACCTTCCAACCTCCTCGTGGGCCTTGGAATCGAAGCAAGGTACGTATGGCAAGTGGGCAAAGGATGTGAGCCCACCCGTGGCATCCGTGGTCAAGTCGATATCATCGTCACTTTCGCCCTGCGGCTGGATCGGTACCTGTCCAGGCAACCTATCTATTCCGAAGACTGGAGGGAAGACTATGTCCCGAGTGTCGCCGAGGCTTACGAGAGACAATAAAACTACTCCAAGCAACATTTTGATGGATTTATGAACATAAGTGAGCATCTACTGAATGGAAAGAATGCAACGGGAGCATATCACAATGCCGGAGGTCGTGGTCTCGGCATGGCATCGATATATCAGCGCTTATCTCGCTGGTGTGGTTCACACCATAATCAACAACCAATGAGGCACAAGACTAGATCCAAGACGGAAGGCCAATGCATACACAGTCCTATCAGATCGAGTCTTCCGCTATCGAGGTAATACGAAGTAAGTCATATGAGTGCACCACAATCAAATTCCGACCTACCGGCAATGACATCGGCTTATCGGGCTACCGACTGAACGGCTATACGCTGGGTCGCACTTCCCGTTGCGGCTCTGTTTTGCCGCTGGGCTCAAGAACGCGGATCGCTTGTAAGAGACTAGCTGCCACACATATCTAATTATATTTTATAAGTGCCACAATGGCCGTCCTGTTTCTTGAAACATTCAGTATGTTATTATCGAGCCTCGTCAGTATTAGTAAGGAAAACAACCAGTAATCTTGAGACTGATTATTCCCTGAAGTTCAACTCTGAACGAGAACTGTGGGAACGGCATCGAAACTATTCTTGGCCATATAATGAATTTCTACCTCATCTGTTTGGTGATAGTGCCATCGAGGCTGGAATAAGTTCAAGGTAGAGTGGAGCTGCCCGGAGATCTTCTTGCCTGGGTGAAGTTACAATTGACTATCCCTACATTATCAATACCATCAATAAAACTCCAACGCGGGACACGGATGAAGACAATATGGATATTCCGATTTTTTTGTCACTCGAGCACGTTGAGTCATTATGATTGCACAATATCTCTTATCCCCACTAATGATGACACGACATGCTGGGTGGGCGATGCAAACTTGTAAAGTCCCTAGGTAGTTATTCCTAGATGAGTGTTCGTGACGAAATGGCAGCCAATTTGCAGGCGACGTTCACACTGTGGAGCATCCCATAATGACAAGATCAGTGTGATGCGTGAGGGGTGTGCAAAAATTGAAACACTATTCCGAGCTTATTCTTACTTCCATTACTCCTCTTATAAAAGTATGAAGAAGGGCAAGGACCAGCCCAAACTCGAGACAGGCATCTGGCTACGCCTTGCTGCTTATGTGGATTGCACTGATGACTTCTCCGACGGACCTGGGCTGTCTAGCTGAAGCCATTCACCCAGAACGGCGACTCAGCACACCGAGTGGGCTGTTCAGCAGGGCATCAACAAGGACCTTGAGGAGTACTCGTTCCTCAACCCTGCCGTCCAATAAGACATCTAAGTCAAGTAACCCCTATGGCATGAGCGCATTAAAGAGGCTGGTCTGTATGATTGCCCATATCTCGACTATGGCAAGGAGATGGCTCGTTACACGACGTTGTTAGCGTCCTTTTTCGTTACCCTTCACTACGAGTGGTACATGCCTTCTGCTTGCTCCCTGGGTGTGTTCGTCTCACATTTCCCACTCTAAACCATTGACTAACATATCGCAGCACCATATCATGTTCACGGCCCACGACGCCGGACATGGGGCTATCACTCACAAGTTTCCCTTTGACACCTTCATCGGTCTCTTCATCGTTAGCTTCTGTTGCGGTCTGTCCATGGAATCGTGGAAGAGCAGCCACAACGTCCACCACCTCAGCACCAACCAACCTGTAAGCTACGCCCTCTAACTTTGCACCCTGTCTACCTGGCCTATCCGCGTCGCCTTTTTCCTGATCTCGCACATCAACACCATGCAGCTGCACGTCCAGAGAGCAATAGCAGCCACATCATGCAAAACTTCTCAGCCTCTCCTTCCTAGCAAGAGCTTCGGATGAAGTTACACCGAGCTACGGCTCAATATCTACGCAAGTCATTCAAGTCATCAGCAGGCCCAGATTCCTCAACAAGGACGACCCATGCTCGTTTCCGGGTTGCATACATATCCGGGGGAGGTGGGCGAATGCCGGTGAAGGACAACAATCCCGGCAGACCTAAACATATGGCCCATTTGGTCCCCACGCGTTCTTTCGATTCTATTTACATGTTTCCGTGTCTCATTCCCATGATTGATGGAACTATGTATCCTGATGATCCGAGGCTCTGGTCCGTCCAAGAGGAGAATGGCCGGTTCATTGCTTTGTCAACTGGCACCTCTTTACAATGCCGTGGCACGCTATTAGGCATTCTTGATGGCTAGTCTGCAATTTCCAATGCTCATTAAGTAGTTCACTGAGGTACCCGTCTATTCCGGTGAGTCTGGCCTCTCTTTGGGGCCCCAAAAGAAGGTCGTCGACAGAGGGCCAAGAGTCCAACTGGGGTTTTCTCGGCTGCGGCCCATCACCCGGTTAAACACGGATCGCTTCACCGTGATTACCTCTCGCAAATCAACTGCCTGAACGTGAAAGCCTGGTTTTTCAAACGACCTGTCTGCGCCTAGGTAGCATGTTAGCCAGTCAGTTTATTCAAGACTTCACGACACTAACCTCTCGTTGATAATGACCGGCCTGAAGTCGAGCCCACTCCGATTGAGGGCCCAAGTTCCATTGAAGGTCCAACTTCGATTGACGCTCCGAATTTTGATCCGTACCCCTCTCGCGATGTCGCGACCCTTGCATCCATGTATGTGATGAATCCAACAACAAGATGGACTCTTTGCCCCTCGTCTTTCCTCCTGCTTATCCAACCCCACACCCCATCCTCCGTCGCTGCCATTGCAAAGTATTCGCTCTGTTCTGTAAGCACAAACTCCCTACTGGACCTTGCTTCCAGTGAAACCATGACTTGACTCTCTTGACGACTTGCTCCCATGTTCAGCACGCTTGAGCTGGGTGCCTTCACATCCCCGACCTGCAACGATACCGGTCCGGTCGGTATCTCGTGAATCTTTCTTCTGTATTCGAGGCTTGGTAATTTTATGTCATCCGTTGGCGGGTGGCGGTTGTAATTAACAACAAAACTTCCCATGCCTCCGAGCAATTCGACCATGTTGATGCCATTGGTCCCTCGCGAGTGGCCCAAGGGGTCCCAGCTCGGTGCCGAGAGACTGGAAGACTGTTGATATTGTGGAACAACCTGCGAGTGAGGTATGCTTGAACCAGCCTGGCTGGAAATTTGAGAAGGTCGCAGCCGGAGTGAGGGCTGAGCGGGGTTCCCTAATTCCACAGTCTGCAAGCCAACTGTTTCTCTGGGAACTGGCGGGGCACTAGCTGGCCCCTGTTCGACGGCACATCCCTGGCTTATCTCAGATACTTCTGCATGAACAGGTGCACTATTGACTGAGCCACTGTGCGTTGGCTCAGTAGATTGCAGAGAGCCGTCGGCATGATGTTGTACTTGCAAAGACGACGAAGTACGGGTGCCGTATCCCTCGTCCGGATGGGTTAGCCTCGAGACCTGGGAAGGAGAAGCGCTCGTATTATCAAGTGATTGCATGGATCCGAGTAAGAGAATATGAGGCTCGACGTTGGTTGCAGCTTTGAGAAACATAGTGCCGGCGTCTTTTCGATTGCTGGCGTCGTAATCGATGCAATTGCTGATAGTTATCCAAAGATCCTCCGAAAAGTGGTCGGGAATTTTCGAGAGAGAGCCACGATATGACTGATCTAGCTGGTCGTCGAATGGTGTTTTCCGCATGACGAAGTAATACAAGGTGCCTTGGCATATCTTAATTAGTGCCCCAGGTGATGCAGGGTAGAAGAGGAAGCCTCACATCGCAGGGAAAATATATCACTTTTGGTGCTCCAATTTGGCCTATGTTTCGTTACTTCCTGTGACACACTTTTAGCCGAGGTTTCAAATGTTAAGTCAGGGTCTGCATATTCGGCCCACCCCCTGATTCGGCCCACTTTACACCCGCGTGCGCATTAAGTCCACCCCATTATATATTACGCGTTTTCTTTATAATGGAATTTTCTCTTTTTTTTTAAACTTTTAATATATTATTATTTATTAATTATAAAGCTATATATAAAAGAAAATATAAGTATAATATTTAAGGCGATTTAAATTAGTATTAATATTTAAAAAGCCTTTTTATATTAAAATATTTTAAAAATTATACTTTATAATTATTATTATAGTATTTAAAGTTATTTAAATGCCTTAAAATTTTAAATAAAGTTATTATAAATTTAAGAAATATACTTATTTAATTAAATAATTAATTAAGTAATATTAAGGTTATTAATAATATATTTTAAAATAAAGTTTTTTATAACTTAAGTAGCTGCTTTTTAAAAATATTAATTACCTTTTAATAAGCATTAATTAAAGGCTTTTTTTATTAAAAATTTTAAAATTTAAAGTATATAAAGCTATTAAATAACTTTAAATTAAGTAAATAAAGTAAAAATAAGTATAATTAAGAAGTAATTTAACTTCTTTTAGCTATTAATAATTATAAATATTTACTTAAAAAATTATTATATAATATTAATAAAAGGGGTATAGCTAAGAATAAAGGAAAAAATAGCATTATTTTAAGATTTAAAGAAAGGAAGGTTATTATTTAAAAAAGCTATAAGTTATATATATAAATTTCTTTTTTTAAGTATATCTTTATAATAAGTAAATTATACCCTTTCCTTATTATTTTTTAAGAAAAGTTAATTTAATAATAATAATTTAAAACTTTTAAAAATTATAAAAATTAAAAGTTTATAATAATGCTAAATAGCTAAATAAATAATATTATAATACTTAAGTAGCTATAAAAGATTTTTATCTTTTAAATAAAGCTAAATGCCTTTAAAAAATAGTATTTATTAATAATAAATAAGTATAAAAGCTATTATATTTTAAAGTTTATATAAAAATACTTTTTATATAAGATTTATTACCTTTATTTATTATTATATACTTTATATATATTATAATCTTTTAATTTAAAGATATTTTTTAACTTTAAGGCAATATATAAAAAGAAAATAAATTTTTTAAATCTTTATATTAATAATACTTATATTAAAAAGTAATTATTCCTTTATTATTATTAAAAGGTAAGATTTATAATATTTAAAGAAAAGTATATACTTTTTAAATAATAAAAAATTAATTTATAATTAATTAATATAGCTAAATTATTAATAAATATAATTATACTTAAAAACTTTAATAAAATAATATTTATACTTATTTTTAATAATATTATAAGAATTAAAAAACTTAAATTAATTATTTTAATACTTATTAAGCTATAAAAAAGGGTTTTTTTAACCCTTAAAGCATTTTAAGAAATATAAGTTGCTTTTATTAATTATAACTTATAAAAATACTTAATTATAACTTAATAATTACTTTTTAAGAAAGTTTAAAAAGAATATAATAAAAAAATTAATAATTAATAATACTTTTATAAGAAAATTAAGTTCTTAAAAATAAATTAATAATTATAATATCTTAAAAGAAAAAAAAGATTAAAATAAGCTTAAACTTTATATTTATTAAAATTAAGTATATATATAAGGTATAAATTAACGTTAATATAATTAAGGATAACTTAGCAAAAATAAACGCTTTTAAAAATATTATAAATGCAAAGGAATGCATTATTATAAATAGTAATGATGATTTAAAGTAACTTTAATTAAAGGGGTAGTGTGGCGAGGAGGACCGTTTTGGTGGGCTGAATTAGGGGGTGGGCCGAATGTGCAGACCCTGACTTAACGCCCAGAAAGATTCCCGAACGACACAGAAGTCTTACCGGTGCTATGTACGGCATCGTACCAACAAATGAGCGCGGCCCAGTCTCTTCTGAGGACTGCACTGTGTGTGCCAAGCCGAAATCAGCGAGCTTAACAATCAAGTGTCCCGATCGAGTGTATTGTGCTAGAACTGCTGACGCTTAGTAAACGTAATATGGACATCTCGGGCTCGGCGACCAACCATTCGCCGGCTTTATATCGCGATGGAGGACGGGTTTCCACTTGGCCCCATGGATATCGACACGTTCTTGAAGAATTCTACCACTCTCTGTGCGGATGATTCCATGGTGACAGTAAGCTAAAGCTGCCGAAAGCTGATAAACGACGCTCAATACTTCAGGTTCGGATGGCCAAGCAGAGGATTCGCTGCGTCTCGACATTAGAATAACACGGCCTGGGGTAGTGAACACACATACCTCTTCTTTTTGATGGTGTAAGATTCCAGGTTTTCGTTACAGAATTCGGTGTAGATGCGACCTTCTAATGGGCCCCACTTTACATCGAAGTATCGCACGATGTTGGGATGATCAAGCCGGGCGATGAAGTTAACTTCTCGCTTTGTTTCCTCTTTTGTTTGCTTGCCAAATCCAATGCGCTTACACGCGAGCAACCTTCCATCTCGTTCCCTTTTCACCAGGCGGACGTCTCCAAACGTCCCCCGGCCTAGCGTCGCAGCATCATGGACCGGGTGATAAACCTCTGTAGTCTCTTGCTCAGGCATCGTGCACTTGGCATCGCTGGAAACAGACCTCAAGTTGGTAGCAGGTCGCTCGACTTCATTCTCCCGAGCGGGGTAAACGAAATTTAATACTACAAAATTTCACACGTTTGAAACTAATGATGCGAGTGGCTTGAATGGCGTTTCTTTTCATTGGACGACTCTTCAGCTGAGCAGGCTGGCTGGCCGCAGCTGAACATCAGGTTTCGACTGTGTCACTGCTTGTGCTTTTCCGATACTTCTCCTCTTCCCTCTCCAAAATATATCCTTTCGTCCTCTTCCAGGTCTCAAATTCACTGTGCCGTCTACATCTCCCATTCAAAATGGCAGAACTTGGGGCTGGTGCTACGGTCGCAGGCCTGGCGCTTGCAGTCCCCGGTATCATCGACCTAATTATCAAGTACGGTGAATGGATACGGGATCGCTACGAAACCTTCAAAACCCCAGAGCCGGTTTGGAAGGAGCTGGCGGTCTTTGGAGCGAGTTTGGCAGATGGCAGACTACGCAGTCAACTACTCTTAGCAAGAGCCCATTGGTTGCGAGAAGATTGTGATCCAGCGTTGAAGAAGTCGCTGGAAGATGCCATTGATCTTCTCCACGATGATGTGGTCAAAGCGAACAGAGCTTCCGAAAAGTATGCAACTCACGGTTTCGGAGCACGTATTGGTTTTGCGTTATATGGGGAAAGAAAGTGCAAAGCTCTCAATGATGCCTTGCAGGGACACCAGCGAGAGCTTTCGGATCTTCTCATACTCAAAGACATTGAATCAAGGATGATTCCCAACTCATTTCTTCTCGACCAATCCAGGTTTCGACTCAATAGTCGTCATGGGTTCGTCAAAGTGCCTTATACATCTAGCCTATTTATCGCCAAGGCAGAGTACAAGGAAGACCCGAACGAAGCAGCCATCCGAAATGTGATGGTCCTCGTAGAGAGGAAAGACGGAAACTTGGCGGGCATCTCCTCGTATCTTCAGACCCGACTTTCAGACAACCATAGCGACCGAAGAACTGGCGTATTGAGATGCCTTGGATATCACTTGAAACCAGATCAGGAGCTCATTTTTGAGTTGCCAGATGGCGCGGATAACCCTCAGACCCTCCAAACCATCATTGCTTCCGACCAAGGGCATTCTCATCACCCTCTGGACTTTCGTTTCCGTCTCTGTCGCCAATTAGCGGAAGCTGTTCTAGGCGTCTGCTCGGTGGGTCTAGTGCACAAGAACATCAGAACAGATACCATCCTGATCGTCCAGAGGCAGGCTCAGTCGAACGCAAGTCACATACTGGACAAGATTGGGTTTGGAGACATGTTTCTCACTGATTGGCATCTTCTGAGAAGTCACGACGGTCTCACAACAGGAGCAAGTTCGCGGGACCAGGAAGATTGGACCAAGGACATGTACCGACACCCCGGCCGTCAAGGACTTCAGAAGCTCGAGGAGAGGTACAACATTGGCCATGATATCTACAGCCTTGGTGTCTGTCTTTTGGAGATAGGTTTATGGAGTGTGTTCGTCGAAGGCCGTACAGCAGACGGCCGTCCGCGTGTGTCTGGTTTCTTTCGAGCTGCGGCCAAGTTGGATAGCGACCCGGATCCAGAGGCGAAGTTACAGAGCATATTGAGAACTCCCGAAGCTATCCGAAATGTTCTGATCCTCTTAGCCCAACAGCAGCTTCCATCCCGCATGGGCCTCAGCTTCACGAGGCTTGTCGTCTCTTGCCTGAAGGGCCTTGATTTTCCCAGCGGTTTCGGGGCGGAAGTTAAATTTAGAGAGATGAACAAAACGGAGCAGGCGGTTGCTTTCAAGAATGTTGTTCTTTCTTACTTCAACGACCTGTTTCTGTAACATGGTCAATACTGGAAGGACTCACTTGCTGATCCCATAGCTCAACACGTCGGAATATTGGCTAGCAAGTTGCGGGACTAGTTGACACCAGGGAGAGTTTGGAGGTGCGTGAAAGAGTGCGGAGAATACATGGAGGAACATATTCAACATTCCTGATGATTCACATTGTCATGTTTATATCGTCTACGTGATCTAGTTGTCTGAGTGAATGCAACGATGACGTCCCAAGTCTACTACCTCCGCACCTCCATCCCCGCGATCCACGACATTACCATCTCCGGGCCATTCCACGTCCTGGAAGCCGCACTGCCCAACCTGCGCCTACGACTCGCCGAGTCCTCCGAGGCAACAGAGGTCTTCAACGCCGTCACGGAGAACGGCCGGCTGCTCAACCAATTTTGTCATGCTGGATCCCAACGGCAACGAGATGTAAGCAGGCTGTTAAAGAGATGAAGGCCGCTGTATTCACGGGAGGGTCCTGAGAAGAATTGTTTTAACTTCCAATGGATTAAATTGGCATTAGCAGACCGCCGAACAACCAATATGGCCGAGCTCTTGCAACATCGCTCTGGGCCATGACCATAAGTTGCCTCCGGAATTCTACCACCGTGACCTCCAACCGTCCTTGACTTTACGTCTTTTCCCCCTCAAATGTCTGTGCCAGGGCATTGATTCTCTTGACAAGGTCTTTGACCTTGAATGGTTTGCTGATTACCTCATCCATGCCGGCCTCTTTCATGACCTTTGTCTGCTCGTCCCTCACATTTGCACTCACGCCCAGGATGGGCGACCTGCCAACTTCGCCCTTGGCTTGTAAATCCTTTATCTCCCGGGCTGCGGTGTTGCCGTCCTTGATTGGCATCTCTTGGTCCATCAAAATGCACGAGAAACGGCCACTGTCCACTTGTGGTTGAGCACCGGAAGTCATGCCGGTATTTATTTTGGCCCGGTCTACGACGGCGTCGACGGCTTCCTGTCCATTATTGGCGGTGATGACTTGAAATCCATGGTTCTGCGCGAGACGGAGGTTAGTACTCCATACAGGAACATGTGCAACCATATGGCCACAAGAGATCGTCCAAACAATCATGGTTTGGCAGGCAGCTCCTTACTTGCAATTGCCTCTTGAGCACCTTCTGGTTGATCAGATTATCCTCGACAAGAAGCAAAGTCCTCTCCATTTGTTCTTTATCCCGCGACTTCTCCTCTTTCTTGTCGTCTGAGGTGCTGGGAGTTCCGCCCGTCTTTGAGCTCACTCTTCCCCGCTGGGTAAGTTCTTTTTGGTTCGGCTGCCTGACTGTGTTCGCAGCACCCTGGGGCCTGGAATTCGCTTCCTCCCCTGCTGGGCCATGGAAAACGGAAGCAACGCGCTCGACCGGTTTGATTAACGTAGGGTTTGTGTCTCTTTCTCGCTCGAGGCCTGGCTTGTCTGAAATCTTGCGACTCATTGAACCGCCATCTCTTTCCCTGTCCGAGACCTCATCCTTGACGGATTTGTCGATGCTCTCAATTGCCGTTCTATGTGATTGTGGGCGGCTTGGCAGACGCGGCCGCGACACCATGTCTTCTGAAGATATCTGCCTCACGGGCGTGCTCCTGCCTGAATCAACGGGGCTTTCATCGGCCGGTGGCGACGCGCGGCGAACCCTGAAATAGAAGCCGAATGTGGACCCCTGTCCCTCGTGGGAGCCTACGCCTATGTCTCCGCCATGTAGTTGGCATAATTTCCTCGATATTGAAAGGCCCAAGCCGGAACCTCCATATTTCTCAGATGTCTTCGGCGTCGCCTGCCGGAAGCGCTCGAACAGCCTCGCTTGGTCTTGCGCCGAGATGCCAATCCCTGTGTCCTTGACCGCGATCATTAGGTACAATGCCGGACCGTCGCCCCATTCTGGGGACCGAGTCTGGTCTCGATCTTCCTTGTAATCATTGAAGAAGACCACGTCTGGTGGGTACGACTTTGGCCTATCAATAGATGCGCCTACCGCCACTGTTATCTTCCTCTCGCCGTTCGTTTTCGAAGTGAACTTGATGGCGTTGGTCATGAGATTCACAAGCACCTGCTTGATACGTGTGAGATCTGCAACAACCCAGTCGACCTCGTTCTCACCAAATGTAACATCCAGAGCGTACTCGAATCCGATGCGGTTGTTCTTCAGCTCGGCTTGGAATACCTTGAGCTGCTTAGAGAGAATCCATTTTGGCTGTGACACGCTGGGAGCAAGAGACATCATGGCGCTGTCCAACTTTGAGAAGTTCAAGATGTCATCAACAAGAACACTCTGATGTGACACGCAGACCAAGATAGTTTCCGCTGCATCGATTATCTCTGCGACCTGCTCAGGACGAGGCCCACACCCCTCCATGGCCTTGCTCGTTTCTTTGATTTCCTCAGCAAGATGCAACACGGCACTGAGAGGGTTCCTGATCTCGTGGGAGACCATGTCGATAAAGCGCTCTTGCTGCTGCTTGCGGTCCTTGGCGTCGATCGCGGTACGCTCCTGCGCCAGCTCGGCGGTCTTGAGTTCAGTGATGTCCACGACGGCACATATGTACCCAGAGTTTCGTGTAGAGTTCAGGGGCCTGAGCAAAAACATGCGCCATTCATCGTTCTCCGGCTGATCTGGGTCGTTCCTTTCGCCTTCATCGCCAGACACACACCTAAAATCGACCTTGACGTCCCTCCGTTCCCTGAACGCTTCACGATACTCTGACATGACCCGCTCATAGTCGCGGGGATCGATGCTCTCGGGCCAAGAGCGAAACTCGCGGGACGATTTCTTCGTTGTTAGGCTGAAGAATTGGTCGTTGACGAAGACAGCCTCAGCCTAAGTGCTCCTGTCAGTATCTGCCCCCATCAAGTCAAGCTGTCACCACGACTCGGGGGTGAATGGGAGCCAGAGGGATTGAGCACTCACATTATGGTTCAGTATGGCAAGTCCAGTGGGTAGTAGCTCGGAAAACCGCTGGAAGAGCTGGCTTTGCTTTAGGTCTATGTGGCCATGCCTCGAGACCGCATCAGCTAAGCCGCCATGTTGATCAAGGGGCCCAGGCGGTAGGGCTTTGCTGAGAATCTCATCCTGGTCCTTCTGAGGCTTGTCGAGGAAGTCGTTGTCTTGAGGACTATGTCTGTCACCCAGGGACTCGGGATCGGAGCCGTGACCCAGGAGCTCATTGTCAAGCGAGCGCTGTGAAGACGGGCTGTCGAGTGACTGGGCAAATGCGCCTTGTCGATGACCTCTGTCATCAAGCAGAGGGCAGATGACCATGGATGCGCCAAAGGATTCACCAGGAGTCTTCGGGGAGAAAAGGTCTCCAGCTGTGCGTGAAACTCTGTCAGCCAGCTCGTGGCTGGCATTGATGTCTTGCGAGCCAGCCATGATATCAGGGCCAGGGCCAGTACTAATACATCCGGCGGGGCTTTGACAGGAGCACGTACCTATCCTGACCGTGCGGCCAGTGACTGCTGACTGGAGGGCGCTGCGGGCTTCCCCTCGATAGTAATCTGCGGCGGGCTGGCCCTGTCCATCGTGATAGCTCGTGGCGGCGCCCCAGGCAAAATTGTGGACTAGCGAGAGGTGTGAGCCCCAGAAGACGGCAGCGGGATGCGGCAAGGCCTTGATGAGATTGACGTAGGAGGTGAGAGACTGCGGCCATTCCGGCGACAGGCCAAGGGGAGTCTTGGACCTATGGGCAAGTCAGTTGACTACCCAGTCTACACAGCCTAGTGCGTATCTGGCAACAGAGCAGGAAGGTGAGGAGTCTCGTGTGGGCTCGCACACACACGCGAGAGCCGGCTGCTCAAGGACAGAGAAGCCAGAACAGGCACAGGTTGGCCGGCACCACTCACCAGTCGTTCCGGGCCAGGTACTCGGAGTTGAGGTCAAAGACAGACAGTCCAGCGTTGGCAAGCTGTTCGAAGTCGGGGTCCTGCATGGGTGACTTGCTGAACAGGTGTCCCCACGATTTCGTGGAGCCCTGAGAGTCCCCGGCAGCGAGATGGCGGACCTTGACTGGCGGTGCAGCGTTGTGCAGCGCAGCTCGGCGCAGCGCGGGGAGGGAGACCTCAAACGGTGACCACTTGTTGCGATGGAAGAGGTAGCAGCGGCGACGGCAAGTAACTTGTCACAGGGACTTGGGCGGTTTGTGGGTATTGATTCCTTGAACGGGCAGCTACTTGATCCGTCTCGTCTCGTCCATCCCTCTGGACAGTGCAGACGGCCAAGCGAAGATCTAAACCCGACAGAGTGTGTGGTGGATGCTGAGAGGGCGGATTGGTGGCAAGTGACGGCTTGCACATAGGACTGGCGGACATACACACGGCTGGAGCTGAGTCTGGCGACGACGGTGACGATGACGAGACTGAGACTGAGGCTGGGAGCGACTGGTGTGCGGGCGGGTGCTCCCAGACTGCCAGACAGTCCTGCCCGGCTGCCAGACCAAGGCCAAAACCAAGCTGGACCCTGAGGTGAGGTTGTGTGCCCTGGCACATTACGTCACTCGGTCCGGGCCTGTGTGCGCCTTCCTGACTCTAGTATCTATCTGCATGCTCTTCACCATGGTACCATACACAATAAAACACCTGCGCAGTTACTGTATGGCGGCGTCTCCAGTAGCGTGTGTGAGAGGGGCAAATGATGAGCGAGTGACCAGCATCATTTTTTGACCGTGGCGGCTCGACGTAGTGATGTACCAGCGTGGGATTCGTCTGCATTGACTTCGATGATCCGGGTACCTTGGTCCCTGCGAGACAACCTGCCCCTGCCTAACTGCTCTCTGGCAGCAGGTACCTGGGTACCTAGGTACACAGGAGGTATCTAGCCAAACTTAGCGTGTCCTCGGCAGATGCACGCCCTGGTACTCTGTACCTTTCCTCAAACGTATTCAGACGGCCGGAAACAACGAGAGAAGACTGTAGGCGGTAGGTGCAGCATGCCCGCATAGGCAGGTGCAGGTGCGACAGACGTTGTTCACTGAATGCCGTGGGAACCAACAGAACAAGCAGTACGGTCTGACGGTCTGACGGTCCGACACCACAGTGCCTATCAATCCGTCCTCCAAGAAACAATTGGTCACCTGCGGACTTTGCAAATCCGACAGTCAGTCCGTCACTTTCATGGACGTGTACTGTACTCCGTTAAGGTGCCAGGTCAGTGCAGATCCATTCTCGAAGGCCAGTCTAGAACCTCGACGATGCAATAAAGGCGCGCCACCTGGGGGATCGACGTGTCGGGCCAGCCAGTCAGGTCGCCTCCTGCCTCCTAGCTGCATCCTGTGGGTACCGGATACCACCACCGCCAGCCAGGCACGCTGTGACCTGACGTCGTCTTGCATCAGGTACGTACCCTGCCGGTCTGGGAAGCTCCTCGGCCCCCCGCCAGGGGCTAGGGTCAGCTCAATTTCGAGATTTTTGCTCCGGACCAGGGTTCGGGGTGTGCAATGGCAGTCGAAGCCGGGGGAGGGGGAGCAGGGGGGGGGGGGGGGGGCGGTAGACAAGCAACTTGCTGAGGTCTGCTCGTTTCTACACAGCCATCGCCATAAGCATTTGTCACCCCGTAAAACCAATGACGAGAAGCTCTATACGATGTCTATCTGATATCAAGGATCCTTCATTTTGGAATAGAAAGCCTGAGAGTTCTTCGCTTCCAAAACGTGGGCACAGGAGACCTTCTAGCATTGCATCAATTGGTCGCTGAAACTCGAGATTCAGCATGAAGTCTGCGAAGTTTTCAAGCATCTTTGGAAACCTTGGAAAGGCTTCTGATGAGATTTGGAATAGTATCCCAACTACTAGAATCAATTTAGACTACATGTAGACCCTTTTGACTTTCCTGACCTTGACTGTGAGTCCCAAAGAGACGAACAAACAACAGGGCAGTATTGAGAGGTCTGAGAGGCGTGGGAAAGCACGTTTCGGCCGCTGGGGTTAGATACACAAACGAGGCATGGTTTGACCTTCATAGCTTCGATAACTTGCAGTCGATTGTGATAAGCTGCTCATAAGCGATCTGAGGGGGAACAACAGCAGTTGGATTCGTCGACAAAGCTCAAGAAAAAGACTGGATGGCACTTGACAATTCCACCGACCCTCCCCCTCTCCCCTCAGCCAATTGACACAATCTGAACAATAGAAATCCAAGACTCGAAGTCAAGTACCAGTGGGACGGCGCTGGCAGTCAAAGTTTCGCAATCGTCCCACCACTTCGCCCGTTCCTTCTGACGATACACGTCCAACTTCACAGTTTTCCTTAAAAACTAACACAACAGCCATCTCCGAAAGCAGTTGAACACCAGCACCGCTTTCACTTTTATTCCTCTAATTCGCCACCCAGAAATCCACAGATTCGATCGAGATGACTCCCAAAAAAGACAAAGAGACCCACCGGGACCCAACAGTCGTCTACCCCGACACCTCGCCCAGCCTGCGGCTCGCCTACCGCATCTTCGGCCCCGGCCACAACGAGCCCGAGAAGCTCGACAGCGTGAAGGACAAAATGTTCATCCGCGGGGTCCCCGAGGCGGGCGAGAGCTGGCTGACGCCCCTGGGCCAGGAGATCCAGAGAAACCTCGACCTGAGCGTCGAGAAGATCCTCGAGGCGTACTCGACCTACAAGAGGGAGATCGAGCGCATGAACAGGTGGGACAACGTCCACAAGAAGCGCAAGCAGGCGCGGCTCGACAGGGACGAGGACGGCGGCGATTGGGTGGCGGACCTCAAGACAGACGGCAAGATCAAGAGCGTGGTTCACGATTGGGCAGAGGGCGAGGACCCGTACGAGCAGTTCTGGAAGGACCCCGCGCTGTGGCTCAACAAAGAGGAGGCTCTCGTGCGGACGCGGGCCATGCGAGGCAGCGTCGCCGAGATGAACGCCACCCTGAGGAAGATCCAGGGCTTTTGCGAGCGGAGGATGGGCTTGGGCAATGACATCCACCAGGCCCTCGCGAGGTGCGAGATCCACCTGCACGACCTGATCGCCTATTCTGAGGGACTCGAGGAGGTCATCAGGATGCACGAGGGCAAGTCCCGCGGGACCACGTGGGAGTCGCGCGACCGTCCCGGCGTCACCTTTGGCCCCAAGGTGCCGTGGGCCATCCACCGTGTCTATGAGCTCGACGAGCGCCTCGACTCCATGAAGCCGGTCCTGGCTGCCTGCGAGCGCACCCAGAACAGGCTGGCCTCGACCAAGCTGCTCACCACGACTAAGGTGCTGCATGTGGAGCTCCGAGTTAAGCTGGTCCGGTTCGCCGCCTTGTGCTTAGCCGAGGAGGCGCGGAACGAGTTTGAGAAAGAATTCGAGGAGGAGCTGAAGCAGCGAGGCAAGTCTAGCTCGCCCCTCGGGGTGATGACAGGGGTTGTGACAAGAGAGAGCAACGTTTGGGCTGACCTGTCCGTCCTCATACAACAGAGCAAACCGAGCCATCGAGGCCCTAGAGCAAGAACTGCATCAAGGCTGTTGCCCACAAGAATGCCAAGGCGCCCGTCAGGGAGTAGAGGAAGTTTAGACATTGCCGCATTGACGAATAAGGAAGTTTGGGCAGGACTGTTTACTCTTGCGTGTTCAATCGGCTTGTCCATCCCTGTCAGGATAGGAGACGATACCACAACCAGTCTACAGATGATGCCCTCATGGAAGGTAAGCTGAGGTGGATAAAGTTGGGCTGGACCACAAAAGGGCCTTGCCCTGGACCAAGCAAACTTTTATGTGAATGACTTGAAAGTCGCTGTCTGGAGTGAGAGAAGGATGGCTAGGGGACAGCAAAATATCGACAGGGAAGCAGACATGAAAAGCAGCATCTTGCGGCTATCCACGAGATTGGGCTTCCCGCGTAAACAAGTTCTTTTCAGGAAAATATGGGACCTCTACCTGCACATCACTACTGATCTCCTTGCATGTTCCCCCGTGTCAAGTCCCTGAGCCTACGGCGAAGCCACTGAGGCTCGCACAGCCATCCAGTCAGCGGCTCCCCGCGCTGTATCTGTTCAGGACTGGGCTGCACGTAAAATAGCGTCGGAGGTTCTCCTATGCCACCAGGGCTATCCTGCTGTGGGTCCCCATGTCCCTCCACACGATCCTCATTTCTGTCTTCCCGTCCCTCCTCAAGCGCGACTGGTGCTGGATCATCTTGATCAACCTTCACAGGGTCCATGCAAGGGGTCGGAGGAGCCGTTTCGACCGTGGCCTGCAAAGAACTCTGTGACACGCCGCCCTCTTGTCCAGAGCTAGGTGGAAGCGGTGAAGACCATGGAGGTGTGATGAATGCTTGCAGTGGCGTGGCTGCGGAGAACGGCGTTGGTATATCTTCCCTTGACCTCGGATGCTCGACATCTGGCTCGTTCATTGGCGGGGCAGCGAATGGATTGACGAACACTGGCGATTTTGTGATACCAGCAGGCTCGTTCATTGGCGACCTGTCCTAAGAGATGAGCTGTGAGCCAGTGGCCAAGGATGGCGACGTTGAAGCACCATGCGCGCACGAAACTCACGTGTGTTGGCCTCCGTCACCCTTGACATTGCTGTTGTCAGGTCCTCCAGTGTTCCAGCCACCACCGGGGCCAGGTCTCGATGCGACTGCACCTCCATCATTCCCTGTAGACGGTCTCTGCCGGCTGTTGGGGCCGCCCGCGTCCCCACCCGCGTCCCGGTGCAAGGTCAGCTCGATGCTAGGTATGCCATCCAACAACATGCTCCTCAGCTGACTGCCGTTTCGTGGCTGGCCACTCGTTCCGCGGGCGCTGAGCTGGCGGCGCGAGCCATCTGGCGCGAGCAGCTGGTGGACGAGGTCGACATGCTCGAACGGGCACGAGATGACGAACTCTGGTAGGTCTGGGCGAGTGTGATCCTTGACGACAAAGGAGACGGCTGTGTCGTGGAGCAGGCTGCGCGGCACTGACGGGTAGTAGATATCATCAGAGGCGGATGGACCAGGCGAGCCAAGGTCTGAGATGACAGCCCAGGGACAACGCTTGACGAACGCGACGAGTGTGCGAAAGGGCTGCATGATGGGCCACGGAGCACGGGCCCGGGCCGAGGATGGCGGTCGTGGGGAGTGGTAGTCTTGGTGGCCGATGGGAGATGGCCAGTAGTCAGGTCGGTCCATTCCGCCGTCCATAGTATCGTGCTCGACAGCGACACGGCTTCGGCCGGGCGGAGTTGGGCGGCCGTGTGCCTGTCTGGCTCGTCGAGGAGGGCTCCGTTCGCGTGCTGCCTCGGAGCCCGAGGACGGTTCACGGAGCTTTGCGGGCGTTCGTTGGCGGTTCCTGGCTGGAGAACTTGGTCTGCAAGGCCTACAGCCCCAGAAAGATGGCCGGCGTCTCTCCTTGCGGCCCTGGGAACCATATAAGAAGTTGATGTCGTCTTGTTTGGTGTGGGAAGGCATCGATATCTGTAGCCCTCTGAGAGGCAGACACGTGGAGGGGGCTTGGAGAAGATGAGAGAGACAACATGTTTGAGGGAGAGAACCATATCTAGGAGGCTGAGGCTCAGTGCCGGCTGCAAGAGCAGAGGCAGGCACAAGACTCAAAGGCAGTCTTGACGATGTCCAGGCCTGGAGTCACAGCAAACAGACAGCATAAGGAAAACCGAGCAAGCATCCTTGTGCTCGAGCTGCAACGCAAGCAGGCAGCTGCAGCCTCGACAGACAGTTCTGCCCTGGTTTCTTGGTCCAATAGATGAGAAAGCACTTGCTCGGCTGCATCAACTGGAAGATTGAAGAACAAGGGACGAGAACACATGACAATGCATTCTCAGTGAGTGATCAAAGACAAGTGGTGCCTTTGCTTGGGAGCGTCCTTGGCTCTTGTGGTTTAAGACAGCCTTGACCCCTTGGACCCCTTGCTCATGGCAGACTTGTGGTCTTGCCATATGATGCAGCCTCCTCCATACCAATCCAGTCATTGACGATATTCCGCAGGCTTGCCTCGAACAAACCTACCAAGTGCCACATGCAGCAAGGCAACGCTACAGCTTGTGGGCCATGTACCACTCAAAGCAAGGATCCCAGCCGCGGGAGCTCAAAAGCATCAAAGAGCCCCGTAACCCCCAAAGAGGAGCCATACCAAGTGCTGCGTTGTTGTGCAAATCTCTCCGATATCACGGTCTAGGTCGTCGTCGTTCGTAACGCGCGACCTTCTGGCACGTCCGTTGGCTTGAGTGTTTATGGGCTGGGCTTAAGCTTTTCCCAAATCACAGTTTGAATAGCGAGGTCGGAGGTGAGAAAGGCTGCTATTCTGAACGGAACAAGACAAAAGCATGAATAGCGCTGTGCTGGAAGATTGCTTTGCCCTCCACCGGTCTCGTCCCGTTGCTCCATTGCTTCGGTCTGAAGGCAGGCGCTCGGCGAACCTCGTCCCCTCACTCTTGGTCAACGGGTCCGGGTACACCTTCTTCCGCCGCTGCTTGCCGGGTCACTGTGCCATGAGTGGGTAACTTCCAAGCTTGGTGGGTACTTGGGTACTTACCCCGCGGTTGCCGGTGTGTCCCGCAACTCCGGCCCAGCACCGAGCTTGAGCTTCTGTCTGGTCCCCCGTTCCGGCCATCCCAACCTTGCGCCAGAGGCCTAGCACCGCGGCACAAACCAGCTTCCATGGCACCTCCACACGCCGGTGGGCGACCCGTCCGTCTCTGGGACGGAGAGTGGGGAGCAATGATCGATTTCCCGTGACGACTTCCGAGATCGCCAGGTCGGGTGCTTCAATCTTAGCTTGCTGCTGCTGGACCTCCTCCATTCTCGTCCCCTTCTCTTACTACTCCTCCAGCCAGCAACACCAATTCACCTTCCAAGACAGGCATCAGAGAGCCAAAGTCCCATACGGATAGCTTCGAGCCTGACTGAACCAACCGTCCGCCTTTCACCCATCCACACACACCAAGATGGGGTCCAACCCAGGCATGCTCTACGTTACCATGCAGCCCAAGCCGGGCCTGTCCCTCGACCAGTTCCACGAGTGGTATAACAACGAGCATGGTCCCATCCGCCTTCGTCTCCCACAAATCTTCACCAACGGCCTTCGCTACGCCGCCACAGACTCCCAGGAGCCGCACTTCCTCGCCGCCTACGACGTCACGTCCATGTCCCACCTCGACACCCCGACATATACCTCCCTGCGCGAGAACAGAAGCCCACGAGAGGCAGAGACAATCGGTCAGGTCGCCGTCAGCCGCTACTTCTACGACCTGGTGTCGGAGCGGAAGTCACCCCAGTTCCGGCCCATCGAGCAGCTCACAGACTCCGAGGCAGAGGGTCAGGTCCTGATTGCTGTCGAGAACACCCTCACGGCCCTTGAGGGCGCCGAGCAGGCTCTGGACAAGTGGTACGAGGAGGAGCACATCCCGATGTTGTCCAAGGTGCCTGGGTGGCTGCGCACCCGCCGCTTCAGGACGGCAACCAGCCTGGACAAGAACGCACCACTCAAGTTCCTCATCTTGCACGAGTACACGAAGGAGAATGGGCTCGGAGGGCCTGAGTACAAGGCCGCCACAAGCACCAAGTGGAGGGAGGATATCTTCGCGAAGGTCATCGGCAACAAGCACAGGAGGGCCTACTCTCTGTTCTACGTGTTTGGCCCTGGTCCCAGGGATCTGAGTTCTCTCGCCACGCTTCCTGCCGAGAAGGCCTTCGTATCATCAGATGCAAAGACGAAGACGACTCCTCACGATGGGAAGCCGGTCCTGCAGTCACACATCAACGCCAAGGACGGCCTCACCATTCCATACCGCCTTGAAGGAAATGCCGACCCCAAGGCCCCCACAGTCGCCTTTTGCAACTCGCTGCTGACCTCATTGCACATGTGGGATGACTTCATTGACATCTTGAAGGAGGCTCGTCCCGATCTCCGCATACTGCGGTACGACTTCCGAGGGCGCCATTCGGTCCCGGAGCCGCCCGTCCCGTCGACCCTCGATATCCTCTCAGACGATCTCGCCACCCTCTTATCGGGGCTTCGAATCGAGAAGCTGCACGCCTTGGTCGGCGTTAGCATGGGCGGCGCTACCACCCTCCAGTTCGCGCTCAAATACCCGGACAAGCTCTCCAAATTCGTAGCATGTGACTTCAACGTGGCCAGCTCCGATGCCAACACGCGAGCCTGGAAGGACCGCATCGCCGTAGCAGAGTCCATCGGCGAGGACGGCACCCCGGGCATCAAGAAGTTGGCGGCCGCGACAGTCGAGCGCTGGTTCCACCCGAACACCATGACGGCCAAGACCAACGTCGCAAGCTGGATGACCGAGATGGTCGCCGACAATGACGTCCAGGGCTTTAGGTACGGTTGCCAGGCTCTGTGGGATTACAACATGCGCGAGGAGATGAAAGGTTCCAGCGTTCCTGGTCTTTTGGTCGTCGGAGAAGGAGATGGAAAGGGGGCCTTGGTAAAGGCCATGGAAGGGTTCAAGGCCGGTGTTGGCGAGAAAGGGCTCGACCTGAACATTGTCCCCGAGGCCGGGCATTTGCCCATGTGTGAGAATCCCCAGGGGTTCTGGGATGCCGTTAAAGGGTTTTTATAGGCGTCTGACCCCACGTCGACCCGTTCGCGTTGCGGTTCGATGAGTCAAGGCCGACCATCTCACGTTGACGCTATGTTCAGCGTGTCCGGTCGGAAATCGCTTGGTCTTCGACCTCGGGACTCGAGGCCAGCTGAGCTCGGCCTTACACTGCGTAGAGGGCTCTAGTTCGGCGTATAAGGTCAGTCTGACATGGACTCATGGTCATGATTGGTGATCTACCTGCATGCTATACTTTGGAGCTTACAACGTCCGAATGATCGAGGCCATGATAGTCGTTACATGGAGCGTATCAACCTAGAACAGCGTTGTGTATCGCACAGCCATGCTGCTCTTATCATTCTTGCATGTTCCTAAGAGACCCATGCTACTGAAATTTATGAGGCGAAGCCTTCCCGACAAGGATATCACTTTCCTTAGGCTGAAGTGTTCCCCGTACACGAACCCCTCAGTTGGCCAGTGAGTCCAAGGCCTGAGAGAAAGACAGCTGCACATCATGCTCATGTATCCACGACGGATCATACCGATTCAGCAGCCGCGCCCTCAGCTCCTCGTCCGTCTGCACCTGGCCGAGCCTCTCGACCTTCTTCTTGTTCTGCTCGTGGACCACCGACATGACCCGGTCGGTATGCGCCTTCCTGGTCCTCTCGTAGATCCGCAGCGCCCTGGCGATGTCCTCCGCCGCAGGCCGAGCTGGGGTTCTCCCCGCATCCTCGGGGAACACGTACCGGATCGACTCCGCGAACGCCCACGCGTCATCGAGCGCCAGGCTGCCACCCGCGGCGAAGGCGCCCCCGTGAGCATGGGCCGCGTCCCCGGCAAGCGTCACCCTGCCATCCCCGAGCACCCACGTGTCGAGGGCGTGGGCCGCAGAGTTGGGGTAGACGCCCGTCCAGGGCGTCGCATCCACGATGGCGCGGTACCTCGGGTGCCAGTCCCTGTAGAACTCGCGGATGACGCCCACGTCGCCCGTCGAGTCCCACGACGCGTCCCGGTAGGGCGCGTCGGGGGCGTCCGGGTCGACCTGGTGGGACGCCACGACGGTGAAGAGGTCCCTGCCGAGCCTGGAGACGAACAGGGTCCTGTCGGGCGCCCAGATGTGCTCGGCCTCGTCGGGCACGTCGGGGATTTGGGCGAGGTGGGAGATGGGGAAGACGGACCTGAAGGCGACCCAGCCGGTCCACTCGGTCCGGGAGGACGGCACGAAGAAGGTCCGCACTTTGGAGTGGATGCCGTCCGCGCCCAGGATGATGTCCGCGGTTGCGGTGGTGCCGTCGCTGAAGGTCAGGACCTGCTTGTTCAGCTTCTCATCGAAGGTGACCGAGTCGAAGGGCTTGTTCAGGTGTATCCTGGAAGGGTCGACGTGCTTGGCGATGGCTTGCTGAAGATGTGCTCTGTAGAAGCGCGAAGTCAAGTGGCGCTGCTCAACCTCGCCCTTGTGGTTGTCTACGGAGACAATCTCGCCGGTCATGTAATGCCTTTTTGCAAAACGTCAGAATGCAGACCTGGCAGCGCACCTTTCACAACTTGAAGCAAGTAGAACTCACCGGTATATCATGGGATGCCAGGACTTATTCCGGAACGCAATATCGGGGCTCAGCGCATTGTCCACACCAAGTCTATCCAGCGTCCTCATTCCATTTGGCCCAAGCGCAATCGAAGCCCCGATTTCCCTCAGCTCGTTGGCCCGCTCGTAGATCTGCACATCGACGCCTGGGTGGCTCTTGAGCGCAACGGCTGCGCCAAGGCCGGCTATGCCAGCACCAACGATGGCAACCTGAAGCTTGGATGTATCCGACATGTTTGGGTCCCTGGAAACTGGCTTGTTCGTCGCCTTGAAATGCCTCTAGCATGGGCAAGTGGTATTTTCCAGCCTGCATATCTATCCAAACTCTCACATCGTACATGTGATTCCTGTCCCGCGATCGGCGCCCTTTGACGAGTTGTCGAATCAGAAACCCTCGATGGCGTCAGAGGAGATGGGGATGGCGAGTGCCTATCAGACCATCCACACCACGCCATCCCTGAGAATTCACAATTGTTATCTAGCAATCTCCATCAAAGATATACATACATGGTAGAAAGACGGTCATGATTAGAAACCCCACGCTACGTGATTTAGTCCCGGCAACGGCACTGCATATCCACTGCGCGTAATTCTGGGACATTTCGCAATCCATGCGGGGCGTCGCGAGCGGTGATGCCACCCGTTATGCCGCGTGGGAGCAGGTTGCATCTTGAGCGCAATCGCGTGGGTGTGTAATGATGGAGGAACCCGCAAACCTTGACCTTAATGGAAGACTTTCCAAGACTGCCAAGGCGTATAACCACATTTGGACCTTTCTCTGTTTCCTGCCAGCTTGGATTCGGCCAAGCATTTCACAATGGCGACGTCCAAGGTGCCTGTCGAAGAGACCACATCCAGCCAGGATGGATCGGAGGTGGCAGTGCCCAAGCTGCTCGATCGGTACGCCGACGAGAGTTACAAACTTCTGTCTCAAGTCAAGGTCGAGCCGCCCACGGCCGAGGAGGCGGAGAGGATCCGCAAGAAATGTGTTCGCTGGGTGATTCCCTTCATTTGTCTTGGCTATCACTTGATGTATGTTGACAAACAAACTGTGAGTAATTACACGACCAGATTTGGAGTCTGCAGAAAGTCGACAGCTAATTAACCGAATTTCTCTACGTACCTACCAGGGGGAGGTACGTAGGAGGGGGGGTTTCCGTTAACATGGCACCACTATATTAATGGAATAGCGATATAATAGTAATATGCAATTAAGGTTTTGATATGCTTTTTTTATATATATATTGCATTATTTATATGTTATTAATATATAGTTATTTTTAATATGCTATAATATAATATTAACTCTTAATATAAGGGTAAAAAAAAACCTCTTTTTTTTCCTTATCCTTAACTTAACTACTTATTTATTTTTTATTAGCTTAATTATTTATTATAAGAGTATTTATAAAATTATGGAAATATTAAAAAATAAATATAAATTTAAAGTTAATAAGATTTAAATTAAAGCTTTTAATATAAAATTATAATAATATTAGCTAATATATAATTAACGTTAATATTAAATTAATATTAATATAATTTAAAGTCTTGATATAATTTATTTTTAATAGTATTTTAATAGCCATTTACTAGCATTTTGCTGGAATTATATAATTTCAATTAAATGTCAAAACATGATTGCATTGCATGACCCATACAAAGACCCCCCCTACCCCTGGTAGGTAGCTCGGCAACTCTTCCATTCTCGGTACTATCGACGATGCGCACTTGACTACCGGCCAGTACAACTGGTTGTCTTCAATCTTCTATCTAGGATATTTGGTTGCAGAGGTACCGCAAAACATGGCACTGCAACGTTTCCCCGTGGCAAAGTATTTGGCAGCGAACCTCATTGTCTGGTCAGTTGCTGAAAAGGTTCAGGGCCTTGCCGGCCTTTTGAGATAAATGCTGACATTGGCTGAACTCTCTCCGAACAGGGGCGGGATTCTGTTGTTACATATTCCATGTAATAGCTTTGCCTCGCTTTTTGTCGTCCGTATACTTCTCGGCCTCGCAGAGGCGTGTATTGTGCCATCATTCCTGATCATTCTATCCATGTTCTTCACCTACGACGAGCAAGGTGTTTTAATGCAGATCATGTGGGCGTGCGGCAACTCGAGCCCCATCGCATCAGGACTCCTGTCGTATGGTGTTCTTTTCATCAAGACGGGCAGCTTCGCACCCTGGAAGTGGTTTATGGGTCGGTCGCTGCGCGTTGATTCCTATCACTCACAACTATCTAACATCACATAGTTATCACTGGAGGCCTAACAGTGCTACATGGCGTCCTCGTCTGGCTCTTCTTTCCCGACAACCCAGCATCGGCCCACTTCTTGACCAGAGAGGAACGCGCGCAATCTATTCTGCGCATTGCGTCGAACCACTCTGGTGTCGAGCAGAAACGATTCAAGAAGACCCAGTTTGTCGAAGCCCTCAAGGATCCCAAGACATGGCTCTTTTTCCTCCATGCCTGGTCCCAGGAGATGGCCAACGGGCTCACAAATCAGTACTCGCTCATCATCAAGTCCTTTGGGTTTAGCACGCTCAACACAACACTGCTAGGATGCATCAACGGCCTGACGGCTCTCGTGTCACTCGGTACGGCCGCCCTCATTCTCTCCAGGACCAAGAATGCGAGGGCATGGCTGTCTGCCGGTGCATATATCCTGCCGATCGTATCTTGCATAATGCTGATCGCACTACCATGGAGTAATCGTGCAGGCCTACTGGCTGCGATATATATGCGGGCTCCGGGAGGGATCGCTTACAGTGTTGTTATGATTTGGGCAGCCAACTGCTCGGCCGGGCATATAAAGAAAACAACGGGTAAGTTCTCACAGCCGGGCCTCACTCAATGCCAAGATGTTGCCACACAGCGGGTCTTGTTCACCTATGAGCTATAGTGCTAGTCTCACCCGTGAAGTGATCGCGCTGTACCATGTCGGTTACGGATTAGGCAACATCCTATCACCCCAGCTTTTCCAGGGCAAGTACAAACCCAGGTATATCGAAACGTGGTGGGTTATCCTCTGGGTTGCGTGCGTGTTTCCCATGCTCCTGGTGCTGTACCTGCGGTACTACCTGAACAAGGAGAACAAAAGACGGGATTCACTCGCCCAGAAGGGCGAGATCAGGGAGACTGGAGTGGTCGAACATGTCGACGAGAGCGGTAACCGGACAGAAGAGGTCGTCGATGCGAGACAGTTGGACCTCACAGATAGGGAGAACCTGGCTTTGTAAGTGGATTTCTTCCATCGAAGGCCAGACTCAAGACGGCTCATCACGAGACCATGACACTAAAAAATCACAGCCGTTACGTCCTTTAGCTCTCGGAGCCTCAAGAAAATACTGTCTCAATAGTCAGAGCCCTTGAGGTGGAATGAAGTCGTTATGCATCTTTCTGAAAAGTAGCAGTATAATGGCGAAGACGGAGTGATTTTCAAGCCTCACTCACTTGGAGCAATTATATGAGATCCTTGGCAGGGAAAGACGAACCGTTCACCCTGCACCCTGCCATCTGGTCAGAGAGAACAAGGCGCATGTTTCCTTATGGACTATTAAAAAATGTGTTATGGATTTGACGTCCTCTACTCAGTCAGACGGTAGTCAAATCGCTAGCATAGCCACTAAGGAGTTGACGTTAGTATGAGTTGAACTGCGTGATTTCTTATGATGATATTAGTGGTCTGAATACCGAGATGCCCAATTTCCGGGTGGGCCTCATTCTGGAAGGAAAGGGGTGAGTGGGACCTGACAAGCCGGGCTCGACTTCCTGACCACATTGATTGAGACAACAACCCTCTCGCAAAATTCTACCTGCTAGCAGACATGCACATATGAGATTCGGCAACAGTTGACTCGAGGTGATTGTGAACCATGCCTCTCTCAACTAGACACCGAATGAGTATCGTTTGAAATACCAGCCTTTGACTGATATATCTAAAGGCTTACTTCATGACCATGACAGGAGAACAATTTCAACGAGTGAAGAGATATTAGTTGAGGCGGTCGCTTGTAGCAGCTTAGGAAAAGCTGGGAGTTGCGTCAGCCGGCTCAAGTGCCAATTGTGATGTTGCAGAAGTCAATTGTGATTAGTTATGCGTGCTCGATCCGAGATCTTTCCCCATAGTGAACCCAAGAAAACTTTGCCAAAATTCCCGAGGCAGAGATTCTCACTGCAAAGGTCCAGAGAAGATAGTTATGTACTCGGCGACCAGAATGTCTCTGATAACATCGCATATACCTTCCTCACAATCTCTTGTTCGGCCTGGTAGATGGGCCCATCGAGCCGTGGCTTTTTGTGAGGCTCGTCCATCCATTGATTTCCCAGATCCAAGAATTTGGTTTAGCCCAGAACATCATAGATAGTACTAGATACTTCTTGACCCGTTCTGGTCCTGGTCATCAAGGCCCATGCGATTTTAGCAACGCCACCAGGCGCACGTGCTTGCTTCTAAGCCGCAACCTGTTCCTTGCCGCAGCACTTCTTGTACTTGTGCGCCGAGCCGCAGTAGCACTTTGAGTTCCGCGCCATGGGCGCCACGCCGAAGCTAGCAGTGGCCTGGCCCGGGAGGCCACCTGTCATCTGCATCATGAGGTCCGCGGCCTCCTGCTTGAGGGTCTTGTCGCAGCCCTCACTGCCGCAGCACGCGACCGTCATGATGATCACGAAGGGGTCCTCGGTCTTGTGAAGGTACTGCAAAAGACCGTCAACCGGGGGCCCGTGATTCTATAGCCCACCAGGGCACCATCTCGCGCCATGACAGCGCAAGAGAGTGTGGTTGTGTTGTGTCTTCACTTACCGACATGGGCGTGGCGACGACGGTGGTGGCATCCCGCTTGCAGTCCTTGGACGAGCACTTGTCCTCGCAGGCCTTGAGCGAGGCCTCGGCGTGCTCCATGACGATGGGCCGCATCACGGTGGTGAACATCTGGGGCATGGCAGGGTTGCCGAGGGCAGCCGGCCCGACCAGGGACGAGGGGATATCATGCTTGAACTCAAGCTGCCGCTTCTCGCAGAGGAACTGGCAGCGGACCTGCTTGGTCGTCATCGTTGCTGGACGTGGATCTGGTTTGGTTGTATATACCTTGGAAGCGGTAGCAGTTAATAAAGGGCCTAGGTCGTACCGTGCTGGCAGTGTCGGCGGACTAATGAGCGATTGCAGAAAGGATCGACGGATGGTGTGCGTTGAATGAAAGTCACTCGCAGGTGGTGGTGGTGTGGAGGCCCAAAAAGGATGGAATCCGACATGAGTTTCCCCCTATTGTAGAAGTCCTGGAGCACTTCCTGAGACAGGTGTCCTCTGGGGGACCCCTGCTATGGCCCATGCGCCCAAAAAGGGGTCGGTCACGTGGCCACCCCAACAGCCAACACAGGCCGAACACCTTTAGTGGCACTCTTAATGGGCACTGTTAAGCACCGTTCGCGAGCACCCCAAATGGCTGGTTGAAGAGGAGACGCGAACCGTGGTTGGTTGACTGGTTCGTTGGAGACCATGGCATGGCAGAACATGAGTGGTGCGCAAGGATCGCTCAATTCCAATTACATGCATGCGTGCATGGTCCCAACCTCGTCATATATCAACTAGCTAGATACGTAGTGTGCGGGCAATGCCTAGTGATATCGGTTTTGCTGGTGTGCTAGCGCTGTAACTGGATAGCGCAAAGTTTCAAGTAGAACATGTTGGGGGTGACAGTGTGCACCCTTCTTACTAATTAACCGCTCGAGGGTAGCAGAGGGTAGCAGAGGGTCAAAGACCGCGCCGGGATCGCCAAGCCGCTCAGGATTACCCGTTAAAAGAAATCGGCCGACACTTCCCACCTACCGGATAAGCCCGTTACCACCTAGCGCTGCACCTCAATGTTACACCAGGTGCGCGTCCTGGGGTACAGAACGGGCAGTCAAGTCGTACTACAATATCCATGATCCAAACATTACGGTCCTTAAATAACCGCCCGCTTTTGGCAAGATGCTCGCAGTATTTTACCGGCAGCAGCACGCTTTCTGCGCCGACGGTGCGATGATACCGGTCTGCTCTCCTCTACCACCATCCGTACAAACTAGGAAGCTCAGGATGCTCGTAACATTTTCTTGCCCCACTGTCGCTTCAACCTGCCAGTGAGTCCCAGAATTACATGATTGCTTGAACTATTTGGACGGTGCTACAGAGCAGCTCTGTCTTCCTTCATTTCTACCGAGGCCCCTCCTTCCACAACGGCCAACGCCATCTGAATCTCAAGCAACGACGCCGGACCTCGTATCACTCTTTCACAATAGCAGCGTCTTGACAAAATCAAGACAACCCACGCCCCTTCTTTTCTCGGTACCATCATCAGAATTCACACGATTGCCAAGATGAAGGCTCCAGTGAGTACCCAGTCATCAATGCGAACCGGGCTCTCCCTGACACCAAAGCCTGATAGTCCATCGTCACTACCATCACCTACGCCTTCGCCTTCTCCGGCCTCGCCCTCGCCGTGCCTACCGTGGGCCACGGCATCAAGGCCCGCAGCACCAACACCGACTGGATGCTCAAGTGCACCCACGGCAGCTGCTACTCGGTGGTGGGCTGCACCATGGACGGGGCCGTCACCCACAACAACCCCAGCTGCTGGCAGATGTGCACTTGTGTTGCGTATAACTCGACGATCGTCACCCCGGTGCGCTAGGGGCTTTCTACGGGCTGCAAGGGGGAGAGACCACGGATCGGTAAGCTGCACTCTCGCTCTTGTGGCAAGCCACGCCGGAAGCCTCTAGCTGAAGACGTTGCTGAACCAGAGTAACACAGTGTACCGCAATGGCACACGACAAACGAGGGTTGAGTTGGGGAGGAAACCAGGATGTATCGGGTCGTTACTACACGACCGCAATGACTGTAAATCGACAACAGGGAACACACTCATTCCATAGCCGGCCTACAACTTCGAGGGAATGAAAATTGAAGATTGTGTTATGGGCGAGGCACTTTGATGTGCGGGGAAGAATTTCAATTCCAAGTAAATATTGTACAATATCTTCAGGGTCAGGACATATCTGGGAAGCTCTGCCGGCGAGCAAGACAAGGAGCACTTGGGCGCTGGAGGAACCTGATGATTCTGAATACAACGAATCCCATGCCATATGGGCGAATCATTGAAATGCAAAGGCTGAAAGCGAAGCTTAATAGTCCCTTTGAAATACATGCGTCATGTCGATGTGGCCCGATGATACTACCGGGGCCTGACAACGGTTGGGTCGAGGGCGACAAAATGTTATTAGCAGATGGAGGCTGAGATTTGGAAGCACTCCCTCAAACCGCTACTACAATGGCTATGCTGGAATATAAATATCTTGGGAGCATGTTGACTGATTTGCAGCCGGCCAAGGTAGTGAGAGGCACGTCAAGTCGACCGTTGCAAAGAGTCAGCTGCCCTGGCTGAAGTTGACATGACAAGTGCGGGATCACCAGAGGCTGAGGCCGGTTCTAGTTTTGGATTAAAAGTGCCTGTCAAATGACTTAAGCTTTCCATCTGCCCAGCTGCCCAGGGCAGTCAGTTGGCATCTTTTTTTTGACACAACTTGGTATGTCAACGAGTCAGTGGTCGACGACTTTGCTACATCGAAACAGATATGAAGCAAACTTGGCAAATGCATGGTTTAAGGCAACAATAGCCAAGATCGAAGGGAGCCTCAGGCTGGTCGATGAATTCAGGGATCCCTTGCAACGTGAATAGTGGTTGTGATTTACTATGCTACAAGTAGGTACTTTGGTATTGTCCGACACAACATGGAGTGGGCAAGATTGATATCGCACCATACAGCTCATATCCCATCCCCTGCCCGCAGTCTCGGTACGCCAACAGAAACACCGTCATATTCCGATTCATATAATCTCATAACCCCCAAGCAAAATCGTCATAGTGCCAGTTCATGTTGGGTCCAGATGTGACCCAAAAGAGGTGGCGACCTCTTCCGCCTGTTGAATAACTCCGTCCCTGTAACCGACACAGCCGAACCATGGCACCTCTAGTCTTGAGAGCGTTTCATTCTAGACCCGTCCCGTCACCAAAACCACACACATAGTATATATCATCATCACTGCGTCCGTCATTCACTCATAACACACAAGTCATCACCTCTTCTGCTGCTCAAAGTACGCCTGCGCAGCCTTGGTCAGGAAGGGCACGGCCTCCTTCTTGATGACCGGCACGGCGTGCGTCATGAACAGCTTGCCGGCCTGCTGCGCGTACGCCTTGCTCTTCTTGTTGTTGCCGTTCTTCTTGGACCCGCTGCTCCCGGACGGGCTGCCGCCTCCTCTGCCGTACGCGTCGTCGTAGTACTGGTCCCGTCCCCCTCCGCCGCCGTGACGGTCCTGGCTCCCGTAGTTCACCGACGTGGCCCTGCGACGCGGCGCCGCGGGCTGCCCGTAGGGGTCGTCGTACGGGTCCTCGGGGTACTGCGAGCGCGACTGCGGAGGCATGGACTGGCGGTGGCGGGGGCGCGCTGCGGGTGGTGCGCGGTCGTACGGGTCTGTGTCGCCGTAGTCGCCGGCGGGTTGCGGGCGGTGGCGGCCGCGCGCCTGAGGCTGGGGCGGGTAGCCGTAGTCGTCCGCCCCGGCCCTGTCGTCGTGGTGCTTGCCGTGGCGGGAGCGGCGAGGGGGCGGCGCGTCGTCCGCAGCAGTAGGAGCAGCAGTAGGTGCACCTGCTGCTGCTGCTGCTGCTGCGCCGTAGCCCCCGCGGTCGTAGCTGGTGCCTGCCTTGGGCGCGGCGGCGTAGTCGTCGTACCCGCTGCCGTAGTAGTCCTTGTCCCGCTTGCTGCGGTGGTGCTTGCCGGGCTTCTCGTCCGGCACCTCTGCATACGAGTTGTTCAGGGGCGAGGACTTGTACGGGGCGTGCTCGCCCATCGGGGGCCGGGGCATCTCCTCTGCGCTCGGTGCGCCGTAGTCATAACCCCCGGCGATCCCACCACGGTCGCCCTTCTTGCCGCGCGGTGCCTGGCTCGCGTAGTAGCTCGCGTACGGGTCGTCCTCATAGTACTGCGGCGCCTTGCTGCCCTTCCTGGACGACCGGTGGTGGGAGCCAGCCGCCCCGGCCTGCGTGGCGTAGTCGTCCTCGGGCCAGGTCGACTTGGGGGCCTGGGGCGAGACGCGCCGTGGGGCCTCGGCCTCTCTCGCTGCCCTCCGGGGGCTGTAGCTCTTTGCTCTTCTCAGGTTCTCCGCCTCGTCGGTCTCGTACGTGCCCCTCTTCTCCCGGAACCGTCGGTCCTTGTCGCCCGTCTTTTGTTCCACGTCATGCCGGGATTTCCTCCCCGGGTACGAAGACCCGTAAATATCCCGTGAGCCGTTTGCTCCGAAGGGGTACCCCGATCCGTCGTCCGATGCGACGACGTTGACTCCCCCGTGGGTGTTGCGTCGCGGCCTGGGCGCCTCCGGGTCGACCAGTGCAGACTTGCGGCGGTGGCGGTCGTGCGACGAGTGCTTTGGCTGAGGCTCTGGGTAGGCATGGCGTGAGGAGCGCGGTGGTGCTCGCTCATAGGCATCATCGTAGTAATTCGCGGGCCGCGAACTGGGTATATCCCTCGCTCGGCGGCCTCGGCCGTCATCATACGCCCACATGGTGTCGGCGTGGGATACCAGTGGCTAGAGAGAATCGGAATCCGAGACTGATGGTGGGCTGCAGCAATTCTTGCCCTCATCCACTTTCTTCTGGAGTATATGTTATGGAGCAGTAATGGTTGGTGTGGTTGTCTGGAGTGCCAATGTTCCTTTCTGGGGGGAAAACACAGATGGAGAGAGGCGGGAAAACAGGGTGGGAAGCAACGCTTCTCGGATAATATGGGGCAACGGTTATAGGAGGGTGACGTTGGCTTGGAGAAGGACAGAATTAGCGGTGAAACCCGTCAATGATCCCAGCCCCCTGGAACGAAATACAAGAACTTGTGGTAGCGGAAGTCGTATCCGGTCGGGGGTCGCAATCAGATCGGCAGCGCTTGGTGGCGATGGCCGGGAGGCCTGGGGGGCCCAGACCTGGCCTGATGTCTGGACCGTCAGGACGGGGGCTGGAAAGAGCCCGTTGGGGATGTTGGAGAGGCACTTGGAGGGGCCAAAACAAGCAGGATTCGGACTAGCCTGCGAGCACTACCGGATCTTGCAGCGGTAGTGTGGCGTGTGGGTGAGGCGGCAGGCCGCAAGGGTGGCAGCACGGCGCAGGTGCAAGACGCGAAGAATGATGTTGTGCTGTTTTGCTGTAAGGGGTCCCGGCAACCAGTTGGTATCTCAGGTGCGGGATGTCTTCTGGGAGGGTGTTGGGAAAAAAGGGGAAGGATTCGGAGATCGTTGTTGTTGGATATTTATTAATAACCGTAGCAGGTAAAAAAAAAAAGGAAATGGTCAGACTCGCGGCCTGCTGCAGGGACGAACGCAACATTATAGCAGAGCGGGGATATGAATCACTCCCTCTGCCTACTCCTGTCCCTGCACAGCAAGCAGATGGGCCACTGCGCACAGCACGGTAACCGAGGCGCAGACTGCTCAAGTGAGGCATTTCACAGCTGTTTCTGGCTCGTTCCGGAGTCAGGCACCGTCACGGTCACACAGGTTGCTGCTGCCATTCATTCGCATCAAGCAGCCTGTCAATGAAGACGTGCCACCTGTCCTGCTGCAAACGTCATATGCTGTGGCCATCTCTGTGTGAGCCCATTCTCAGTGTGTGGACGGCCGCCTCTGGCCGTGTGCCCTCACCGGTATCCCAGTTCACACACAGTCAAATCAGCTCTCGTGGGCCAGATGATGCTGGCCGCTGACGGAGTCTGACGGGAGGCACCGGATGGAGTGACCTGGGCCGCATGACGTAGTGCTGCAGCTGCCCCATCTCGCGCCGTCGACTCGGATCGCGGCGTTTTAAATCGGGTGACATCCCGCCGGTTTGTCTCCTCACTTGCTGCTGGCTGTCACTTGTCACTGTCACCGCGGCTGGAGCGCCCACCCACCCACACTGCCCCCGCATGAAGGTAGAATAGACTGCATAATTAGGGTCTACATGCTGTGCATACCGTACCTGTGTGCGCGTGCGTGTGTGTACAAAGCACCGTACTAGTTCTAGTTGTTGGCTGCTTGCTGTAGCCTCATCGTCCATCTCTTCCTAGAGACGGCCCGCCTGCTGCAGCCAGACTTGTCTTCTGCTCTTTGGTTCCTGAACAGCGGTCGATGTAACATCCCAGACGTCCGAGTCAGTCTCAACACTTTCAGGGCAGCCAAACAGAAATGGCCCAGCCAGGGACTCTTGCCCGGCTCGGCTCAACGTGAACACAAAACAGCCCAATCCGGTAACAGGGGCAAACCTGGGACGATGACTTCATCCGGGGCTACTCACCGCGGTCATGATCCCCGACTTCTCTTGCGAACACTACGTACTGTACCGCCGCTGGCGACAGCGCCCAACAAGACTCAGCGCACCGCGCAGAACTCAAGCCTCGTCGAATCGCTTCGCATCGCTTCGCAGTGCATCGTATGGGCCGCCGTAGGCATTCGAGCCTGATCGCCGCTGCTCGACACCGCGTCACTAGGCCGGAAATCGCAAGCCCCCAGGACAATCGCGGAGCGGCGGAAGATCAATGCCGGCGCGAGCAACGAGGCGAGAGGCAAGGACTCTCTGACGGACCTACTAGGTGCCAAGCCCACCCATCCATCCCGTCAAATTTCCCGCGTTCTGCGACTCTGCGGCAGCAGACTGACGACTTTGACACGCGGGGGCGATGTGACTTTCCAACTGCGAACCAGACAAACTGCGGGTGCGGAGAATTTGAATTGCTAGGCACACCAAGGTGATCCTGACGCTGTCAAGAGTTGCAGCCACCCGGGAGGGCTGTAACACGACAGTTCACAGCCTGCCTGCACCCATACTGAACGCCGTAACCCCGGGAGAACTCGGCTTTGTGGTCGTACATCAGGGCCTTTTCTTTCTCGACCGGAACACCGTTCGCGTGGTCATGTGCATACTAACAAAGCCTCACTTGGCGCCCACGTGTGTGATGAGAAAGGTGCATCAACGGCCCAGCACGAAGCACATCGACAGTGACGGCATCCTGATGGCTCACCGAGTCGTGTTACCAATGGGAACAACAGCCCCCCCAGACGATCTGATGTGAGGACTCGCGTGTCAGCTGACAGCATTCTCGCTCTGGGGCGGATGCAACCTGACTACACCGCCGATGGTCAAGTACCATAGCCTTGCACGGGCGAGGGGTCTCTCCGCTACCTGTGCTCGTGGGTAGATGTATTGAACCTACAAGCGTGTCGAAACAGCCCATCGTTCTGCAGTGGCTCTAACATATGGCCCGACCCGGCAGTCAGCAAGCTTGGCTGGACGCTAACCTCTGTTGTGTGTGGGAGAAGCGAGTGCCATGGTCAGATACCTGTGGTTAGTTAGGTGTGTCAGACGTTTCTCATGGCTGTCTCGGACGCCGACTTGAACTGCCTATTCACGGCCTCTCCGGGGGCCTCCATCAGTCCCTCGTGTCCCTTTCTTTACATTATCATTTTCGCCCGGAAGTCGAAGTTGCCTTGAACAACCCTGTAGTATTTCACCTCTCAGTGATGTGGTTATGCCAGTCTTGCCGATCTACATTGGGCGAGTCGTGGAAAACAAGCCAAAGTCCATCCTGCCCGCCATATCCCTCGAGCCGGGATCGTGTCCAAGGCTCCGAGCCGGTGCCCCGCTGCTGCTCCTCCAGCTGCAGCACTATGCGCAAATATGGGAGGGTACCAGCCATGGACTTTGGTCGCACGGCCATATGTTTGGTCTCATCACCTCACCCGGGGGCGCGGGCACTGACATGAGTGACCGAGGCTTTCACCACGACAATTAGCCCGATTTCAGGCAAATTCAAGTGACCATACCTCGACAGTTGCCTATCCGAAGTGTACCATTACCACCCAAAATACACAAATCCTCCTTCCCAGAAGCGGTTGAGATCATGTGTATTGTCTGGCCATCAGAGTTGAATAGGGTGGCCATCGCAGCCAAGCGGGATTATATCATCCCCAAGCTCGACGAAATGTCGTGACATGCTATCAATTAGTCTGCGAATGGGCCAAGATCTACCTTGTATAACCTGGGACAAGAACATGTCACTCTTAGTCCACGTGTATGCCCACCCTAGGAATCCTATAAACTGACAACATTCCAAACTGACTAGACTCCACCCGCTACTAGGCAGTTGACTGCAACGAAGTTTGGTGAATCTCAGCCTCCAGTATAATGGATGAAGCTACCTGATCATAATGCACGCACTCGTTTCACTGAGTGGATATAGCCCAATTAATTGCCAATTCATACCCTTCCTCTCTCTCTTGCTCTGTATTCGAAGTGACTGCCCTGATTTAGTAAGACCACACTCGCTTCTCGCCTCGGGCATCGCGAGCCCCATCTCTGTTCATCTTGGCATACAGGAGTCGGAGACCAGCCGCCACAGCCGCGACAAAGAAGCAGCAGGCCGCACAGGTGAAGTTGCCCGTGGGGTAGCCCTGGGACGCCTCGGCCGGTTTCCAGATCCACTGTGCGATGATCTGGCCGATCCCAGCGCACGAGTTATGGACAGCGATGGCAAATGGAATTCTAAAGTGGGCCATTCAGTTGTGGTGTAGAGTTCAGGGCAGATGATGAAAACTCACGTGAGAAGGCTGGGTGTGTTGCAGGTGACCCAGTTTGTCATCGACGGCGCGCACGGGAATGCCCCAACGGCAGCCAGGCAGAGGCAGCCATATCGCGATGTGTAGGCGTCATGCGGCAGCAGGCCAGCTGTAAGCCAGCCGGCTCCTCCAACGATGGACGCCCCCACGATATGCCAACCTCGGGCATCGAAGCGGTCAGCCGAGTAGGAGAGGCTGATGGCAACGCAGAAGCCGATGCACCAAGGCGGAACCGTCATGAGCTGCGCCTGGATGGACTGGGAGGCACGCACGTAAGCAAGCGAGCCTGTATTCCGGCTTTTTTTCTGGGGGGGGGGGGACCCTTTGATCTTACCTTGTATCCGAGACCTGTGACGATGGTCGGGGAGTAGAATGTGAAGGACCCTTGCAAAACCACGTTCGCGATCTTCAAACCGGGTAGAGCGTTCAGCCTCTGTCTTTGACTTGTGGTGCTCTATAGAGCACTGGCGGGGATGCACTCACATATGCGAAGTAATGTGCCAACATCCGCGGGCTCACAAACGTCGCTATAATCTCTTTCCTCGTGGCATGCTCTCTGTTATAGCCGCCTCCCCTTTCTTTGAGTCGATCCTCAGCCAGCCGCTTGTCGTCGATCGTCAAGAACCTGGCGCGCGCAGGATAGTCCGGCAGTATGAGCAAGGTCGGCAGCACGCTCACGACCGTGATGAGCCCTTCGATGATGAACAGCCACCGGAAACCCTGTAATCCACCAGCGCCGTTGACGTGCCCAATGCCGTATGCGATGGCGCCGCCAAACGCCCCAGCAAGGTTGCAGAAGGCAATCACCAGCGCGATCCGCAGCGCTCGTTCGTTGTGACGGTACCAGATAGTTATCAGATAGACGATCCCGGGGAAGAAACCAGCCTCAAAGACCCCGATGAGGAGGCGCAACGCGAGTACGGTCGCGTAGTTCCGGACCCCGGCGAACCCTATCGTCGCCACGCCCCAGCAGCCGAGAAGCAGAGCCAACCATACAGACGGCCGGACGTAATGCTTCATGACCCAGTTTGACGGCACCTCGAACAGCGCGTAGGCGAGGGAAAACACAGACAAGGTGATGGCGTAGTCCGTCGAGGTCATGCGTGTCTGGTGGAGCATATCGTCCCCCGTCTCCTGGTTGAGGACTCGGGCATTGCCGATGTTGCCCCTGTCGAGGAAGTTCAGGAGGTATAGCCAGCAGCATAGTGGGATGATCCTGAGGTCGAGGATCCGGTTGAGCCTCTTGTTCTGCGAGATGTCGTATACGTCTTCGTGGAGGGCATTCTCCTCGTGGGTCACTGTCGTCTCTGCGGGCTGGGGAGCTGCGTCAGCCCAAAGATAACTGGGAGCCGCGCCTGAGGGCTATGGGGTTACCTACTTCGGCAGATGTACCGTCGCTTTGCTTTTCGCTGACAGGTCTCTCCATTGTTACGTCTTGTGACGACTCGTCCGGCCTGATGGAGTGAAATTCAACCCGGTAACATCACCGTTGGACAGTGACCACCAATTGCAATATCAACGCTGGCTTCTTTTAGGAGACGCAGAGACCGAATGACGCGTGGAGTTACCGGCAGACGAATTCCTGGTCATTGTTGCCCGTTTGTGTCGCTCCTGGGCACACCAATCCCGTTGCCGGCGACCATCTCCGCATTCTTGGCGATCCTCAGTGGTTCAACTCATCGGTCGGGCCACGGGCGTGAGGAGAACCTGGAGTCGAGCAGCTCGAGTGAGGGGAAATTTGATATTGGGAGCGGGCAGGATATTGAAATCGTCATGTGCGGATCACTGCAGGCTAGAACATGTCCATCGGAAAAGCATTCAACACACTTCCGACCAACATTGACGGTGGTAACCGAGGTCGATGTTGCAGGCCTAGCCTTACTAGTAGTACTAGATATCGGACCGAGACACATTCATATAACTGCTATGGACCCTCAAGTAAACCCTCACAATTCCCTGTACGGCTCACTAGACCTTTCTGGCCGACAGAAGAGACTTACTTGGTGTCAAGATTAACGGACCGGCTTGGTGTTAAGCTCGACCGCTTGTCAATTGCGCCAACACGAATAGTCGCTGCCCAATACTAAGACTTGTGGCACCATAGTAGCTTCCAATATAATACCCATTTGCAAAAGACCAAAACGTACTCACTGTCTCAAGTCTTGTATGGCGAAAATGACTGTAATGGCTTATTCAACGCTCTACCTCTGGTCATACTAGTGGAGAGACTCAAAAGGATAAAATAATCTATACTTTCACTGCCTCTCAATGTGTGAGGGCTCATGTTTCTAAGCCAAACCTTCGCCTGTAGTCCCAGATGAACTCGTTTGCTCACGAGAGTAGACACTAAACCCACGTTAACCTTTGCGAATGTGCTAGAGGATGCCCTTGATTCTGTTCCCATAATGTATTGACACAATCTCTTGTAGCTTTTAAGCCCATCTCTCTCAGTCCCAACTCCGTAAATGATATTGATGGATACGTCAAACAGTACATGATGTGGTCTTGTAAATCCCAAAGCTTCAAGCAGCCGCGGATTATTTGCATTCCCCAATGCCTCCGAGCTTAGATTCAGCTCACCAATTTCCCACAGCAGTCTGCCGGCCCAGGGGGACGTTTGACTTTGACAAGGACACATCCGCATCAGTGTAGTCTACCTTCCCGTTCGTGATCGGTACAGCGTCAGCCATCGTGGTGTCGCCGTTGACACCGTTGACACCGTTTGTGAACTTTGCCTCCAGTTTCTCATCGTGCGCGTTCACGATATCTTGGGGGAGCGCATTCAGCGCTTGGTCGAGATCCCCAATGATATCCCGCACGTCCTCAGTGCCGACCGAGAACCGGATAAACGCCTTTTCACATTCCAATCAGCTCATGAATCCCTGGATGTTTGAGGATCGTGTCTACTCACTGGGGTGATGCCGGCCTCTCGCCTGTCTTTCTCGGACATGATAACATGTGTCGAGTTCCATGGGTGCGTAGCCAATGTCTTGGAGTCTCCGACGCTGCGAGTGCTTGTCAGATGCTGTTGGTGATTCAAACAGGGTCTCGTTTCCCAACTGCTTACTTTGTCTGGTGAGAAATGACCTTGACGTAGTTCAGCAGCATCTTGCTTGCCACATCACCACCTTTCGGGCCAAAGGAGAGGACGCCTCCGTAGCCGTTCTTCAGATACTTATTTGCGTTCTCGTGGTACTGGTTCTTCTCGAGGCCTGCAGAAAAGGAAAGGTCAGCCATTTTATCCCGGCCTGCCCTTATTGCCGAGATCTCGGCGAATCCACATACCTGGATAGTTGACCCACGCGATTCTCGGGTGCGCCTCCAAGAAGCGAGCGACCGCAATCGTGTTGCTAGCGTGTCGCTCACACCGCAAGCTCAGCGTCTCCATCCCGATCAGCAACTGCTGCGCCGACGCCGGGCTCAATATCGATCCTACTTCCATCAGGATGTCGATTCTCATTGCCATGGCGAACGAGATGTTGCCAAAGGCTTTCCAGTATGAGAAGCTCATCGGCCCGTCCTTGTGGATCATCCGAGGGAATCGCTCGCCGGCAGCGCCCCAGTCGAATGTGCCGCAGTCAATGATGACGCCGCCGACTGTGGTGCCGTGGCCGCCCATCCACTTGGTGGCTGAGTGCAAGATTATGTCGGCGCCAAAGTCCTTGGGTCTGCACCATGTGCCGCATGCACCGAATGTGTTGTCAACCTGATTTCGAAGTTAGAATAACCAACAGTATCACTGGAGGCCGGGGAGCGCGGCTGGGGGGCTTGCACTTACAACAAACGGGATGTGATTCTCATGAGCAACGTCGGCCAGACCTTGGAGATCAGGGATGCTGCAGCGAGGATTGCCGATACTCTCGACGAAAAAGAGCTTGGTCTTCTCGTCGATGTGCTTGGCATACTCCTCCCTCGTCTCAAGCTTGGCCCATCTCACCTCAATTCCCAGGCGAGGGAGCAGGGTCTTGAAAAGGCTGTAGGTGCCGCCATAGAGGTTGATTGACGCTACTACATTGTCGCCGGCCCCAGCGAGGCAGATGATGGTGTTGAAAATAGCAGCTTGTCCGGAACATGTGCCCACGGCCGCGGTACCACCCTCTAGAGCAGCAGCTCGCTTCTCAAACACTGCAACCGTTGGCTTGTAGACGAGTTGTCAGAGATATTTGCTAGGCTTGATTGTGGGTGTTGCTGGAGCCTTTGACCTACGTTGGAAACTCTGCTGTAAAAGTACCCTGCCTCCTCAGTTGCGCACACGCGTTTGGCATGAGCACTGTCTGTGAAAAATGAACGACTTGAAGATAGAAGTGTCAGCTAAATCTCTCCGAATGAGGACCTGGCACCGGTTTGCTGCATACCACACTGTTATAAATTGGGACTGCTCTTGCATGTGTCTCCTTGTCGGGCCTGTGGCCTGCGTGGACCTGAAGAGTATCGTAGCTCAGGCCATCGTCGAACTTCTCGACCTTGTAAGGCTGCATGGGATCATGGTTCTCCGGAAGCTTGCTCAGTTCCAGTGGTTGGGACCCCATCTTGGGCTTGGTTCCAGGACGTATTCGGACGAATGTTAGATACGCAGGGTTCCAGGGTGAGGGATTCAGGAGATATTCCCGAAAATTATTCGCGAGGTTGTTGCTTGTAAGCACTGAAGCGATTAACTATACCGACGTCCTTGAATTTCAAAGAAATAAATCTCAAGCACGAGTGAGCGGGCTGCATAAACAGAGCAACAAGGTTCTAAAATAAGTCTGAAAAGCTTCCTTACAAGTGTTTGGACGAGCTGCTATTCGCCCAAACCGGCAGACCCGCGAGTCGGCGAACTTCCTAATATGGACTTGAGGCCAGACCGAGCCAATCGGCGGCACGTACTTTGAGCGCCGTCTGTTGTTACTGGCACCTTCACATTCGAACTCTCCGGGGCCCACGATAATTTCGGCGGCGTGCGTTGCATAATTGCTGTGACCGAGCTGCCGGTGAAGTATTCCTCGAACATCTCTGTTGTGCAGTTTGGCCGTGTCTCTCTTTCCTCTCAAGTGGACCCTCATTCAATCGATCTGCAGAGATGTGGTCCTGGAATATGGCCGAAAATGGCACCTCTTTCGCACCGGACAGGACTCTGCTTCACGCCGTGGAGAATCCAAATCGTGCCACAGTCTATGTGACTCTTCTAATTGCCTTTGCTCTGCTCCTTTTCAGCTACAGCCGGGATGGCACTCAGAAACTGGCCCCTGGGATTATGGTGGTGGGCGGCAGTGAGAAGCAGACCATACGGGTAAATCGCGAGCGCTTCCGCGAAAATGCGAAGGAAATGCTCGAGGAGGGCTACAGAAAAGTGCGTGGCAAAAATGTGGTCCCATGTGCGGTTCCAAGGGCTGACCAACCATAGTCGGACGGCGGTTTTTTCTACGTCCCAAGCCCGCTTGGAGAGCGGCTGATGATACCGGTCAAGTACCTCGAAGAGTTAAAAACTGCCCCGGTCGAAGAGGTCGACTTCGTTGCTACGTTTATCGAGGTAAGTCTGCGTCAGATCTGTCGAGTAATTATGACTTGTTAGTGCTGATGAATTTAGATGTTCGAGGGCAAATATACTACCATGGGTAGCAGATCAACCTTGCATCCTCGTGTTGTCAAAGCACAGCTGAACCATCACCTAGGTGTGTGTCCAGATGGATGGGGAAACTACCCTGCCTATTTATAGACCGAGGTTGCAATTCTAACCTTGCGAAGCCGACGTTATGCCGGGCGTCCAGCAGGAGATCGTCGACTCTTTCGCCGACTTATTTCCAGCGTGCGAAGGTCAGTCACAATCTGCAGCGCCTGCAGCCCCAAACTAAATTCGTGACGTGCAGATTGGACTCCTGTGCCGGTGGTAGCGATTCTGACCCAGATTGTGGCGAGGGTCTCGAGCTGCATGTTTGGCGGGACGACCTTGTCCCACAACAAGGAATGGGTCAAGTCGTCGATTGACTTTGCGATTGACGGGTTCATCGGCGCCCAGAAAATCAAGAAATACCCGGAATTCGTCAAGCCATTGGTGGCACGTTTTATCCCCGAAATCCGGAAGATTGCAGACCACTACGCGGCGGCAGAGGCCGCTGCCATCCCGATGCTCGAGAGCCGCCGGCGGACCGGGGAGAAGGCCATGGACCTGCTGTACTGGATGGCCGAGCAGGCCAAGGACGAGGAACAGGACTTAAAGTTCTTGGCTGGCATCCTGCTGAAAGTCAGTTTTGCCGCGATACACACTAGCGCAGCAGCACCTGCACAGCTGCTCTACGACCTGTGCGAGCACCCAGAGTTCATCGAGCCGCTTCGGGAAGAGGTGGACAATGTCATTGGCCACGATGGCCTGATTGACAAGTCTGGATTTATGAGAATGGCCAAGATGGACAGTTTCATGAAGGAGAGTCAGAGGTTCAACCCCCTCTTACTGAGTGAGTGCAACTCGAAGTCCCGAGTGAAAAGAAATAAGGTTGCTGACTCTGATTTCTGCCGGCTGCAGTCACTTTTGAACGAGTGATTCACAAGCCACTCACATTGTCCTCTGGTTTCACTATCCCAGCGCATACGACGATAGGTATTCCGACACAGGCCATAACGATGGACGAGTCCCTGTACCCCAGCCCGGTGGTATTCGACCCATTCCGGTTCTCCAGGATGAGAGAAGAGCGGCCAGAGATGGACGGACGTGCACAGTACGTCGCGTCCAACCCGGCCTCCCTCAGGTAAGCCCCCTCCTCCCGTTACAGCTACTCTGTCCCAGGCTGAAATAAATAGCTTTGGATACGGGCGGCACGCATGTCCTGGGCGTTTCTTTGCTGCCCAAGAGATCAAGGCAATCATGGCACATATATTGCGAAACTATGATCTCCGATTTTCCGCGGGCCAGAGCCGACCAGGGAGCCTGCGGGCCGAAACGCAGTACTTGCCACATCCAGCTGCGACGGTCGAGTTCAAGCGACGATCTTGAGTTGAGAAAGAGACATCTTTCTGTGGCGCAGATCGGAGGAAGTCCAAATTTCACACATGCTTCGATGATTCGCCCATATACGGTGTACGCACGCAAGAGGACAGGTACGGAGTTTGATATACGTTTCACGACGCGAACGTCGTTGTATGTCCAACCCACGGGGGTGCATTAACAGCAGAAGTTGCACAGTGGCAAGATCAGTATAGAGTTGCCGGGGAACAGGACTCTTACGATAACAGCGTCATGGAAAAGAGTAGTCACGAAAGGCGGTGCGTGGTATGATGACTATACGGCACATGCAGCCTGCAACAATTTTGTTCGTTATTCACGGCTGGAATCTCGTTTATAAAGTTGAAACGCAAGCCACGAAGCTTAAATCCCCGCATTCGGGCCTAGGTCCAGGGCTGGAAGGCGGGCTAGCCCGCCTCAGGCCAAAGTCCCCTTGCCCGGGTCGGGGGGTGGGGGGGAGAAAGAAAAACAGGAGATGGTTTCCCCTCCCCCAGCGGACCGGTTAGAGGGCACAGGCCGCGCGCTGTCCGAGCAAAGCCCGAGGGGCGGCGGGCGCCATGCCGCCTGGGTGGTAGGCTACCGTATTGGCAACGCCTTGCTGGGCATTGCCGAGGCTACATTATAGTTGAGGTACTACAGGGCGGCCCGAAAAAGAAGCCTAATTCGTGACTTTAGTAGCATTAGCAAGGGGTCCCTTAACTCTCCTATCTTATTTATGCATATCATAATAGTAATACTAGCTTTTTAAGTCAAAATTAAGCATAAAAAAGGTAGCTTTTCTATAGTATTATATCCTAAATTTGCTATAATAATGTAAGTTTAATTTAAAAAAAAGAAATTAAAAATTGTGATTAATTGGATTTGGTTATATTCTTCCCGGTAAGTTGTAGCGATATGGATAATCTTTTTCAGGTCACCCCGTATTTTGATATTTGTTAGCGCTGCAACCTTTGCTCTCTTTGGCATGGGTCTGGAAGCATCCTTCTTTTGGTTCACACGTGTCTATCCGGCCACCCGCAGTCCCGGGTGCAACGCAGATAGATCTTGGCCCCTAGGGCTGGGCCGCAGAGTTCAGGTTGTTGTGCCTGACACCTTGGCTGAGCACAGATTGCTTGGAACCAATGCCAGGTTTGTTGCATGCCACGGATCGTGGGAAGCTCATCCGAGTTGTTGACGACTCCTGCCCTCTCTGCATCTGCCTTTGCCTCATCTATTAAGCCCCGATGTCATCCCACAGCGCCTCCTGCAGCTCCTGTATCCTGAGCGCCACCGACCCCAACGCGCTCCGGTGCGACTCCAAGCCCTCTCTTCCCGCATTGCGCCTCAGCCTGTCCAAGAAGCTGCTTAGGCGTCGTACCTGCAGGAGCACCAGGAACCCGAATACCTCATACCACTCCTGGGCGGTGTCTATGCGGTATTGGCCAAGGTGGATCGGGGCCCAGGATCCGCTGCCGCACGCGCGCCCGTCCGCGTCTAACTGCTGCTGGGCCGCGCTCCCCCCTTCCGCTGGCGCGGCCGTGGTGGTCTCCTCCCACATGGAGGCCATGTCCTCCAGCATCCCTGTCATCTTCTCGACCAGCAGCACCGAGAATGCCATGACCCTCGACGGGCTGGGGCAGGAGCGACAGCTTGCCAGTGCTTGACATTGTGATATGGACCCCTTTAGTGAGTGTAGGGCTTCTTCTGCCAGAAGTAGGCTGGTGGACTTCCTGTGGCCTTGTATCCTTTCCAGAAGCGAGAGGGTGACACCAACACACCGACAGGGCGACGCATTCTTGAAATGCGTCCCTGTCCGAGCGGCCGGGCTTGGTCGTGCCTGACGGATAATCGGCGGAGTTGAGAGCCCCGAGTTCCCGCCCGTTATCACTGGACGAGGCGAGGAGGAAGGCGTAGAGACCAAGTCCTGGGACGAAGTCTTAGACGATGGCCTTCTTCTTGATGCCCGTGTCTCGTATTCCTCGGCTGGCTCAAGCCTCCTTTTGGAGCGCTGGTACGAGTTCCAATCCATATCATCTAAATTCGCATTAGCACCGAGCTGTTCGTGGTCTCAGACAGCAGCACCATCGCACATGAGTGGATCAAGTGGTGCTGCTTAGAAAAGAAGGAGACTCGCTAACCTGATAATGTATTGCTTCTCGCAAGACCGTATGCCCCTTCATGTGAGCCTGCCGCGTCTTCTGGAGAGGTGCCAGACGCGAAAGTGCTTTCTAGTGCATATGCATCGCTCTCAACTCCATCAGGCGATATACCGGCCTGGAGAAGTTCGTCTATATCGAAATCCTGCATGCTTGACTCGATATAGTCGGGCAAGTGCAAGTCGTGGAACTCGGGGCTTTTCGCTAATTCTTGCTCTGTTTGCCGGGCGCCGGGCGCCGGGCTCGAGACTTTGGAAAGTTGAGCCGATAAAGATGAGAGCTGGGGCTCTCTGTCCATCGCCACATGTGCTGGTACGAATGGACTGTCATGTTTGCGTCCTCCTAGCCCGGTTGGCCTTGGGGACTGTCGTGAAGGTGACCTTCTTGATGGCCCCCCCGGGGGTGAATTCTGGACAATCAACAACTCTTCCGCGCCTGATAGCGTGGACGCGTGATCGGGCGTGGCCTTCTGTGCTTTCGACATTCTCTCGGCTTTGCGCTGTCTTGACTGCGCAGTTGTGGAATATGTGCAAGAAAGATTGCGATCACGGCAGCGTTGACATCCAAATCTATGTCCTGTGCATTTCAACTAGACGAGATGTGTTAACGTTGTGCTCCATTTTGATTTAGGGGTTGTAGCTATCTACCTTCTTGACTCTGCACCTATCGCATGCGAAGTGGTTCTGGTTTTGGCCGGATTGTGGTAACTGAGTCGTGCTCGAGATACAAACGACCTCCCCATCCCGGTCTTTAGCACGAAGGGTCGCGAACATGGTCAAGAGTATCTGAAGCAGGCTGATTAGAGTTTGTCATTACTACGTGGTAGGAGGAATGTTCCGTCAGGGTCGTCTATAGATATATGCTTTGGAGGAAGTGGACTCTTCAGAGAAACGTGCCAGTGCTGCATGGCGCCTCGTCTGCTGACATGATTTTGGGTGGAACCGGCGGCGTTGCTTGCATGTAACCCAAAACTCCAGCCCTCGAACTCTATTCATGGTGCGAAACCTTAAATCACACCGTATCGCTGGTACATCCAAAAGCCCAACTAGGGATCGCATTATCATCCTCGCTTGTCGTGCAACGGTCTAGGCCTCGAGGCGACTCAAGTGTCTAGTTGACTGGATCCATATTGACTAGTGCCTTCATGGATCACACGTTTCAAGCCACAGCAGGCGTTTTAGCTCACGAACGCAGGACCCCTTGCCGCACGGCCAAACTGGGCTGAACTTCCGACGGGTTTGCCACGATTGACAGGGTCTTCTCAGCTGAGATGTGGTTCTACCTGCAGATAAGTTTGGGCGGTGTAGTTGCCCCTTCTGTCGGACTAAGAGAATTGTAAATGTCCGCCCCGTATCTGTCGTGGACAAAGTCGATCCACAATAGTGTCCTCATCCTCGCTCGGACCTCACCCCAGGAACCGGAGTCAGGCATGCTGGTCGCCCACCGCAGCCAAGGCTCCAGCCAAGTGTCTCCCTTTGGGAATACCGCCATGGCGCCGACCATTACGAACCACGGCATAAGTCCTGATGGGCCCATATCGGAACGGAGATGCTCGGCCAAGCACTCCTTGTACATGGTCGGCAAATGACGATGCGGCAGCCGAGAATTCGACCACTGCAAGAAGATATGCGAGCAGAATGCCGACAGGCCCAGTCGCACCGCTTCGTGTAGGCTGTCGATTGGGAACTTCATGCTGACCAAGCGATACATTGCTGAAGCCATGGTGTCGAGGAATAATTGTTGTGGTATCTTTCGCTCTGATTTTGCCGCGTAGTTGATGAGCGAGCAGAATGCCTGCATGGTGTCCCAGGCCTTTCCAAGTTCGACATCGGTTATGCCAAGAGCATGACTGTTGACAAGGTGTGCTTCATGAAATTGCAACTCGGGCGGTATGGAAAATGAGAGTCGTGTGGGATAAGAAACAAACTTCTCGGCACATGGATCGCTGAAAAAGATTGGGCTGAATCCTGAGTGAAGAGCCATTCCTAAATCACACCTTCATAAGCGTCAGTGATGGTTATATGCTACAAGAGTAGACGATTGAGGATCAATGGAAACCTCAGAATTGCTCACCTGAAAATCTCTATTAGGAGTTTCGTCCTCGTCTTCAGTGCCGTAATGCCTCCCCTCATGTCGACAATCTTCCGAAGGCCGACCATATGGTTTCTCGCTATGCTATACTGACCAAGCCGGTGAGCATGACAGGCCAGGATCAGAACCACCATCACTGTGTTGTCAGATAACTTCAGTTGTTCGTCCTCGTCCCCAAGCCTCTCCCTGAGGAATCGGACTGTCTTGGAAAAAGAGGTGTAGGTCGGTGTTAGTGGCGACACAGGCTCCAGTTCTCGGCCGGCCAACAGGTCGTAGTAGACCTGTACCGAAAAGGCTGTAGCATTGAGGTAGGCCGCATCAGTGCAGAGAGTTTCAACCCAAGAAGCTTCCGGGGGCTCGGCGAAGTCTATGCAGCTTTCCAATGGAAACAAAGGCGCCTTGGATACTGATATGACTTGTAAGACGTTAGCTGATTCAAGACAGATGCCGCGGGAGCAACCTAGGGCTGACGTCTGGGGAAATGGGGGTCCATTATGTATACATTTAACGACGGGAGCAACCAATGACGAGTCAATCTCGTCCGCAAAGGGGATGAATGACAGCTCTGAGCCCACTCTTTTCGGGATGAAACCCAACGGTCGGTAATCCCAAATGGTTGGGCCCTGTAGGGGTGACTCTGCGTTGACCGCTACCCCTGTATGCGCCGGCGTCCTGGTCCCTTTACGTCTGATGTGGTAGGCCTTGCCCTTGTTCTTGCCCTTCATGACATGGCTTCTGATGAATAACTGCGTCTTCGGGTCTGGCTTTGCCACGCTTGTTGAGACGATAAAAGGCAGCTCCACTGTCTGCTTCATCATGACTGGGCTTGGATGTTTGCCAGATAGATGCGTTTCTCAATTAGTCAACGTAACGAGGTTCAGTGTAGATAGACTAACACAATGTTGTTGTCGTTAGGTGTGACACATTTTCGACCAGATTGCTTACCTCTTCAGGCACGATAAAAAGAGGAGGCGTCGGTTTATGAGAGATCTGTTCCACTCGTGACAGAAGGATTCGGCATACGCCATGCACGCCAAGCCAGAGATTGTTTCCCTCTTTGGGGAAAGCGTTGATGAATCCTTCCAATCCTCGAGGGATGTCGACTGGGGTTCGACTTTGGATCTCCAATGTGGATTGGGCCGTACAAATTGGAGCAACAATACGCGGAAACCCTGATTTAGATTTTCTGAATTTGATATGAGTACAATCGATATTCCAAAAGACAATTCAACAAGACATGCCGCATCCACTTCACACCGGCCATCACTAGCCGCTTACTTTTCATGTACTCTCTCCCTGTCCCTTCAATGTCAGCCCTCGGCCTGAGATCCTACCACAGCGTCTCAGAATACTAGCATTGTGGTGAAGAGGACCAAAAAACAAAAGGAAAAAAAAATTATTGAAGGCACAAATACGTCCGAATTTTTAAATCCTACGCCGCTTCCAAATTGCATTGCAGTCTGGGTATTTACAGTAGGCTAAAAGATTTTTCACTCATGCAAACAACAGATGATGCCAGATTATCGCCAGCCGAGAAATACCGTAATTGAATTATTATCATTCCAATTAAGTCTCACAAATACAAGCTAATAGCCTGTGTCTATATCCAATGGAAGGGCAGTAAACATTGAAAATGTACAAAGCATGCAGAAAGCGATCCATAGCTAAACTGAATGATACCTCGGGGTTGTTTCACTCCATGCCTCATTACCACTCATCTGATATTCCAAGCCCTTCATGAAGGCCCTCAGGTTAGCGCTGCACGGCTCGGGAGACGACAGTCTCTTTGCGACGAGCTCTTCATGGACGAACTCCCACTCTCGGCACATGGCCCACAGAACACGCTTGGATGCCGAATGTTCCAAGTTTGCCTCAGCAGAGAGGACAGAAACAGACGAGCATAGTGCCGAGCCTTCTTTGTGGCCGGTCTGAGAAGCCTTCAACTCTTTTTCCCAGCTGTAAATGTCGTTGACGACCGAGATGTGTTTGGAGCAGTTCATCTCGATTTCTTTGATACTTTGCAACTCTTCAGGGGTGACATGCAAGTTCATGCTAAACCGCATCAGAGCTGATAACAGTCTATCGCCTTGTGAGCGTCTACCTTTTGATGGCTCAGTGTAATTGACATGACTCACGCTTTTCCAACATCTCTTTCTCTATATTTGAAGTATTCTCCAAGCTCCTTGATGTCGAGGCGAGATTTGTCGGTCTGCGCCCGCATGAAAGTGAAGACGGGCTCCAAGATTTCGTCTGCGAGTGCTTTGTCGCAAACGCGCATCTCGTTCCACAAATCGTAGGTAATCCACTCCACTGGTATGCTGCGGTCGGGTGCAGTAGTTCCCCTGGAGAGGAGAATCAACCTTTCGTTGTAAGCTGATCCATCGTCGAGTGACATGTCCTCGAGGAGGTCTTATGCAGATGTATTCGATCAGTTCTAGCTGTCCAATGCACGCGCAACCATTCAGTGAGAAACACTCACCATCAACTAAAAACAGCAACGCAAGCAGCCGACAAGCAAATGCTATCCTCTCGTCCAAGGCTTCTGGGAAATAGAGGCAGGTGACGGCGGAGAACCCCGCTGCCACGAACTTCTTCCTTGCCTTGTCGCTTTCGAATGGCCAGTGCTTGAGGAAGAAGGCGTCTACTTCCGCTGTGACCTCGGCGACTCTGGGGTGGATCTTGGGCGTAAAGAGGGCTGCAGGTACCGAAGGTACCGCAGCTCTGGGGCGGTGAATTTGAGTTTCGGCCTTCTCGAGTCTCGCCCACGTGTCTGGCGACTCCGCGCCGACTGGGATTGGCACCACCGGGGTGGTAGTCTGGAGGGAAATCATTTAAGCAAAGTTTGGCAGAAAAAGGGGTCGATGAAGGTTTGTGGTCCGATGTTCCAGTTCTCCCGCACGGGTGCTTGATATATTTTGACCAGATTTAGGAAAATGCACCGCCCCACTTACATTGATAAGAATCTCTGCCTGCAAGGAAACATTTGTCACCGCGGTTGGCGGTTTCGGGTTGCGTGGCCGTCGGGTGTGCTGAAGAGGGAAAACCGCGAGGCGGACAACCGAAAGCATGTTCCAAAACAGTAATGCACCGAGTCGCCGAAGCCAGAGCACACTACTTAAAACGCGCCATTTGCGCTCTCGGTCCCGCAATTAGTAAGGCTTTGAAATGCCCTTCAGCTAGGTTCTCGGTTGAATTGATGAGCTCGTGCCAGAAGTAAACGGTGGGGCCAGGGACACCACCGGGATTCACGCTCTGCTGATGCGAGAAATGGCTGGACCTGCCAGATGCGGATTCTTCCACGCACTGGCCCGGTTCCCCGACTATGGACTCCCCTCGCATTATCATATCGTGAAATATTCAGCGCTTATTAACTGCGTCAAGCTGGCCAGAATCGATTATAGAGTAAGCAGTGTTGGTCCTTGCCACCGGCGACAACAAACCTGCGTAGACTCTTATACTGTCATACTATACTGCATCTAACCCCCCTCTACTATCTCAATTCAGGTCCCTGAAGTCGGCGGCTGCTTGCTGCAACTTCGTTTCTCGCAGATTATCTTCACCAAACCAATTGTAACGACAGTCAGAGATGGGACCCTCCAACTCTGTGTACCTCTGGCCCAGGGTCAGAATAGTCCTCCCGTTCCACCGACCAGAGGCTTGCTTCCATTCATCCGTGTCCTTCCCGTACGCCTCTACCTTCCGTGGTTCTGACGCGACAGCTGAGTAGGCCACTGCAAGGCCCACGAAATGCGCCGTGCTAACAGGCAGGCCGGCTGCCATGATAGGGGCAGCCAAGTCCGCTGGTAACAGGCCCGTGATGGTGGCAGCCGGAGCAACTGCGTTGATGGTGATGCCCGTGCCGCGCAGAGACGAGCGCATCGCACGCATGTAGTTTATCAGCTGTAAACTTGAGTCAATGAACCGTCGCTCTCAGCAAGGAGCGGGCTGGATCACTCACGGCTGCTTTTGTCCCGCTATAAACGGGCAGTGACTGCTCTGCAGAATACGCAGTGGCGCTCGACGTGATGACGATACTTCCCTCAATGTCCTTCTTCTTCATGCTATGTAACGCAAGCTTGATGAAGTTCAGGGTTCCTCGATAGTTGGTATCAATGACATTGTACGTAGGCTCGAGGAGATTGCCGTGTTCATCATACGAATCATTCAAGTATGAACCGTCCTCACCCTGACCTGCATTCGCGATCGCAATATGAACAGGGCCAGCGTTTGAGAAGACAGCACTGAGCTCCGACCACTTGCTGATGTCGCATTTGAGATAGCGGGCCCCTTCTGGTAAGGTTTCTTGGGGTTCACAGATATCCAGGATGATGACCTGCCCGCCTCTCGAAGCTATTATCTTCGCGGTGGCGAGCCCAATACCAGATGAACCTCCTATCGTGGCAAAGTCAGGGCCATCCTGGCGCGAACCGAATGAATGTTTGGATCATACCTGAAATCATTGTAGTCTTGCCATCTAGCTGCGGTATATCGCTCTCTTCGATTTTGAGTGTCGTCATGGTCTATGTCAGTTCGCTCTTGTTCAGTGATAGTCGTGATAGATGCACAGGATGCAGTCAACTAGCTGGTTATGATATCCAAATGGACCTGTACAACTCCAAAGAGGTCTCGCGGAGTTCCGCGGTCTGTCACACAATGTATCTGGGCAATTTTCAATTCATGTATACACGAGCCGGCGCCACGGCGTGGCCATGCCATACCAATCCTTGCGATCGGGGCGCGTAGGCGGACTCCGCACCGAAGTTTACTAGCCGCCGCCAAGCATGGTTCCGGAGTGTTGCCCCTTTTGGGCGGGGCATCATCCTGGCCGCTTTCCCCATCTTCTACACTCTGTGAAGTTCACGAAAACCTTGTCGGCATACGCGACAGGAGTCCGCTGTAAGATCAAAACAAAACGTGAATCCAGTCTTTCAGTATCCACACGCTCTATTGAACATTTCGATCGCTACTCCGGGGCCAGACTTCATCATGAATGCCTCTGGCCAGCCACTGGGCCAACTCCTTCTCTGGGGCCTGGTACTTGTGCGTCTTCCAAAGACGACGAAGCAAGAGTTTCCGTCAACTGACGACTAGACTTCTAGATCACCGTGTCTTACACTGTCAAGAGACTAGTCAACGCATGGAGACATCCTCTATCCCGCTTCCCGGGCCCATTCTTGGCTGGTCTAAGCGACGTAAGATGGATTCAGGCCCTTTATCAGACTGATAACAGCGAATGATGCTGACAATGAATGACAAAACACCAGTTCTCTCACTGCAGACGCTTCTTGGGCGGTCGTCAGCCATATGAGATACTGAAGCTCCACGAGAAGTACGGTAAGTCTTGGATACGCACTGAGTCAGTCCCGCGTACAGGGGTTTGGGCTTAACGGTGCATAGGCCCAGTCGTGAGGGTTGCTCCCAACGAGCTCTCGTTCAACACCGCCCAATCATGGAGGGATATCTACGAAAAGAAGAAAGGTCACGCGACATTCATAAAGAGCGACTTCTACGATGGCGGCAATTTTGCAGCTGAAGCGCACTCGATTGTCAGCGTGCGCGACCCTGATGAGCACGCCAACATGCGAAGATACCTCCGTGACGCCTTCTCGGACCGCTCACTTCGAGAGCAGGAGTATCTGATCTCTGAAGTCATTGATCGGTTTGTAGAGAGAATAGGCGAAGAGGGGAAAGACAAGGCGGGAATTGACATAGTGAGGTGGTTCAATCTCGCAACCTTTGACAGTAAGCTTTTTGGTCTTTGTCTCGTTTGGTATGTTTCGAGCGTTTTGGGTGGAAGATCTAGGACTTTTGAAACTGAGCGGCCGAATATTAACCATGCTGATTTTCAACTTGAATATAGTCATCGGGAGTTTAGCCTTCGGCCAGTCGTTTGATGGCATCAAGTCTGGTAAGTGAGAAGGCTTGAGAAGCAGAATTTGGGAGACCAAATTGACCTTTCAATAACTAATCAGGAACTGAACACCCTTGGGTCGCGATTGTCGTCAAGAGTCTCCGAATGGGTGCTTTCGCAGACTGCTTTAAGAGATTTCCTTTGATTGGAAAAGTCTTCACGACCGTGTTTCCCGGGCTTCTCAAAAAGCTGATCGAAGACACGCGGCGACATGAAGCAAACACCATGGACCTTGTTCAGAAGTCAGTGGGCCTTCTCCAGTCAAATAAACATGTGAGCTGACAGTACCTTAAGGCGCATCAACCAAACGACAGATCGCAAAGACTTCCTTACAAAGATTCTGGAGCACCGGCAGACAGACAACCTCTCAGACGCGCAAATAGCAGCCCACTCCTCAGACTTTGTGTATGACCACTGCACACTTCAGAGAGATGCTCACTCGGCTAATGTGCTTGATGTAGAATTGCTGGGAGCGAGACCACTGCTACGGCTCTCTCGTGCATCACGTATTATCTTCAGAGGAGTCCCGAAATCCTGCACACTTTGCAGAAAGAAATTCGTACCTCATTCAAATCGTACGGAGAGATTAGCGACGCTTCAACAGCGACACTGGAATACCTCAAGGCCGTAATACTGGAAGGGATGCGGATGTATCCGCCCCTACCATTCCCGCTACCGCGTGTTGTGCCCCGAGAAGGCGGCATAGTTGATGGGCACTTCGTTCCTGGAGGGGTAAGTGTGATGGCTTCCACTGCCCCATGCATTCATTTGTCTCATGCTTGAATCTGGTTTTGGATGCGTCCTGACCCTTGGGGTGCAGACTGTTGTTTCGACAAACCCCCTCGCAGCGTCAATGTCTGCCGAGAACTTCCACGATCCCTGGGTATTTGACCCCAAGAGATGGATGGATACTAAGAACAACGACATACTGGATGCTAGTCAGCCATTTTCTCTTGGCAGCAGGATTTGCATGGGACAGAGGTACGCCTCCCTGAAGCTTCACGTACTAGGCTGTTTGACTAACACCCGCCCCCTTTACACAGCCTCGGCTGGATGGAAATGCGCACTATTCTGGCCAAGATGCACTACAAGTATGACTTGGAACTCGTTGATAACAGCCTTGACTGGCATGCTCAATCCGAGATGCACACCCTCTGGCAGAAACCAGTCATGAATGTCGTTGTGCGGCCAAGGTCTAATTAAGGGTCTTGGTGGGGTTTGCAACGAGGAGAGTAGAAGTGCAGCACTTGAATGAGAAAGATACTATGTTGTTTACGCAAAGAAAAAAAAAAGTAACATTTGAATACTTAGCACACGAAGTAGCACAGCATTGTGGACTGTGAGGGAAATATTTTTACATTTTTCAATCAAGTTCAATATCTAGCGTGCAATCAATATCCGTTATAGAATTTCCGTTATTGAATTTGACCTGAACTAGTATTACCCGACAGTAATGGTCTGACCTTCAGGGTCTTGCTCCGGGTTCCAATGTCCCACATACCCATCTCTCCCGGTCAGATAAGTCCCCTGGGCTTGCTCCTCTGCCGAAGCACGGAACACTGCATGCTTCTTGTTGGTCCACTCCAAGCCTTTCCATGTCACACCCTCAGCGTCGACGAACTCGGCCTCCATCTCAGGCCGCAGGAGATACACGATCGAGTACTTGTGCCTCTCCTTCTCGTCCTTGTGGGGTATGATGCGATGCAAGCTCGACTCAAGGACGCCCCCGGAGATGAACCGGAGAGCGTCTCCCACGTTCACTACCGCGTGGCCGGGCTTGGGTGCTATGTAGTACCATTGCTCCTCGTTGGGCTTCAAGACTTGGAGACCTGCAACTTCGGTGAAGACGATGGAGAGACTGCCAGCATCGGTGTGGGCGATCTGGCCCACTTTGTCCGGTTCCATGTCGGCGATGGTATACTTGAGAAGACCAAGAGCGGTCGGACAAACAGCGCCTTTGCGGTGGTACTGCTGGTACGACAGATTGTCTGCCAATCCCAAGGCCGACGATAGACGAGTGAGTAGGAGGGTGCTGATGTCACGGAATGTTGTATTGGCCTGCTTCAGGGGAGCAAGTCGAGAGGAAATGGCTTCAGGCCCTGGAAACGAGGCAGCATCGTTGATTTTGGCAATGGGATGTTCCATGAGCTGCAGTCTATCAGTCATATTCTGAGGAATTATAAGGCATGTTTCCTTACCATGAGTCCCTCGAACCCATCCTTCACCCCTTCGACGGGCCCGTTCCCATGACCCGCTGGCTTGTATCTAGCAATTAAATGACTGGTAAGCCCATGATCTCACGTTTCGGTAAGGTTAATATCATCCGTAAATATGAGCTTACCCCATAACAAGATCTTCATCGTGGTCTCTGTCCACAAACCACTTGTTTTTGGCTTCCTGTGGAAGGTCGTAAAAACTCGTGGCCAGCTCGTACATGTTCTGGACGTCTTGCACCACGCGCCCTGAGTAGACATCTCGGCAATCGAGATAGAAAAAGCCCAGGTCGGTGCAGGCTTTCAATAAGTTCTCTTTTGCGGTTTCGTCCTCATCTAGAAGACCCTGGAGAGACACAACTCGAAGATCAGCATCCTCTTTGGCAATTTTCTCTGGCAACGCAGCCGAAGAAGTCATGGTCACTTTGGGTGCACTGGTTGCGTGGAGCGATTGTTAGGTAAGGAGTAGCGAAGATGGTATGCAAACAAATCTATTATTTGGCCGAAGTTGGCTGCGAGAGGACCAGGTTAGTGCGATGACTTTTTGAAATCTGATGCATACTTCCACCATTACGGCGTGCATCGATTGTCTGATGCCAGGCACATATTCTACGCCCTCTCGGGCAAGGTGGGTCTAGCTCGGAGAATTTCCGTTTCGGGAGCTTCCGCTGTGTGTGGAAAACAAAACGTTACCCCCCCCCTGTCGTTTTGACTCATGCTCCCCCCCTCGGCGCTCAAAATCCCAAATTTTAAATCCATCTTTATTCTATTATATCTTTATAACATAATTAAATATAATTAAAAAAAATATATATTTAAAGTCCTTATATAATAAAGTATAATATAAGATATTAATAATAATTATACTTATAATATATATTATAATATAATAATAAAATTATTTTATTTAATATATATTATTATATTTATAATATTATTATTTTTATTTTATAAATTATAATTATAATTTTATTATATTGAAAACGAGCCACCCAAACAATGGGGGACAGGTTCTGCTAAACCCTCTTAAGGATAACTCAAGGAGAAGCTTTAATATAATAAAAAGAAAAAATAGAAATAAAAAGGAACCAAAAAAAGGGAAAAGATAAATATTTTAAAAATTCTTAAAAATAAAAAAAGCTTAATTAAAGCACTAAATATATAAAAAAAGAAAAAAGTTAATTTCTTAAAAGAATATTTAAAATAAGCATAAAAGCTAGCTTTTTATAATTAGCTAAAATTTAACGCAATACCATTTCTTATATAATTCCTTATACTTATTAATATACCCCTTTTTAAATACTTTATAATAAATATTATAAAAATTGCTAAAATAAAACTTTGCTATCTTTAATTAAGCCTTTAAGTTTTAAAATTTACCTTATTATAATCCTAATTATTATTATTATTTTTAATTCCTTATTTATTTATTTTATTATAGCTTTTACTTTTTTATAAAAGCTTTAAATATTCCTAAAACTTACTTAATAGTATATTTATTAATTATATTTTCCTAGCTATTAAAGTTTGCTTTAATAATTAATATTAGCAAAGCTATTAAAGATTTAAATACCTTTATAAAATAAAAAGTAAATTTATTCTTTCTTTTAATTATTATATTAAGCATAATATATTAGCTTTATTAATTTCCGCTCTTATTTTTTGCAAAGCTTTTATTTTTACTTTTACTTCTTATAATACTTTTGCTTTTAATATTTATACCTTATATTTAATTACTTAATTAACTTACTTATAAATCTTTTAAATTATCCTTAAATAAATTCTATTACTATTTTAATTATTTTAAGTTAATTAATGCATTTTAAATTTTATTTATATTTATTATTAAGATAAATAAGTAAAAACGATCCTTATATATATTAAGATAAGCATTCCTTGCTAGCTTTAAAATATCTTATAATATAATACCTAAGCTAAAGGCTTATTTAATTAAAGTTATGCTTAATTAATTTTAAGCTATTTAAAAGTTTATACCTTACTATATATTAAATATTTAAAATTAAGTTATTAAATTAATTTATATTAAAAATATTATTTCCCTTATACCCTTTTTATAATTAATAGCAATCTTAATATATTATAATTTAAATAGCTGCTATTAAATAATATCCCTTTATAATAAAAGCCTATTTCTTACTTTAATTACTTTTATACTAATAATTTTAATAAAAGAAATTAATATAAATATTTAAATAGCTTTATTAATTTTATTAAGCTTTAATTAAATAGCAAATATTTAAGTAATAATGCTAATAATAACTTTAAGCATCTTATAATATATAATTTTAATTAAAAAAGCCTTAGCTTAATTCCATACCTTTTAATTATTCTTTCCTTAATTTTTCTTAAAGTAGTTTTTAATAAACTTAATAATATATTATTTATAAAATACTTTATTAATTTATTTTAATTTTAATATAAACTCTTTATTAAAATCTTGCATTTTATTTTTTAAAGCAATCATTAAATATTTATAAATAAGCGCTTTAGCATCCTTATTTATTTTACTCTTTTTATTTCTTAATATAAAACTATTTTATAATAAATAATAATTTTTTATTTTATTAAAAATTATTATTATTTAATAATTAAATATATAAATAAGTATAATAATAAATTTATAATTCTTTATTAATTTATATTATTAATATTTCTTAAATAAGGTATAATTATAATATAAAGATTTTTTAAGCAAGAATATAATATCTTAAAAGTTAAAAAGTTATTAAATTATAAAAGCTATAATATGCTAAGTTCTTAATTTTTTATATTTATAAAGCATCCCTTTTATATTAAAAAGATTAAAGGTAAAAAAGGCTTAATATTATTTTATTAAATTTATTAACTTAGTTAATTTTCTTAGCTTAAGATAAAGATTAATGCTTAAGAAATATTCTTATATTATTTTTATAAGCTTATTATTAAATGCTATTTATTTTATATTAAAAAATAATAGCTAATTAAGGGTTTAAGATTATTAAATATTATTTAAGCAAACCTTATTTATAATAATTCTTATTTTAAAGAAATCTTTAAAAAAGTTAGTATTTACTTTTTAAGCAAAGTTTTATTAATTTTAAATATTTATAATATTTAGGAATTGCAATGCTTTGCTAAGTAGGTTTTTAAAGTTATTAAAGTAAGGAAGTTTTATAATTATTAGCGTTAAATTATTCTTTCTTAAATTAATAAGCTTAATTATTAAAATTAAGACGTTAAGATTTTAAGGTATTTTATAATATAAAGGTAATTAAAATCGCTCCTTTGCCTTATCTTTTTAGCTAAAAAATATTTTAGCTTTTAATTATAAAAAAAAAGGCAAAGAAGGTAATAAAATAAAGAGTAAGTAATAAAAGTTAGGTAATAAAGAGGGGAGGTATAATGATAAGAAGAGCCTTATACTTCTAGGAATTATTATATAAGTAATTAAGATAAAGAAGGTTAGAAATAAGGAAGAAATATAATTAATATTTAGCTATAGCTTAAAGCAGCTTTTATAAATAATTATTATTTATTCTTAAATAAGAATTAAATAAAGGAAAAGATTAATATATTAAAAATATATTATTATTAAAATAGCTAAATAGCAGCTAATTTTTAACCTTTAATTAATAATAATATAAAAGTAAAAAGAAAAAGAAAAAGAAAAAGAGAAAAAAGGCTTAATTATAAATAAATAAGTATAATAATATATATAAGTTAAAGTAGCAAAAGCTAATAACTTACTGCCCTTAAGTTAAATAATTATATTAATTAAAAGAAAGGAGTAATAAAAAGGCTTATAAGTTATTATTAAAAACTATTAATTTATTATTTTGCTAATAATTAAAGTAAAAGGGTATATAATTTTCCGTTTTTCTTAAATAATAGTTAATTATAAAATACTTTCCTTTTAATTTATAAATTTATTAAGTATAAATTAAAATAAGTTATTTAGCTAAAATTCCTTTATAATAAAAAGATAAATAACTTCTTTATAAGCAGAAAATTAAAGGTAAGTAACTTCTTTTTAATAATAAATTAACCTTAATTAAAAGCAAGGTAATAAATTACTCCTTTTAATAATAAAGTAGCTTATTATTAACATTACCTACCTTCTTTTATTATAATAACTTTATATATATAAATTTCCTCTTTTCCTTTAAGTTTCTTTTTTTTTTTCCTTTTTTTAATATCCTTTTAACTTTAATTAATTTTTAAATTAAGCTAAAATTAAAGCAAAATATTATAATCCTTTTATCTTTTAATATCTTTTTATAATAATATCTTTATTATTAAATCCTTCTTAATTAAAATTAAGGAATTTAATATAAAAGGATTTCTCTTTTTTTTTTAAGCTATTTATTATAACTTATAAGCTAAGTAAATTTTAATTAAGGGTATTTATACCTTCTTTAAGCTAAAAAGCATTCTTAATAAAAATTAATCTATTAAGATTATCCTTTATAATGCCTTTATAAAAGGTATTTATATATATAAAATTATTAATATTAAATAAAATTAATATCTTACTTAGCAACTTGCTAATTTTACTTTTAAAAAAGTAATTAAAAAACTATTTAATAGGTTTTTTAATAAATTATAAAAAAAATAATTTTTAAATAATATTAAGAATTTAATTAAAAGCTATATAAATATTATTATTATTAAGGAAAGTAATAAAGCTTTTTATAAAAAGTATATAATAATAATATATAATTACTTTAATTATTATTATTAAGCAGCTTTACTTATAACTTTTTATAATTATTAAAACGCTTCCCCTTATAAGTATTACTTAAAGTATATAAATTATAACTTTTCCTTAATTATAAATAAAAATATCCTTATTATAATTCTCTTTTTTAATTACTGCTTTTTATATAATTTTTATAATAATATTTATATTAATTATATTTATTATATTAAGAAATTTAATTATATTTTTAATAAATATAATAATATAAAGAAAATATAAAAGGTTATAATAATTAAATAAATAAAGTTTAAGGATATATTTAGCTTTATAATTATTATTAATAAAATAATATAACTTAAAGGAATAATTAACTTTAATATTATTTAAAATAAAAAGGCTAGCATTATTTAAAGTTAATAATTATAGCCTTATAATATAAAATTCCTATTATGTTAATTATAAAAGTAAGCTTTTAATAAGGTATAAATAATAATTAAAATAAAAAAAAAAGAAAAAGTAAATTAAATTATTAAAAAGAAAAAGAAAGTTTTTAATCTTAATAAGAAAATAATAAATAAGTATATAATAAATTTTATAATGCATTTTTTAAAAATATAATATTTTATATTTAAACTTAAGGCTAAATTTAATTAAGTAAATAAATATATATAAAAAGAAATTTTATATTATAATAAATATATATATATATATATATATAA